TTGAATAGCAGAGTAGAGACTCATATATTTGAAGCAACAAAAGCTCGTAACTAAGGCAGCTCTTCCTTCCCTGTGAACTAGTTAACAGAAACGGCTGCTCCATTTGAGAGGGCAAATATACCTGATCAAAGTTGGCACGCAGGATACATCAAATTGGCGACTTGTGAATGGAGCAGCCACAGATGCTTCAGCATCAGAAAGCGATATCCCAACATCTGCAGCTTTCAACGCGCCACAATCATTGGCGCCATCACCACAAAAGCCACAGCAATAATCAAGTGACTGAAGTTTCTCCACAAGTTCGTGTTTTTCATCAGGTGACATTCTAGCGAACACTTTGGTACGCACGAGCATCTGGATTCAAGTGAGCTGATGTCTTATCCAATGAACCTAACTTGGAGTGTCATGTTTGACGAACGAAAGATGTACATACTCGTCGAAGTATAGTCTCATCGCCAAAGTCCAAAATCCATCTAAATACTTCTCCGCTGACCGCAAGCGAAAAATCGTGTTTATTGAAGACATTTACAGGTATAGACAAGTCAAAATCCGTTGAATTTACGGAAGGCTATGGCTTGTCAGTTCCGTTTCGTAAATAATAGAGGGTATGTCGCACCACCAGTGTGTTTGGATCAAGCTTCAATGCTGGGTTATCTACACTCTCCCAGCAAAGTGAAGCTGTCAAATCATGAGGACGACCTGCGTGGTGTTAGCCTAGGAGAACAGAGCAAGCAGTACTAACTAACCTTCTACAATGTGCGGTATAAAGCATTGCTCACTTTTGCTGACCATGCCACACTCACGAGCGACACTAACTGCAGTAAGTATATTGTCTCCTGTGCACATGACGGTCCGGATTCCTGCTTGGTTCAGTTCAGCAATGGTCTCAGTAGTTGCTGACTTCAGCTTGTTTTCAAATATAATGAAGCCAATGAATTCCAGATCACTTTCTGCATCTCCACGTGTCATTTTTTGCACTTTCATCCAGCTCAACTTCGGTTCGTATCTAGCGGCGCAGGCAATTACCCGATAGCCTTTATGGGTGTACTGGCTTAATAGATCTTCAAAGTCTCGAGGCACTAATATAGTTAAGATGAATGTTAGCGCCATGCTTTGTGCTCGTGTCCCATTGGATGTACTGACGACTGTCTGGAAGACATATGGCTCTGACGCTTTCTGGTGCACCCTTGACGAAGATGCTAGCACCATTGTCACCAAATTGCCTTACAACAACGCTCGCGCGTCGAAGTTCAGAAACAAATTCAAAATTTCGTAAAATACCAAGTTCAAGTGGTGCCTTCATCGTTCTGATATAAGTATTCACGATTATATGCATTTCAAGTCGAAGAGTACGATCTGGTACAGGAAAAGTACACTTACAGTGAAATTATTCCGGAGAAGATTCTCTGAAAGGGCAGGTGGCTTTGCAATGGAAGGCATTATTGTTTCAAATTTGGAACCTGGCTGTTCAGGACCATGACTACCGCCTTCTTGGTAAGACCAGCCAGTAAATTCGAACATTTTCACGTCTAGAGGGTCACCTAGAAGCTCGCCGTCCACGACTCTCAATGAGTGGCAGGTGGCCATGATGTAGGTCAAAACATCACGCTTCTTGTAGTCGTATGAAGTGTCAAATGTTGAAGCTGCCGGAGACCCTAGAGTCACGTCCGAGAGTAAGTCTGATAGCCTTATAATAGTTAGCTATAGCTGAAATACGAGCGACTGAGTATGACAAACCCCATTTCTCGATTTACAGTCCGCACCCCAAGAACATCCAATCCATCTTCCGTTAAGGTTCCTGTTTTATCAAAACAGATCACGTCTAATTTACCCCCAACATTTACCCTACGGGCCAGCTTAGCGCAGCTAGGACGCATTCAAAACATGATACTCACCTTTGTGGGCTAATGCAAAAAATCTTTTGACTTTTCAATCGCGAAAGCGCAAAGTTCGTACCAATTGTGAGTGTAGCGGGCAAAGCAGGTGGAACAATGATTGTTATCAAATCGAGTGCTCTGACAATGATCAAATGCCAGGAGAGCTAGGTAAAGTTAGCTTGTTCCGCAATGGTTTATGGATGCTTACACCTAGTCGGATAAAGTTGAAAAAGGAAGCCACAAAGCCTAAAATGGCGACCATTGCCATAACAGATATGTAACGAAATGAATCTCGATAGAATTTGAAGCCAGAGGGCTTTGGGAAAAGCATGGAGCGAACCAACGCGCCTTTTGTTGTCAAAAATCCCGTTCGGACGACAATTGCTAAGGCAATGGCATCGTCATCATCAACATTATGAGGGCGCCGTGCCCGGATGACTTTTGTTCCACTGAAAAGAAAATGCTTTGCTATGTTTGGATGAACAGAGGGGGTGTTGAGATTGAGATACTGAAGTCCATCATCTGTTAACGGGGTTTTGGACACGGGAACGGATTCACCTGGCCCTGTCAGCGCTTCCTATCAAAAAGTGCACATAATATACGGACAGACCAGTGAGCATGCTCTCATTTACGATGCAGTCACCTGACAATAATATGCAGTCGCAAGGGACTTGGCTAAGCGATGGATCGGAGAACTCGAATACATCACCCGGGACAAGTTCTCGAGAGGGAACAGACCTCCCTTAGCGTAAGTCAGCAACTAACCGACAAAATGTCATAGAAGACTAATTGTGAAGACACAAACTCACAAAAACCATTCCTAAGCACACGAATGTCACATTCAAATAAGGAGATCTCCCTCAGGCGAGTCATAGTCTGAAAAGTGTTAAGAAGTTACATGTGTTGTCAAGACAGAGGTAGTGACTTACCGACTTGGTCTCAATTATTGTTGCACCAATGCTGAAGACAGAGATAAGGAATATACAGATAGCATAGTAGTAATACTCATCCAAAGACCAAAGAACAAGGCTCGCAAGTTGAAAAATATAAAATGGATGAAAGGCCTTTACTGGTAAGAATTTCCCTTCGATAGAATGCGACAGGGCTTTCATTACTTACTTCATCCATGAGAAGCTGAAACAATGATTTCTGCTGAATGTCAAGAAGATTCTTGCCGAAAATCTGCTCTCGACTATCACGATCATCGGCATCTAGTCCGCTTCGCATCACTTTCGCATTTGTCCATAAAGGATCCTTCCAACCGCTTATTAGGCAGAACTTGTCTTCCAGAGGATGGTAGAAGAACCGAAGGTATCTATAGTCAATATAACGTAAGAAAGAGATAGTGGGGTCATTTTCTTCGTCGAAGGTATGACTGTTTGGGTCTGCAAATACGCTAGAAAGTGGACGCCCATAAGCCTGACTGCGAACTTGGCATACGCTAAATTGATTCCATTGGTCCTGTAAAGTCTTAGGTGGAGCGAGGACCGTCTGGAATAATGGTTACTCACCTCAATGGCAACCCATTGACAAGTGCGAAGAGCCGTGGGTTTCCCTGTCAATCGTACTCGCCATCTTGGAAACCATCGGAAAACGAGATAAGCGAAGCCAAGGGACAGGACACATAACAGAGAGTATAGAACTAAGCCAGAAATTTTGGTTGAAAATCCGGCGATCACAAGCGTTAAATCCTCCGATTCAATGTATATTTTCTGGTTGAGCCTGCTATCAAATCGTCGGTCCTGTGCATACGAACTAACAGAGATATGCCGGCCGGGTAGGAGGGGGTCTTCAGCGGAACATCTAGAACATGACGGTCGTTTTGACCTAAATGACGATCTGACAGACACATTTGGCGGACTAACATCACCTACGGCCAGATTGTCGGCTTCGCTCTCAGCGTCCAGAGCATCTTCATCTGGCCACTCCACAAAGTCCTCTTCATCACGAAAGTACGTAAAGCTGACCACCGAGTCCTTCCGGTTGCGACGATGAGAGAAAGAAACAACACTTGATGGAATGCTTTCGGAGATGGGTCCATCAAAAACCTACTCAACATTGGTTATGCCTGACACATAAGTAGAAATATAATTTATAAGAAACAAACGCACCTCGTGTCGAGCCATCTCTACGTCTGAGACAACGCTATAACTACGGAGGTATCAGCAATGCCCAAAACACCGTTCTTTAGCTTGGTTCTTGAGACCTGCTTCGCATAGAGTCACGCCGGTGGCTAATCATAGACCGCGAGAGCTCAGGCACCTGAGGCTCTGTTGGCGATAGCCTCGAGTCCTTCACTGTTTCATACATCTTCACAATCGGCTGCTTGGACGTCCCTCCAAGTAACGGGGAAGGAAGGAGAAAGAAAGGAAATAAAAGCAGGGCTTATGGTAACATGGGTCAGTGGACGACAGACACAATTGTAGCCAATGTGTTTCGAGGTCTAGTTTCATGAACTGTGTGGAACCGGTCCATAGAATGTATGACTACCCAAGAGCGACCTAGTCAGCCTATGGCGTTGCATTTTTATCAACACGTGACTCAAATCGTACTTACGGTTTTCCTTATCAGTTCTGATCTGATGGCTATGGTACGTACAGGGTTGAAGATCGGTCTTCATAAAATCAAAACCTTCTGGGGTATTCAGGGAGGTACGGTAACAACTTGTGCCACATCGATCATCTACATTGGGGCGATTTAATACTAGCATGTTGATATGACAATTAGGGGCAATGACAGAGTTATTATGTGGAGCGACAATGGTATCTATGGGTAAGGTACTAGTAGTAGCAGCTATTTCTGTAAGTAATACTCAATATCAATCTAGAGCAGGATAGTAAAGTAAATCCAGCCAGCCTGCGTACTTTCACAAAATGTCACACCAGTGAATATTATAGCTGCTTGTATGATTCTATAAAGGAATTACATCATCTCACATACTAGTTAGTTGCAACAAATGCTCATGATGAGTCAAAGCTTATGACTTTGACAACACTGGGAAACTATATAGTCACCTTAATGATCAAAAGTTAAATAGCAAGCCTAGGAAGTAAAATATGTTGATAGTAAATCTACCTGGGTATATAAATACCATGATATATTTGTCGTACGTAGTCTACCGGTATCTGCGGGGACTTCCTACCTGGTATTAGTACATAGTAGGTGACGAGCTAATCTAACATATTATTGTTTATTACAGTAAGGTATTGTTGGGAGGGTTCCAAAGGTTCTCAACCAGCAGAGGTCTCAGTCCCGCCAAGCCCCTCGGCCCAAGGGCGCTAAAGATCCCACCAAGCCAGTATTCCAGACTCCCAAAACTTAGGCGTATCAAATTCTTCCTCATCTCTTGACTTTCATCAGCGACAACCCCTCAGCCAACCTCCCCTATCTCCCTCAACCCATCTATAAGCCTGTTGGACAACGTTCTTACAATGTCTGAGCCTATTAGAAATAAGAAAGCAGATTTTCCGGTCGCCCCGTAAGTCTCTGCGTTGCTTAACCCCGTATCCTCAGCAAAGACGCATTTTTCTTGTTGTGCACGTCTTGCATCTAACGATATTTTACGAGAATAGGACGCCTCAGAACACCCCAGCTAATAATGCCCCTATTTCCTCCCATGCCCAGCAGCCCGGAGTCTCTAGTATCAAAGAAGGTATCCACCCAAGCAGCCTCCTTGCCAACCACTTACTTCTAACATCATCACCCTAGAATCCCTTGATCATGCCACAGCTGCTTCTTTATTCGCGAGAAACCCTGGACTTGTCTCCATGATTCAAGGGAAATTGGGATCACTTGTCGGTCGCTCTTCCGGATATATCGAGTCTCTGCCCGCACCTGTCCGCCGACGTGTCGCTGGACTGAAAGGTATCCAGAAGGAACATGCCAAGCTGGAAGCTCAATTCCAAGAAGAGGTGCTGGAGCTCGAAAAGAAGTACTTCGCAAAATTTACTCCTCTGTATCAAAGGCGTGCCACGATCGTCAATGGGGCTGCGGAACCGACCGACGGTGAAGTTGATGCGGGCAAAGACGAGGAAGAAGATGTGGATGTTAAGAGCGAAGATGAATCTAAGAAGTCCGAGGACAAGGTGTCATCAACAGCTGGAATACCCGAGTTCTGGCTTTCTGCTATGAAAAATCAAATCTCTCTGGCGGAGATGGTGACTGAACGAGACGAAGAGGCTCTCAGACATCTCACCGATATCCGAATGGAGTACCTTGATCGTCCGGGATTTCGCTTGATTTTTGAATTCTCTGAGAATTCATTCTTTACAAACAAGACTATCTCGAAAACGTACTATTACAAGGAAGAGAACGGGTACGGCGGTGATTTCATATATGATCATGCCGAGGGTACCAAGATCGATTGGAAAGACGACAAGGACCTCACTGTTCGTGTCGAAAGTAAAAAGCAAAGGAACAAGAGTGAGTTCAAGTTCATGCAAAGAGAAAGTCCTGAATCTAATGTCTCGATTCTCAAGACACAAAGCAAACTCGCGTTGTCAAGATAACCGTGCCCACGGAGTCTTTCTTTAATTTCTTTTCTCCCCCACAGCCTCCAACGGACGACGATGATACTGTCGCTACTGACATTGAAGAGCGGCTTGAGCTTGACTACCAGCTTGGAGAGGATATCAAGGAGAAGCTCATTCCCCGCGCAATCGATTGGTTTACTGGGGAGGCTCTTCAGTTCGAAGAACTGGGCGATGATATGGATCCGGATGAATTTGACGACGAGGACGAGGACGAGGACGAGGATGAAGATGATGACGACGACGACGACAGGAAGTCTGATGGGGACGTTGATGACGACTCTGATGAAGAGGTACCCATTCCTACCCCACCCAAAACTACCACATATGGTGTATGAGCGCTAACATGAAGCAGGACGGTACTTCGAAGCCCAAAAAGGAGGCCGCAGAATGCAAACAAAGCTGAACAGTCAGCTAATCGTTGAAAGCGCAAATTCGAATGGTGCTATAATCATATCTCCACTTGACTTCTGGTGCCTGCTTTTCTTCTTTTGTTTCTCTCAGATTGTTTCTTCTAATCATGCGTGGCTCCTGATCCATTCAATAGCGGTCCACTGTATATATGGTCAAAGTATAATGTTCACCATCAGGTTGGTGGGCATGTAGTGGATGGTAAAGTTCGTTGGATGGAACCGTCAAGGCAGTCTCGGTCCTTAATCGTTTTTCTTCGTCACCCTCCAAACTCCTTCTCCCATGGCCTTTTCCTCTTCCTACTTTTTCTTTAATACTTTTTTCCGTCTTACCATATAAAATGCTGGCGGCGCGAGGAGTTCGCTTCCGTTCAATTATCTACAGTTGTCCTAAAACGATCTGCCCATGCTCTTGAAAATATGAATGATGGTACATGGTAAAAGAGAATATTAATCATAAGCGTTTATCGTTAGTTTACCTAGTAGTTAATCTTTATAAAACGTCGAAGCTTCTTGCTATAAACCGATGAATGTGATTCACCGCTTATTCAAAATTGGCTGGTTTTCTCCACGTAGCTAAACTCCACTCATGGGGCCCTAGGTCAGCTATCAACTCACCTCGCGAGGTCATCATCCTGTTGAGGGTTTACGGAGTAAGCGAATGATGAGAAGGCGAATCTGAAGTCCGGCGGAGGGGGAAGGGGACAGTATGTCGTAAATGCTTCGTCTATATAGGTCTCCAAACCTACCTAGATATCTGGATGGCCACAGAGCTTTAGGCGTCATGATTGGTGATACATGCTACTAGTACCTCCTCTCCTGCCATGCGTGATTCTTGGCGTGGACAAGTGTGGAGAATAGTTTTCAACGAGTGGCGCGGCTCTCCAGCCTCAGGGGTCGCGGCTCGCTAACGGCCAGCTGTTAGACAGTTCAATAACTCCCCTCCTCTCCAAAACGTTAACCTCCGTTCCCTTTCCATGATTTGAAGTTCAGGCCCGTCGGTGGTGTCCCGCTTTTTGATTTCGCTTTATACGTTTCCCCATCAAAATATCAACCGGGTATCCAATTAATGGGTCGCTGCTAGATGCCTACAGCAGTGCTCACTCAGTTTCATACACATTCCGCATAGGTTCTGGTTCGGTCTCGTTTCAACTTAGGTTACAGACTCCCTGGCCAACTCAGTCTTGATGGCGCACAATTATGAGGTCGGAACGAGGGTCTGGCAACCTGATCCCACTGAAGGATGGGTAGCATCCGAGGTCAAAGAGAAGCTTGTTGATGGTGACAAAGTGCAACTTGTGTTGATATTGGAAAATGGGGAGGTTCGTCTCATCTCCGTCATTCGTTTATCTCCATTTTGCACTCGACTGACTAGGTTATACAATAAAAGACTAAATCTTTGGAAACCACGCAAGCAGAGTTACAGGTGGACAACAATCCTAAGCTACCTCCGTTAATGAATCCCGCCATGCTGGAGGCCAGCGAAGACCTGACGAATTTATCCCACTTGAATGAGCCAGCTGGTTTGTTTCATACTCCCAGTATTCCCACAGAGGTGAGGGGCTAACTACCCTGAAGTTTTGCAGGCTATCAAACTACGGTATGCGCAAAAGGAAATATATACTTATAGTGGCATTGTTCTAATCGCCACTAATCCTTTCGCTCGAGTGGATTCACTTTATGTTCCTCAGATGGTGCAAGTGTATGCCGGCAAGCACCGTGCATCACAGGCGCCTCATCTATTCGCCATCGCTGAAGAGGCATTTGCGTAAGATACGACTCCGCTCTCTTGTTATATGCCGTTACTCACAAGCACGCGTTGCAGTGACATGTTGCGAGATGCTAAAAACCAAACAATTGTGGTGTCTGGAGAGTCTGGTGCTGGAAAGACAGTTAGCGCCAAGTACATTATGCGGTATTTCGCAACTCGCGAATCCTCAGATCAACCTGGGAAATACACCACGAGTAGGGCAGATGCTATCAGTGAGACTGAGGAGCAAATCCTGGCTACAAATCCTGTTATGGAAGCCTTCGGAAACGCCAAAACAACGCGCAACGATAACTCTTCACGGTTCGGGAAGTACATTGAGATAATGTTCGATGATAGGACCAATATCATCGGTGCAAAGATCAGGACGTACCTCTTAGAGAGATCCCGTTTAGTATTTCAACCTCTCAAAGAACGCAATTATCATATCTTTTATCAGCTTGTAGCTGGTGCAACAGACGCAGAAAAGCAAGAACTCGGCCTTGCGTCGGTTGAGGACTTCGACTATCTCAACCAAGGCGGAACGCCGACTATTGATGGCGTGGATGACAAGGCGGAATTCAATGCGACAAGGAAATCTCTAAGTACTATCGGTGTGTCAGAAGATACGCAGGCGGAAATCTTTCGCATCCTTGCAGCTCTGCTGCACCTAGGAAATGTTAAAATTACCGCCACTCGAACCGATTCTTCGTTATCTCCCTCCGAGCCCTCCCTTGTCAGTGCCTGCAGCATGCTGGGCATTGACGTCAACGAGTTTGCGAAATGGATAGTCAAAAAGCAACTCATAACACGAGGGGAGAAAATTACATCTAATTTGACACAACAACAGGCGACAGTTGTCCGCGATTCGGTAGCAAAATTTATATATTCAAGTCTCTTTGATTGGCTTGTCGACAAAATTAATCGCGGCCTAGCGTCCAGTGAAGTTTTGAGCAAATTTAAATCTTTCATCGGTGTCCTGGATATATATGGGTTTGAGCACTTTGCCAAAAATTCGTTTGAGCAGTTTTGCATCAACTACGCTAATGAGAAGCTTCAGCAAGAGTTCAATCAGCACGTGTTCAAACTGGAACAAGAAGAATACGTTCGAGAACAAATCGACTGGACCTTCATTGATTTCTCAGACAATCAACCATGCATTGATCTTATTGAGGCAAAACTGGGAATTTTATCCCTTTTGGATGAGGAGTCTCGGCTGCCGATGGGTTCTGATGAACAGTTTGTGACAAAACTGCATCATAATTTTGCAGCCGACAAGCAAAAATTCTACAAAAAGCCCCGGTTCGGAAAGTCGGCATTCACAATATGTCATTATGCTGTGGACGTAACTTACGAATCCGATGGTTTTATAGAGAAGAACAGAGATACTGTCCCGGATGAACACATGGAGGTTCTCCGCCACTCTTCAAATCAATTCGTGAAAGATATATTAGATACTGCCGCCGCCGTCCGCGAAAAAGACTCTGCATCCATTTCATCTAAGCCAGTCGCTGCACCTGGCCGTAAGATTGGCGTCGCCGTCAACCGCAAGCCTACACTTGGAGGGATTTTTAAATCATCGCTGATTGAACTCATGAATACCATAAATTCCACGGATGTGCACTATATACGCTGTATCAAGCCTAATGAAGCGAAAGAAGCTTGGAAGTTTGAAGGTCCCATGGTCCTCAGTCAATTGAGAGCTTGTGGTGTACTCGAAACGGTCCGCATCAGCACTGCCGGATATCCTACTCGCTGGACTTATGAAGAATTTGCGATACGCTACTATATGCTTTGCCATTCATCGCAGTGGACGTCTGAAATCCGAGAAATGTGCCATGCAATCCTGCAAAAAGCTTTGGTGGATGGCAGCACCCAGAAGCAAGATAAATATCAGCTAGGTTTGACGAAGATATTTTTCCGGGCAGGCATGCTCGCTTTTCTGGAAAATCTTCGTACGTCTAGGTTGAATGAGTGTGCAATCATGATACAAAAGAATCTGCGGTGCAAATACTACCGACGCCGTTATCTCGAGGCACGTGCTTCCATTCTTACAACTCAAGCTTTGATCAGAGGGTTCTTAGCAAGGCAGCATGCGGCCGAGGTGCGCAAGGTCAAAGCTGCAACTTCTATCCAACGGGTGTGGCGGGGACACAAGGAAAGGAAAAAGTATTACATCATCCGCGCAAACTTCATTTTGTTTCAATCGGTTGCGAAGGGCTTCCTCTGCCGGCAAAATATAATGGATACGATACATGGAAACGCTGCGAAAGTTATACAACGTGCCTTCCGCTCCTGGCGACAATTACGAGCTTGGCGGCAGTACCGCCGAAAAGTAATCATTGTGCAGAACCTTTGGAGAGGCAAGCAAGCGAGGAGACAATACAAACAGCTCCGCGAAGATGCAAGGGACCTAAAGCAGATCTCTTACAAGCTGGAGAATAAGGTGGTAGAGTTGACTCAGTATCTGGAGTCACTAAAACGTGAAAACAAGTCGCTGAATCTACAGTTAGAAAACTATGAAACTCAGTTGAAGTCATGGAGGAGTCGTCACAATGCCTTGGAGAATCGTTCTAGGGAGCTTCAGGCTGAGGCAAACCAGGCAGGAATTAACGCTGCTCGGCTGTCTGCCATGGAAGAAGAAATGACTCGGTTGCAGCAGAATCATAGTGAAGCGCAAGCAACAATCAAGCGGCTGCAGGAGGAAGAAAAGGCGTCACGGGAATCCATCCGTTCTGCAAATGAGGAGCTACAGCGGCTTAAACAAATGAACACCGAGTCGGATGATGAGAAAGCTTCCCTCCGTCAACAGATTGCTGACCTCGAAGAGCAGTTGGAGCTTGCGAAGAGGACGTTACCTAGCAGTGGCTTGAACGGTGATCAATCAAACGGCGGCGCCATCCCACCACCTGCCAGTGGCTTGATTAACCTAGTGTCCTCAAAGAAGACAAAGCCAAAAAGGCGCAGCGCCGGTGCAGAGAGGATAGACACAGATCGTTTTAGCGGTGCTTACAACCCACGCCCCGTCTCCATGGCAGTTCCTAGCTCCTTAATGCGCCAAAACCTATCAGGGAGCACCTTTTCACCTGGACTGGACTCCGTCGAGGTGGAGCTTGAAAACTTACTTTCTGAAGAGGATGAACTCAACGAGGAGGTCACGATGGGCCTGATACGCAATCTAAAGATTCCGCTCCCTAGCTCTACTCCACCACCAACCGAAAAAGAAGTTTTATTCCCTGCTTATTTGATAAACCTTGTCACTTCTGAAATGTGGAACAACGGTTTCGTGAAAGAATCCGAACGGTTTTTGGCGAATGTGATGCAGTCGATTCAACAAGAGGTCATGCAACATGATGGAGATGATGCTATAAACCCCGGGGCCTTTTGGCTATCTAATGTGCACGAAATGCTTTCTTTCGTGTTCCTGGCTGAAGATTGGTATGAAGCACAAAAAACTGACAATTATGAGTACGATCGGCTGCTGGAGATTGTAAAGCACGATTTGGAAAGCCTCGAATTTAACATTTATCATACCTGGATGAAAGTGTTGAAAAAGAAACTTTATAAAATGATCGTTCCTGCGATCATCGAGTCCCAATCACTTCCAGGATTTGTCACAAGTGAATCCAATCGTTTTCTTGGAAAGCTTCTTCCTTCAAACAACAACCCAGCTTACAGTATGGACAATCTTCTTAGCCTTCTCAACAATGTCTACAAGGCAATGAAGGCTTTTTACCTCGAGGATTCGATCGTCACTCAGACTGTCACCGAACTTCTTCGTCTGGTTGGCGTCACTGCTTTCAACGACCTTCTCATGAGGAGAAATTTCTTGTCCTGGAAGCGAGGACTCCAAATAAATTACAATATAACTCGTATTGAGGAATGGTGTAAAAGCCATGATATGCCGGAAGGGACGTTGCAGCTTGAGCACTTGATGGTGAGACGATATTCAGACCTATAATTTGCTCCCTATACTAACCTCCTCTCAGCAAGCGACCAAACTTCTTCAGCTAAAAAAGGCCACACTAAACGACATTGAGATTATCCAGGACATCTGTTGGATGTAAGGCCCCATGCCTGATTTTGCCTCATTAACAAAGCCATATGGACGACTAATATATTCATGTACAGGCTCTCCCCGAATCAGATTCAGAAACTCCTGAATCAATACTTAGTGGCGGATTATGAGCAGCCGATTAATGGCGAGATCATGAAAGCTGTAGCTTCTCGTGTCACGGAGAAGAGCGACGTATTGCTTCTGACACCTGTGGATATGGAGGATAGTGGTCCGTACGAGATTGCCGAACCTCGTGTTATCACAGCCCTAGAGACATACACACCGTCATGTAAGTTTCGTATGCGACAGCCTTGTCCGATAATCACTGACCTGCTTGAAGGGCTACAAACACCGCGACTAAAACGTCTTGCTGAGATTGTCTCGGCTCAGGCAATGGCTCAGCAAGAGAGGATTGAACTGGCGGAGATGGCATGATATCTCACTTCTCTGTAATACAAGGCTAGGCTAACTGCCAATGCTGTCTTTTTGGTCGAGTAAGAGCATGCTACTCTACTGAGTGTACCGCTTAGAAGAAGTCATCTTGCCGTCATTTTCTAGAGTTACGGATCATGATGAGATTATGCATTTCTGTTACCTTTGAACAGCGCTAATCTATAATTGGACACGAGAGGGACATGCCATATATTTCTTCCCACCATTGTCCTTATTCTACTTTTAGGGGTAAGGGACATAGAACACACCTGTACCTTGTCTTCTATTCTCTGTTTAGATTTTCATTCTATTCGAGTCTCACTTGTGAATACCAATTTGAGCATGAGGTCCATCTACCTCACGGAAGACAGAGACTCTCGATCCGTAGTAATCATGTGGCACCACGCTAGTGGGGTAGTGGGGAGGCAAAGCATCCCCGTTATGAACGATTCCTACCATGTCAGACTTCTCTCTAACGCGAACCTCGCCCTGTTTGTGAATGTATTGATCAACAAGGAGAGTATAATATCCTGTCTTGGCTCTTTTCCTACCTGTTCTCCCGAACTCCCAAAACAGCAATTTAAACTTGGCGGTACAGACATCATGACTACATTAAAGAAATTGAATTTCATCACCGGCAACAAGAACAAACTGGCCGAGGTTAGAGCGATTCTGGGCAATGCAATTGAGGTCGATAACCAGGGGCTTGACGTTCCGGAGATACAAGGGACTATTGAAGAAATTGCCAGAGAAAAGTGCAGGCGTGCAGCGGAAGTGGTAAACATTGTTTATGTTCTTTCCATCTCGCCTACAGTGCTAATATTGCCTGAATAGATCGAAGGCCCAGTTCTCACGGAGGACACGGCACTTGAGTTTCACGCACTGAAAGGGCTTCCTGGCCCATACATGTAGGCCTTACCTGGGCAAAATTTTGCGTTTTGTACTGACATCCTTTAAGCAAATCATTCCTTGATGTTTTGGGCCATGAGGGATTGAATAAAATCCTCGATTCATTCGAGGACAAATCGGCAGATGCGATATGTACATTCGCTTTCTGCCACGGCCCCGGCTCAGAGCCAGTTTTATTTCAGGGAAGAACGAAGGTAATGAGTGATAATGCAATGGTTTAGGACTTTTAAAACCTGACCTCAACGTTTAGGGTGTAATTGTCAGACCGAGAGGTCCATCAAACTTTGGTGCACAAAATCTCTCCCTGCTACGTCCGGAATCTCCAGCTTATATATATATTTTTTTAGGTTGGGATCCAATTTTCGAGTATGAAGGGAAAACATATGCTGAAATGGACAAAGAGGAGAAGGTAATTCCCGATCTCGCGTTCCAACCTCTACCTTCCTAACCTTTTCTCCTTTGCCTTGGTCTTTCCCAGACGTGGCCCCTCCGTCCTTGGCTTCCTCGCTAACAACAGCTAGAACCAAATATCGCACAGGTATAAAGCCTTGGAGAAATTGCAGCGTTGGCTTGTCCAGGAAAAATCCTGATTTCTCAGCTCCGCGGCGGATGACGTTGATAGGCGGTGCATGTCTGGAATATCTCAGTTCGTATTGAGGTTTTGGTCGATCCAAGAGGATACCCAAGATGAAATTCTTCTGCAGTTTTCCTCTACATCGTCGTCCTTTTCACTGGTGAGCTCGACCACGACTTCTTCATCGAAAGCTTCACGGGCTTCTTCGAATAGGACACCAAAAATCTCTGCGTCTAAATTTTCTTGTAGCTTCGCTTGCTTATATCCCCTGCAACAAGTGAGGTCCTATTAGGCATGTTGAAAGGGAAGGGAGGTGGGGGGAGGTGGGGGGAGATAGCGGTTAAATGGATTCGCCTGTAGATACCTTGATGAAAGACGGTCATATAGAAGGGAAGTAGACGGGCATCGCAAAACCACAACTAGGTCAATCCAAGACTTTGGGAATAGGTCACATGCATGCCAGTCAATCAAGAGTCCCCCTTGGAGCATTTCGTCTTCAACAGCGTCCAGCAGCTATATTGGCCAGTCCAAGTAAGTAGAGGGAAAAATTAACCTTCAATATGAGAGAAATTCTATTCGATTGGAACTTCCAGGGAGGAGAGAATGTGTATACTTAGCGTACCTTATCCTCATCCACAATCCAAGTTTCTAACTCCTCATCATAGCTCTCGAAGCAATCCCGGTCTTTTGCGACCTGATTGATTGACAGATGTCGCAGACCGGTATCTTGCGCTAGTTGTTCGCAGTGGACAGTTTTCCCAACACCAGGGGTTCCTGTGATGATCACATTCGGGGATGCTCGCATGGTGGCTCTAGGCAGATTGCTGGGTGACCAAAACCTCCAGTTGTCTTCCTGTGAAACGCGAGTATAATCATGTAAATCATGATGGCAATGGGTAAATTTTATGTGGGGTATAAACCAATACCTCAGGCACCTATTTCGTGCGGGAAAAGTGGGTCCGGTCCGACGGATATACTACGTAGTACTTACTCGATCTAAAATTGGACCTTGCGGGCATCGATTTCATTTACTTTATTTCTCTCTTTTAATAGTCCTTTCTCATTGATAGTTGAAGTAATGGACCTGATGCCACGGTCCCAGAAAAAAGTCTATGGCCTTGTACAAGTCAAGTCTTGGACAAGGTCTTGGGGAGTAGAGAGCCTAAAAGGGTTCAGATGATGCTCAGTAAAGGAAATGGTTGTGGCTTACTTGAGGATTTCAAAGACTTTATATTTCTGTAAATAAGCTGCTCCTCGTCGGTAGCCTTTTAGGATCCGAGCGGGATCAGCAGATACTGCGCGCGTGCCTCTGAGCCGCTTCACAGTGGACGATGGTTTGAACATTGGGTCCAAGACCAAGAGATTCGCACTGCCATTGTCACGTATCTCGAATCCAATAATGGTCAATGAGTGCCCTATTTGCGATGACACAGCGGTAAGCCCCAGGCACAAAGTCAACAGGTAGACATTAGAGACAGAGAGGAACGCTTCCGACCTTGATGTTGGAAGTAAATAGGGGGTAAGTTTGTCAAGAAAACTTTGTCATCGGTGCCCAAGGAGCACGCCTGTCGGAAGTAGTTCGCAATGCGCATGAATAAAACGTCATGAGCTTGCATATCTTTAATTCCTCCGATACTACTGGCTTCACATCTTATACAGATCAGAGCTATTCCCATTAGGTTCTTCAGTATAAACTCACTGTATTCCTAAACTCAAAAATAACGCCTGTGCCTAGAAAAACAACATTAGTAAAGAATATCTACACTCAAGTGTTCCTGCCTTACTTCGGGTGTGCCAATATATTTTCTAGTGCCGCGGATTCCGCCGGTCTCAATCCGTCCGATGCTGTTGAAACCCATATCCCACGCTTTCTCGATCATCTCCTGTATCTGCAGGATCGTTGGTACTACTTCCGAGAAACTTTCATGTCCCGGAAGGCGGCATTCTTTGATATAGGAAATTAGCATTTGAATATTTCTGTAACCGCAAAAACCCCCCTCTTTTGGCGTCTTGGAGATTTGATGAACTTTGGGGCTACAGAAAAAAGCACGCTGTACTGATCTGTCCTGCTCACAAAGCCTAACAAGCACCGGAACAACATCAGTCGTCTCGTTCTCTATTGAACGATGTCTCCGCAGCGTTCCATCTGGAGCGATTGTATTCGACTCTGTTGTTCTGACTCCTTTTTCTAATAACTTTCGAAGCCACGAAGGCATCTGCTTCTCGTGAGCATATGGTCCTAATTCGGCGCGCTATTTCTACTGTTAGCAGGCTCACGACCTAGAAGCTATGCAAGATACAGGGAAGATAATGCAGAAGGGGTTGGATACTCCAAGCTTTTTCACAGTAAGCGCTATATTTGAAGAACTACGAGGTCTCTTTTCTCTCACTGCTTCCTGAGTGGGCCTCTCTTTCTCTAGCTGACTCTTCACAAACGGTCCATGTAAATCCTGGGTATTGTCCAGGTCCTCGTAATCGTCAGGTCTGCTTAGCTTTCGAGCAGTCAACTCTGGCTGAGAAGATGTGCTCTCATAGGTAGTTTCTTCTGTTAAGTGTAGATCGAGATGGGTGGAAAGCTCGGTGTCCATTACCACCTCCCCACAGCCACGTGGACAATCGGTGTACTTTCCTAGATGCCCGTTCTCCTCGCTGGCGGATAAATGTTGTCTGCAATCAGATGATACCTTCAAGTTGTTCAATTTTATGGCCTTTTTACCGCTGACACCAAACCGTTTGTCAATTTCAGGATGATATAGCTCAATGTGTTCCACAATAGAATTGCTAGCAGGGTCAGAAAAGGTGCAGAATGGACATGTTGGAACTTCTGCTCTTGCAGGATCCATAGTAATCGATCTAAAGGGCCTTCTTATACTTAGAGATTGTTGAATCAGCAAATGAAAATAAGGACAGAAATAAAGGCAAGTGACAATGGCACTTATACAGAGTACTAGTTTGAGGTTCGACCTAAGGCCAGGTACTATCTACCCAACTTCCGTAGGGCTAATCGGACGTCCTTTACGGAGGTGTGTTCCTAATGCTATCAAACTACGCTAGTGAAAACCACGTGATTATAGACCAATAGTAGTAGACATCACGAACATATCCAAAAGTGATACTCAATTGGTTATAGGTCACGTGATATATACACCACTTGTTTGATAACTTTAGGAACACACACCTCTGTATACTACTAGGTGGGTTAGCCACTGGCAGTTACTAAAAGTCTGGTACTACGGATGATATCCTAGGTTTCAATTGGTCGGTATGTATGTACCTACTACTAGTACAGAGTACTCCGCGAGCCAACCGTGTCAGATATTATTATTACATGGGTATTTACCATTTTCGATGCCTAATTTTCGTAAATTAGAAAGATGACTCACACGAAAGAGTATGGCGCTCAACACCAAAACGCTACAAACGTAGGACAGCTGTATACTGTAATTCCCATGAGAGATAAGATAATTCAAGTGCGATGTATAAACCTGTACATGTGCTGTATGCTTATTGTATATATATTGCTCATCACCTGTACCTAACTAATTTCACCTTAGAATGGCTCCAGCACTTAAAAGTACGTAGTGAGTTACATACGAAGGTAGAGCTCTGTGTACCTACTACTGTGTGATAAAAACCGACTCCGATATCGTATTCCATAAGCGGAAGGCGGAGAAGGGGAAAAATTATGTGATACCCCATATCATTAGAGGGGGCTCCGCTTTCGCAACCCCGCCAGTGCACATAAAAAGGCTATCCCGCTACTGAAGCCAAGTAATGTGAGGATCGCCTTCACCTTTTGAGAGCAAGGTCTAAGTTGACAGTTACTTTCCAGCATGGAGTCTCGGCTGCCATCCAAATTGGAGTCGTTGTCAACAGCCAATAGCGACTTAGTAGGCTCTTCAAACAGCAACTGGGTTGTACAAAAGTTTGGAGGTACCAGCGTGGGCAAGTTTGCCCTTAATATCATTGATCAAGTTGTTCTGTAAGCAACAAGATAAGACATATATATACAGCTGCTACTAACATCATTGAATCAAGACCCAGCCTTTTAGACCACAGTGTGGCAATCGTCTGCTCTGCAAGAAGTAGCTCTACCAAAGCTGAAGGTACTACCAATCGGTGAGTCACCTCTCAACTCCGGTTAGACGTTTCCCTGCCTCGCAGGTTTAAAAACCGTCATTTCTCTGTTTCCGTCCGAAATTAGCACTGATGTTGAAACAACTGATAGGCTGTTACGCGCGGCGCGGGATGCAGAGAATGCTGAATCTAAAAACTACGTCTCCTTCGTCGAGGCGGTCCGATTGGAACATGTCGAAGTAGCCGAGAGTCAAATTAATTCCAAGGAATTAAAGCTTCAGTTGGTTGCCGAGATTAACGATGAATGTGAAAAGGTTCTGAAGGTCTTGGAGGCTGCTCAGACGCTCGGGGAGATCAGTGCCCGCTGTGTTGATAAAGTTATGAGTACAGGAGAGAAGCTTAGTTGTCGACTTATGGCAGCTTTCCTCCAGGACCGAGGAGTAGATTCAGAATATGTGGATCTGGCTGAGATCATCGACTTTACTATCTCAAGCCAGGGTCTCGACCAGGAATTCTACAACAACCTCGCCAGCACTCTCGGTAAAAAAATTCAAGCTTGTGAGGACAGAGTTCCAGTTGTAACTGGGTTCTTTGGGACTATACCAGGCGGCCTTCTTGATCAAATAGGGCGGGGCTATACAGATCTTTGCGCCGCTCTAGTCGCCGTTGGGATACGTGCCAAAGAACTACAGGTATGGAAGGAAGTCGACGGTATATTCACAGCGGATCCCCGGAAAGTGCCAACTGCGCGTATTCTTCCGGCAATTACACCTGCAGAGGCCGCTGAGCTGACGTTTTATGGCTCAGAGGTCATCCATCCTTTCACCATGGAACAAGTCATCCGCGCGAAAATCCCCATTCGCATCAAGAATGTCATGAATCCGAAAGGCAATGGCACTATCATTTTCCCCGATTCCACTTATGAACTGGATAAGACAACCCCAGGGCATGACCCCAGATTGTTCCGTACACGCAGTCCAAGTCTTGTGCAGACGCCGAAGCGTCCTACCGCTGTAACAATCAAGCACAAGATTCTCGTGATCAATGTCCACTCCAACAAACGCTCCCTATCGCATGGATTCTTTGCTGGCATCTTTTCTGTCCTTGACCGATGGAGGCTCTCAATCGATCTGATATCTACCAGTGAAGTGCATGTGTCCATGGCACTCCATTCCGAGTCGCCTCTTCTCAATGGGGTCGGCAGGGATGAATATCAAATTATTGACGAGGACTTGAAGGGTGCGTTACGCGACCTACAAAAATATGGGACAGTCGATATAATTCCAGAGATGGCCATCTTGAGCCTTGTTGGTAAACAAATGAAGAACATGATTGGTGTGGCCGGGCGGATGTTCACAACTCTTGGAGAAAATAATGTGAACATTGAGATGATCTCCCAAGGTAAGTGTAACGGGGTCGAACTTTTACTAGATTTAGTTGGCCAATAGCTAATTTCTTTTCTTCCTTTAAGGTGCAAGCGAAATCAATATATCATGCGTCATTGAAGAGAGAGACGCAGACCGTGCCCTGAACATTATTCATACGAGCATGTTTACATTTTTAGACTAGACGCCCTCCTTTCCTCCTTCGCCTCCTTCGCCTCCTTCACCTTGCTATTAACAACCCCCCCCCCCCCCTTCCCCTTCTCTTCTCGTGGGGGTTTCTGCGCAATGCCAGGTTTCTGATGACTTAAGATATGACGAAAAGCTCCATGTCTTACGTGACTATGTGAAAGTTGTGACTCTGGAATTGTCTGAATGAGTCTGATTAGAGCATGTTCCCCTCTCTATTTTTTTTCTTGGCTTTTCTCCCGAATTCGTGTGTGATATGAATTTTCTGCCATGCACCACGATTGTTCCTCTACACTGACATAATTATCTTTGTGTTTCCGGGATAGATCTCACTGGTTTCTGTTCTCTTTTCGGGCGTTGGTTGCCTTTTTTCTAAAGTTAGAGCAAAACTCGCTGTTAACCAGGGATATAGAGTATTTTTACATGGAGTTTATGAAGCAATGACAAGCACTCCATAAAGAGGTGTTTCCAGTCAGTCTTGTAATATTTTAGCCTGTGATTTTTCCCCCGTCAAAATTTAATAGAAGTGTCCTTGCACTGGAGTGGTAAATGTGAGGAGATAGAGGCAATAACAACCTAGACCGTTGTTCGAATACTTACGGAGAGATAGGTGGGAGGGATGTACTGTACAAGTTATTGGAGCTCATGTGAACAAAACTTTTGCTATCCATGGGTTTACTCCTATGTCAGGGGTGTCGTCAACTCTGATTTTTAATCAGGCGACGCCTTACAGGCACAATAAGCCACCTCTCGTGGCACTTCAATCTCCCCTTTCACAGAGTTATAGTGGAGTTCTGTAGAAAGGCAAAGGTGTCTATCGGAGGTCCAGCCTACCCACGGTTATGATCAAAGAACTAACTAAAAGTAACTATTGATAATTTAAATACTGTCTATGCTTGGGAACACGAAATTATGCTGCTATGTGTGGAACCCACACAGTACTACTGCAAGCCAACACGGGTACCTGAGAATCTTCCATTACCTTGCCTAGGCCAATCTCATGAGTAGTTATATGTGTAGACAATTAGCGCAGGTACTATTTACTTTATGATGAGCCATCCCAATTAAAGGGGTAACTTCACGGGTAGTGGCGAGTAAATGTCCCTTACTCATCTAGATTAGTATTCGCTCGTATAAGTGCTGGAGGGACAATATGTATGGTTGATACGTCCGTCGACATGTTGAGTTTCGCTATCCAGGTGTGGATTCAAGTTAACGAGCCTTGAATTTATTGTTCAAATCCAAGCACCTCAAACTTGTGCAATAATTTTTCTTTCTTTCTTTCTTTTTTTTTTTCCTTTCTGAACAACCCTATCAATTGCTGGATGACCAATGTTGTCTCAGCATTTACAGCTTGTCGCTTGAGATGGCTAGGGTGGCGATATGACCACAAAGCTTTCCTTAAAGACAGGAAGCACGGGGTAGGAATCTAGACATAGCTTAGTACAGATCTAATAAAATCGGGCTTGTCTTAGAAAGGCACACAACCTGGCACTAAGTCGGATGGCCGGGGCCGCTGGGCAATGGGGCATACTTGCCTCGTCAACTGATGGGAGGGCCCAAATGATCGACTGACATCGCCTGGTGATTGGACACGATAATCGTTCCTGGTGGCGGAACGGAGCAAGGAGGTCAGCCAATGGTGAAACAGGAGCTTCTGTATTGTCACGTATGACAATACTAGTACCGAAACCCCACCTCTTTTCTAATGTACTCGCTGACCTCGACGCGTGACGCGGACGCGACCTAACCATACCATACATACTTACCTGCCGAACGAGGCCGCGACAATCACCTAACATCAAGTTCCTTTCTCTCCATTCCTCAGCCCAAGTAATCGTACAGAGTACATAACTCTGCTGTTATTAACGTATCTCGCGCACCCCACCTTACCTCGAGGGAGAAACCTTACCAGGTAAAGGGATTTGATTATAGAGTGAAGCTGTCTTCCCGCTTTAATCTCGCTGCCTTTTCTCTAAACACCCCCTTCAGCCCGTCCTCCATCGCGTCTAGATTTACTATTATTTCACGCGCTGCGTGAGCCTACCTCTCTAACAGCACCGTCAGGCTTAAAAGCAGTCCTGCGCCAGTTTACACCCAGCCTATTCCAAGTAAAAGAAAGAAAGGGAGGGGGGGGATACAATATCAAGAACAGCTCATAATCCAGTTAAAACCTGACAGTTATTACCCGCTTTTCACACTTGGAGCCACGGCCTCGATGTGCCCTCCTTAGCGCCTTTGTGGCCCAAATACCCACATCTTTGCGCTACAGCCTAAGACCCTTTTCATTCCATCTGACTTTTCTATACAACCACGAATTGTCCTGAGTACTGCCTTTTCGGGTGAGTACGATTCACTTGGTCATTGGGCGTTGCTGCCCCTGCCCCTCATCATCGACCGACTCAACGCCGCGTTCACCTGTACGGTGCTGCTATACTCCCGTGTCAAGGATTCCTCCGACGCGTCCAACGTTTTTGGCACCCGCTCAACCAGACGATATCATGAGCTCCACCTGTCCTGCACCAACTGCGTCAGCAGTTGTCAAGTCATCTTCACCCGCTGAGCAAGGAATTGCCAAGCCTCGTCCTCAACTGGAACCATCACTTTTACCCCTGCAGCCTATCGAGAATGTCTCAGACACGGGTTATATTTTGAACCTGCCACCCGCTGGCACGCACAAACCGTCGCCGACGAAGACACGTCGAGGGTCAGGTGTCTCGCTATCTGGAGGAGGAAAGCTGGGCTTCGTCTCGATAACGGCCCCTGTTCCACCATCATTCCCTACGGATTCTCCTACGAAGAAAACTCCTTCCAATCCATACGCGTATTCCATTACGTCTACAACGTCGATGCCGCAGTCGGCCTTGTTCACGACATTTCCCAGCGTCAATCCCGACAGGCTCTCCTCAAGAGAGAGTCAGCCCATAGACGAACCACCCAGTGATAATTTTGCGGATTTTCCTGAACCATCATTCCACTCCAGAACTCAATCGAAAAGGACGCTTATGGACGCGGCTCCATTGAAGGAGCGGCCTGCGAAAAGGCCGAAACGCGAAGACACTAACTCTATGCGTTTACCCGAACCACATGAAATGCCTCCTATAGAAGACGACGGCACGAAACCTCCGTATAGTTATGCAACACTAATTGGGATGTCTATTCTACGCGCACCAAATAGGCGGTTAACTCTTGCACAGATCTACAGATGGATCTCAGACACGTTCTCATATTACAAGAACAGTGATCCTGGCTGGCAAAATAGCATCCGTCACAATCTCAGTTTAAACAAGGCATTCATAAAGCAGGAACGGCCTAAGGATGACCCAGGGAAGGGCAACTACTGGGCCATTGAACCTGGGATGGAAGCACAATTCCTTAAAGACAAACCCCTACGCCGGGCCACAATGTCTAGTAACCCCCTTCCGGCTGCTCCCCAAAGGGAGCTTGCGCATTCACAGAGCTCTACCACGGCCACGGCCACGTGGACAGTTCCATCGTCCTATCCTTCCGTAGTGCCGAAGTCTTCGAAGAATGTGGATTTGTCCTCCGACGCGACACTACCTGCTTCGGACCCCGCCCTCCAGGATGACACAGGTGATGAAGGAGTGAGCGGGCCTATTACGCAGATTCTCCCACCACGGTCTTCTCCTCCACAGACTATACACTCATCACCTCCAATTGTGCCACCTCGGTTCATCCGCCAGGGAACCCCGCCTACTCCATCTCAGGGTCTTACGTCGACAGGGGTCGTGTCTCGCTCTAGAAAACGGAAGTCAACGGGCATGAATGATAGCGGCTATTTTTCTTCTTTGGAGTCCTCGGCAATGCGACCAAACAAAGCGGGGCACATCCTAACATCAGACTTGGATATTGAACCTCCTCGTATCAAGCGTGGCCGGGCAGAAGAAGAGATTGCTCGGATTAGGAGTTCTTCTCATGATATCAGTCCGGGCCATTCTGGTACGCTGAAAGACACTGGGCTTATTGCTGGCTCTTCGCCACTTCGTAGTGAATACGTTAGCATGCTACCGCCTCCCATTACTCCTGTCATAAAATTCAAGAAGCCCGCAAAGCCCCCACCGTCGGTCTCCCCTAACACCAATCTTCGAAATCACCGCAAGAAGATCCAGCACATGGTCAACTCCCCCATTAAGCATTTAGGCCTCACAGACGAAGATCTACCATGGAGCCCAGCTTTTAACATTCAGGATGAAACCTTTACGCCGAATGAAAATCTCCACACTACTTTTGACGTATTTGCGGATACTACCGCGGATAGCATTTCGACGTCTACATATGGTTCACCAGGAAAGCGTTCCGCGAAACGTTCACGGGGGGATGCTAGTGGCTCAAACGGTGGCGTGCTTGCTGATATAACGGCTATGAGTGTGAATAGCCGGATCGGCTTGCCTTCATTTTCATCTTCAAGCAAAACGAAAGGCCTCCTCTTCCCCGACTCACCATCAAAGGTCCCCGAGTCCGGGCGTTTTATGGATACTACCCATGATGATTTTTTTTCTTTCCACCTTTTTGATGAGAGCCCCGGAGAGGTAGATGGGGTTGATCTTTTACAGGGGTTTCAAAAAATCGGCAGCGGAAGCAAAGAAGAACCACCGAAACCCAGACCGCACGTGCCTAGGCCACAGCTGAATCATCGGAGCAATATGTCATTATTCTGAATCCCGAATTGGTTCCACCCTACCGAGGATTTGGTTGTTCGACGTCTTTGCACTCCAAGAATATGGTCTCCCCAATCTAATCTCTACCGCTGCTTAACGCACAATAATGCTGATCTTAAACCTGGGGATTTGGAGTTTGTATTCAACATGATTCGCTCTTTGGGTTGATTAAATTTTAGGCGGTTGATATACTTGGCGTTTAGGGCAGGGGTGCGGCTTGGAATTGGTTTTGATTTCAATTGATGACCTTATTATGACATTGACGATATTTGCTAAGATGTACATGAAATGCCATGTTTTACGAGCCTGATTCTTGACCATGTCTACTCTCAAGAGGCCTTGATATGCGCTTGTTATCTCTTTTTTCTTGCTGGTTGTAGCTATCATTAGTGGTCATTTGTCAATGAATTCCTTTGAAACACTAGTCGGTTAAGTACGTGTCCGTTTGACTAGATGCTAGAGCACAACACGGTGCGCAGTTCTTTGTAAGGGTATCATTTTGCGATCGGCTGAAACATTATTGAGAAGGAATATCGAATATAGTGCCGAAGGGAGAGAGATATGTGGGCATAGGGAAATATTCCAGATAAGCAGAAGAAAAACCAAATACAGCCCGGACGCCTTTGTATAAACAAAACAATCATGAATCCCGATTTGAACCATGTACATGGGAATATTCCAATTCTTCTTTTTCATTTTTCTCCGTTTTTTGTGCTCCCAAGCTTGGACAGTGTTGGCAGAGCAATGCTAATCGCTACTGGCACAACCTCGACATCCACAACTAACGCATTGCATCATTTGATTCTCTTTTAGTTGAGCCTTTGGAACGCGGCAAATACACGTGGCATTAAAATTCGTTTCCTTGGTCTGAATGCAACGGAGACAACAAAGCTACGATTAAGCGCGAAGTCAGTAAAATGCTAATTCTCGGGTATTGGAGGACATTCAGACGCAAAGAGCACCCTAAAAGATGAGAGAAAGTGGAGATAATACCTTTTCGTAACCTTGCTTCTTCCATTTAGCAATTAAGTTAGCATCCGCATAGTTATTCTTGAGAAGCCAGTCATATAATGGCTTTGATATAGCTTCCTTTTCGTAATATAAATCGTAGATATATCTTGAGCCTGTGAAAGGATTAAGTTAACTACATTCGAAAAAACTTGCAGAAGGGTATACTTACGTTGATGGGTTATTTGAAAGATTGGCCACAGCATCTCATGTTTCCTCTTGCCATCATGCGGCGCATTCTCTGCGTCTTTCATCTTATTACTGAACTCAAGCAGTGTGTCCTCGATGTCATCGAACCCCGCCGGAGGTGGTTTGCGGTTGCGGGAGGTTCGGATCGGAGGCATACTCAGCGTATTAATATTAACGATCGAATCGATCTGAAGTAAGAGCCAGATATTGTCCTTATAAACGCTTTTGAAGGTAAGAGGACGGTTCTTCAGGTTTCAGCTTGCTTAGTTGAAAAGGCGCTTGCAATGGTTTGGGATCTGCGTCACTTTTCTGCCACAGAGCACCGCCTTCTAAATATGCGAAAAGGAACTAAATTTGGTATGTGGTGTTGGGGATAGTTCAGCTTCTTTAGTGAAACCCCTTCAGTCTTCTACTACCCCGTTACTCAACTTATACTCGACAAAGCACCAGGAATCACTTCCCTGAAATCAGGATGGATCAACAGCTCGATGTCTCCAAGCTCAGCGAAACCGACAAGAAAGAATTGAACCAGATTTTAACAAATGAGGCCCAGAAATCGAACATCCAGCAGAGTAAGTGAATAATCCATCTGAACTTGGTGTTTGTTGCGTTTGGCCCAAGGTACTTATGGACTATTCATTAGCCGTGCATCACCTCGCCGACGTTTGCTGGAAGAAATGTATCACTGGGAAGATTTCCTCCGGTCGCTTGGATCAGTCTGAAGAGGCTTGCGCCCAGAACTGTGTGGAGCGGTGGATGGATACCAATCTTGCTGTTTTGAAACATCTGGAAGCTCTCCGCTCACAATAAGCAAGTTATGGTTCTGACAATGGAAGACTTGGTACATATGATGTCTTGTGATTATCAATACTGTGGCTAGGGTTTGTCAAAAGTTCGAGATGGGAGCAAACTGTGCCTTTACTAGCATGACAACTGATTGACTTGGTACTGTATAACTAGAAAATGATCAATGTATTCGCTACGTATGGATGTGTCATGTTCGCGTTCTTTCATTGGCGAACTCAATGTCTATACCATGCACCAGAGTCCAGAAGCCTGCCTGCTTCCATGGAGCGGTTACGTAGAGGTACATTTAGATAAGATTACCAATAAAAAAAAAAGAAATCTCAAGGCCTACACTACCCAGATCGATTCAGATTATGCATTCAAATGACACCAATTTTTGTAACGATCATTCAGCCGTCGTTGCAGCACGGGTAGCTAACTGTATGACCAGGACTTATAAGCTACCGCGTTAAAAAAAAAACAAGTTCACCTGACCCATAAAAAATGATTCGTCTAGACAATGGCAAGCTTGGTAGCCGCAATGTCCAGAGCATCCACATCAGGAGTTAGCCGAGCGAAGGCTTTCTTGGATCCATCGGGCCTGTATCCTTGTTAGAGGCAAAATTCTCGAATCGAGTGTTTATCACTCTGCGCCAAGATGATCATCATACCTGACAAGAGTATTGACCTTGACGGTGTCGACATCATAAAGCTTCTTAAGAGCCAGTTTAATCTGGCGCTTGTTCGCTTTCACATCCACGATGAAAACCAGAGTGTTGTTCTCCTCGATCTTCTTCATTGCACTCTCGGTGTTAAGAGGGTAGAGAATAACCTTGTGGGAATCGAGACGAGGCGCATGAGGAATCGATTTGCGGGGGTACTTGGGCGACCGGGAGAGCTCAAGGGTCTTAGGGCGGTGGAAGGTGGTGGAAGTGCGGACCTTGCGAGCCTTGTGCGCCTGGTTGACGAGATATCTTAGCATGAAAAGGTACGTTTGATGCTCAACGGTGGTAACGTACGCCTACACCCTTCAGGACTGCCTTGGCAGCAGCGCCAGCGCGGTCGCTGGGCTTTGTCTTGCCTATAAAGATAGCCAATCAGCAAAACTGCGAAAATCGTCTCTTCCAGGAATCGTCATTTGGGATGGCGAAGTAGTTTCAGCGAACAAAATCCACAATACACTCCCTCCCTTGACTTCATTTCCCTCGTGGATTGTGTACGGAACATTCACATTTCTGTGTCTGCCATGTAAAAGGGAACAAAATGCTCTGAAACTTGCGGTTGCAAACTCGGCCATCCTGCAACTCAGGGGGAAACATCAAATCGTTCAAAATCTACCCACCTTGCTTGTTATCCGCCTTAGGTGCCATGGCTGTCGTCCGGCGCTGTCGTGATGATTGTCGCGGTGTCGAATGTCGAAGTATTTCGAATGCACTCGCTTAGGGAAAACCCTACGGCTTTGCTCTGTGGGTCACCTGACCTGATCCTTAGTTCCGCTGTTATATTATGCGCCAAACCTAAAATAGATACATTGGCTCCACTTTAAGACTTGCACAATAGCCCGTAACCCCGTGACCATGAGAAGGTAAAGCTAGTCGTTGGGAAAGGTTGTTTCATGTCTTGACTCTGCATACTTTCTTTGTAGGCAGCTTGGACTGCTCCTCTTTCACTTCCCCTACTCGTTTACAAAGGAACTTCTCGATATGCCACTTTCAACCCTATTGCCTATTTAATGAAGGAGCTTGAGAATTAGGTCTGCATCTTCCCTGAAGTTCAGCTACAACACTAACGTCACACATCCTGTTGAAGTTTACTATTATTATTTTCTTTTTATTTTTATTTTTTTTATACACACACACACACACGCACACACACATATATATATATATATATATAGTAAGCATGGCATCGCGGAGATCTCGGACGAAAAAGACACCGCTCCTTTCACATACTCGACCGCCAACAGTTAGAGCCAAACATGCAACCCTCTCATCCAAAGCCACACGCAATCTCATTCGCAGCCATCATCGACTTCTCAAAAACCGGGCACAAGCTTTAAAAGCCAACGATAATCTTCTAATTGAAAGGATCGATGCCCAAATTCGAGAGAATGGCGGCTTAGAAGGCTATCAACTTGCTAGCAGACTCGGGCAGTCGCTAGAACGCGGTGGAGACTCAAGTAAAGTTTTAGTCGATTGGCTAAGTCCACAATTATCACGGTTACAAGATACGAAGTCTAAGCTTCGGGTACTCGAAGTTGGTGCTCTCAGCACCCAAAATGCTTGCTCTATGAACCACTTCTTAGATGTCACCAGGATCGATTTGAATTCTCAGGAGCCCGGAATATTAAGACAGGATTTTATGGAAATGTCACTCCCTCGTGACGCCTCCGATCAGTTTCACATAATTAGCCTTTCTCTGGTTCTAAATTATGTCCCAGATGCCATTGGCAGGGGCGAAATGTTGAAGCGATGCGTTACTTTCCTGAAAAAGCCACCCCTGTCTGGGTCATCCTTCCATATCACACCTAGGTTGTTCCTAGTCTTGCCTGTGGCCTGCGTCAAAAACTCACGATATCTCACCGAATGCAGACTGCGGGACATAATGTCTAGCATGGGGTTTGTCCTAGAAAAGAGCAAGGAGACTTCGAAGTTGATATTCCAGCTTTGGGAGCACAGGCATGACTTGCAACCCGCGTTGTTCAAGAAAGAGGTTTTGAGGCCTGGCAAGATGAAAAACAATTTCGCCATTGTTGTCAAACGATGAAAGCCACAATGACTGCAAAGCTGACTGAAAGGCTTTACTATACAGAAATCATATTCTCTGGCAAGAACGCCCACGCGGTTCCAACAATTGCCAATGCTGTTGATATGAGTAAAAGAAGCCAGTCCAGGAGCCACTCTTTCCGACTAATTTCTTGTCCGAATATCTTCAAATAAAATGCAAGTGGCAGAATGATGCAGATCGTAAAGCACAAAGCAGAGCCCATCAGCGCCATGATTCGGTCAAAGGATGGGCAGAGGATTGCCATTAACACGATAACTGCGACCACAAGAAGCCGTATAATAGTTTGCAATGACTGTCGAATGGTTACTCGTATGCTGTTGGAATTTTCTGGTACTAAGGTGACGTGCGGCCCAAGCCCACAAAGGACTTCAACTGTAGCCACCAGAGGTCGACAGCTGTATTAATCAGTGAATATGAGCTCGAAAAGGTTTATCGGAAAAGGGGATGAGCTTACTTTAGAGGCACTTTTGTGATTGGAATGATTGCGATAAAGATTATAATGCAAATAGATATCCCGCGTGGATATTCATTCGTCAGCAGGATGTTGGCGGTGACTTCATCCCGTACTCCATCACCAAACATTACCCATCCCACAATAGCCATTGCGCAATCCAGGGAATACTGTTGTGTATGATACGTTAGATATATACTGTTGCTTTGGTAACTTGCCACGTACCGTAAAGAGATATGTTGCCCCCAGGCTCTTTCCATATTTGCTTGGGTGCCTCATATCCCTGTATATATTGGGAAACACGCCATGGCCGCCCCAAGGTGCTATACGAATTTGATAGAGTCAACTTATCTATATCCTTGGTCACCATTGGAAAGGACTTACACATGATCAGCCCGAAGCTAAGAGGCACGGTCCGCCAATTGTTTGGGAATAAAGAAGTTTTGGCTGGTTCGTGGAGAGAACCCGGACCGTTTGGTTTGAGGAGCCCATCAAGGCATATTAGTATAATAACTTCGGGGTGTTAGTGACAGAAAATGCTCGGGAGGAAAAGGCCATGGCATACTGGATGTGCAAGAGATGATACCCAAAATACTAGTCACACTAAGAAGTCGTAAAGGCACAAAATTCAAAGGAATAAGCATAAAACCACAAATAAGTTTCCACTGCAGACTACTCAGCCCTGGAATTAAAGCCTGGAGACTGTCAGCAAAAAGGACAACTAGGGCGACACAAGCCCCTATGAGTTCCAAACAGAATAGAAGACTTGTCGCTAAGCGTGCATGATTTCCAAAACTTATGTAGGCCAAATCAGCGTAGGTAACGAGACTCCGATCAACGTCTAAGCACCTAGCAAGAATCCTAGCTGTGTAAGAAGTTACCACGGCAGCGAATGAAAGAAATGTTAGACCAAGAAGCCAACCTGCCTGCTTCATTGCCAGCGGTAGGCTCAAGAGTCCAATGCCGATTAGAACATTCACGGAGTTGAAGATGGTTTGCGGCACAGTCGACTGGCCAACAACAATACTCTCAAGAGTGCCATCCTCATGGTGTACCTGTTTGACGAGTAGAGATTCAGTATCCTCACTCGCAGGTGCATCAAGGAGGGCTTGTTGCTCCCTGTGGAGTTGTACAGCGTGTCTCCGTGTCGCTTCGCTAACGCGAGAGGATATGGTGCCGTATGACGTTCCGGCGCTTCTATCCAACGATGATTCGACAACGCCTGCGATTCCTTTTGGCGGAATTTGGCCATCGAGGTCATGGCCCTCTTCCTCACCGTCGGCAGCAAGCAATGGCCGGGTAATATCAGTGCCTCGGCCGAGTGATCGGGACGCAGCAATGTCATTCACGGTCCAATCTTCGTCGGATTCAACCGTCACAAACGAGGGTCGGCGAGGAATTATTTCTGGGAACCCTGCAGCTCGCTGCCACGACCGAGCAAAACTATCAATACTGTTGACCCCGCCTGCGTGTCTGAACCGCGCGGAAAATGATGCTGGCCTGAATGACGTAAATATTTGCAGAGAGGACAGCACATAATTTGACAGCTCACCCTAGTCTGCTGGCAGAATAAGCATCGGTTAAATATCCCGCAGACCCTGCGGAATTCCCACGAGAAAAAAAATCGAGGTCTGGTTGTAAGCCTGGCGGATTCGAACTTGGTATCCTGATACCATGTGTGTTACGCTCGGGCGTACTAGAGTCTCCTATGTCCTCGTCCTCAATTAGCGCTACGGGGGTCGGCATCTTTATAATTTCCTAGGAGAGGAAGAGGGAGAAGTAGACGTGCGCTAATGGTGTTGAGAAAGAAGACACCAAGAAACAGAAAGTAACAGGAAAGGCGGCGTTCCGGCCTTGAAAGGTCTCCCGGAACCAAAGTTGGATGAAAGCATGATAGAAGAGCACCACGAAACTCCTGCTTTCTTTCTTGCCAAGACACCTCTACATAAGTGAAAACAAGTCGAATCTTCATGAATACTGTGGATGACAAGAGCCAATTAAGGACAGAGAAATGATAGGATAGACAACCAGTTCGCTAACAAGTGTCTTGAAATGTATTACAGCAAGGCGACTGCTAGCGATGATAAAGGAGGCTGAAGAGATACACCAAGAAGAAAACATAAATCTACTAGTCTTTATCAGAGTATATTATGTATATTAGCAGTACCACAACAGGCATTGATTCAGTCGCCACTACTCCGTAAAACCGTAGCAAACGTTCTCTAATTCAAACTGTCAATGAATATAAGTACTGTAAGTATACCAGTGATGCATACAATACCATCTGGCATATACTCATACATAAGTATGTGTATATGTATTTCAAGTAAGTGATATCATACATACAGCACATCCAAAATATTAAATATATGAAACTACCTGTGCCTGAAAGTGAGCATTTATAGATTCTTTTCTAGAACTCTCAAGGGTTGAGTATAATACCAAAAGTAATAGTTACACATAGTTTATTTTCAGCCAGTTACTTGTACTGCTTCAGAGGGCTTTGTACTGTATTTACTGCTACGCACCTAATAAAAAAAGGGTGTATATATGTATGTATGTATGTATGTATGTATGTATGTATGTATGTACTATACGGGGTATCATATCTGCAATACCTAATAACAATAGTTCAATACAAGCATGCATTTATGATTATATCAGCAACTACTACCGACCTAATTAATAGTATTCTTATGGTCACTGCCACCCCACGGTGCCTGATGAAATTTGCTAAAACCCCCCCCCCCCTGCTGCTGGATTTGGACGGCACATTAAACTAGCCTCAAGGTATGCAATTTATCCCTCTCAAGTCCTGGCTTTATTGCTTGTTTCTTCTCCCTCACTATTCAAAATTTTGTCCCTCACCCTAACCCTCCCCTATTCTTCTATTATTAACAGAGTTCACGAGTCGGTCAAGTAAGCACGTTAGGCTTTCCACTCCCCGGTCGTCCAACATCGTCGTGTCGCCCAACATGAGCGCGGCTCAGGCGAATGAAGCGGAGAAGAATATCGAAATATGGAAGGTTAAAAAACTAATCAAGCGTCTGGAGGCCGCCAGAGGAAATGGCACCTCGATGATCTCTCTTATCATCCGTGGGTTCTTCCACGACCTCATGATTGTAGATTGCAGCTAACACTACGCATTCAGCTCCCAAGGACCAGGTATCTAGGGCGGCAAAGATGCTGGCTGAAGAATTTGTAAGGTCTGGTCGATTCCATTTTTTGGAAGGGAGAAGCTAACCGAGACCTGTAGGGCACTGCTTCCAATATCAAATCCCGGGTCAATCGTCTTTCTGTCCTGTCCGCCATCACTTCCACGCAGCAGCGTCTTAAGCTCTATAATAAGGTTCCCCCCAATGGCCTAGTCGTCTACTGTGGTGAGATTATCACCTCCGAGGGCAAGGAGCGTAAAATAAACATCGACTTCGAGCCATTCAAGCCTATCAATACGTCACTCTACCTGTGTGACAACAAATTCCACACTGAAGCACTGAGCGAACTTCTTGAATCGGATCAAAAGTTCGGTTTTATTGTCATGGATGGAAACGGTGCACTTTTTGGCACGCTAAGTGGAAACACCAGAGAGGTCCTTCAGAAGTTGAGCGTTGATTTGCCCAAGAAACATGGCCGTGGTGGTCAGTCAGCACTGCGTTTCGCGCGTCTCCGTGAAGAGAAGCGCCATAACTACGTACGCAAAATTGCTGAGCTGGCCGTCCAAAATTACATAACCAATGACAAGATTAACGTTGCGGGTCTGATCTTGGCTGGTTCTGCCGACTTCAAGAACGACCTCAACCAGTCAGATATGTTCGATCAACGGCTGCAGTCTAAGGTGATCAAAGTCGTTGATGTATCTTACGGTGGAGAGAACGGTTTCAATCAGGCCATCGAACTTGCCTCGGAAACTTTGAGTAATGTGAAGTTTGTGCAGGAGAAGAAGCTCATTGGCAAATATTTCGAGGAAATTAGCCAAGACACTGGGAAAGTCTGCTACGGTATTGATGATACTCTCAAGGCGTTGGAACTTGGCGCAGCAGAGACACTTATTGTATACGAGAACTTGGATGTCACTCGATGGGTCTTGAAGGACTCAACCGGTTCCGAAGTTGTCATTCACACAACCAAAGCTCAAGAGGAGAGCAACCGGGAACTGTTCCTCGACAAGGAAACTAACACCGAAATGGAAGTTGTAGACCAGTCTTCGTTCCTTGAGTGGCTTGCAGAGAGCTATAAAGACTTCGGTGCGACTTTGGAGTTCGTTTCTGACAAATCTAGTGAGGGTAATCAGTTTGTTAAGGGCTTTGGTGGTATTGGGGCTATTCTCCGGTATAAAGTCAATTTCGAACAGCTTGCCGACTATGATGACGAGGACGAATTTTATGATGGTATGCTTGTTGTCCACGCTATTTAGCTAGTATGCTGACGCTGAACTGCTACAGATTGACGGTCCAGCGACCTCGCAGGGAGCGAGGATGAAAGGCCAGAAGACCCCAATATGGGTCTTTTGACGACTCGCCCTTTGTGGTATGAAGGCAGCTTTCGTGGTGAACTCACCGCTTCATTAGTAGGGACCATCATGCTGCGTGGACCGAACTCTGTCCAGCTGCTCAAAGGTATGGTCACGCACATCTGCCAGCAATGTTTCTCCGGTAGTTACTAACAGCTATGCTACCTAATAGGGCCATCCAAGCTTCGTACTTTTTGAGATTCATGTTACCTATAGGGTCTAGGTTGATACAAGGCGTACTTTGTAAATGGATGGTGGATGTGATATGATGCAGCTACCCACAAATTGTCAGCCCTGGCATTTAAGCCAGCGAGTTAGGATTGATTTATTCCAAAAAGATATTCCTTGTTGGTGTTACTATCCGATTTGTTTATTGCTCCTATGTGCGCTCTTCATATATAAATGCCCATCCCGCAAACAAAAAAAAAAAAAAAAAAAAAAAAAAAAAAAAAAAAAAAAAAAAAAAAAAAAAAAAAAAAAAAAAAAAAAAGAGGGAACAAAGAAGAAAGGGAAGAAGAGGTAAAAAGAAGGATAAAGAAAGAAGTTAAAACTGAGAGAAAAAGGAGGGACTCATCTATTTTCTTGGATTGGTTTGCTGTATTTGCGTATATATTCGATACTGTGCATCCACTTAAATATATTTTGGGCAGTTGCTTTTCTCTGACATTTACCCATGAGTTGGCAAGTATGCACTTGCTATTATCAACTAAATGCACACCATTCATGATCACTCAGACCATGTTCCCAAATGTCTACATGTCTCGGTAACGCTCTGCAAGTGACCCAGAATCTCAATGCCCACGCCTTTATCCTCTAGATTATTGGCTATCTGGCACTCAACCAGGAAGACATACTGCCAATTCTTCTTCTGACTTGGCCGGGAGTTGATGCTTGTAAGGTTCATGCCATGGCGTTTGAATATTAACAGAGCTTCCGCCAGGGCCCCAGGGGCATATTGACAAACCATGAATGATATCAAGGTCTTCCTTGCTGTTGATGCAGATGCTCCTTGCATGCGGCGGTTATTCAAGTCTCCGAAAGGGCGCGGCCCTGTACGGCCTGAGTTCTTGTTCCTTAACACGAGGAAGCGTGTTGTATTATCGGTTTTGTCTTCGATATTCTCTTCTAAAACATCCAGGCCGTGGAATTCAGCAGCAAAGCGGCTAGCTATTGCAGCGCTTTGTTCTGTTTTTGCTTTTGAAACAATCTCCCCAGCCTTGGAAGTTGATGAGACATCCTGCCTTTCAATGCCTTTAAAGTATTTTCCAAGGAATCTTTCACATTGGCCCCAAGCTTGCGGGTGGGTATAAAGCTTAGCTACAGAACCATAATCCTGTTGACTAGAAAATACACCTCTTCGGGCCAAGAGGCAATGGTGCACTGTCAAATAATGCACACCGCATACCTCGACGTCCTTGTAAAGGTCATTGGGATCCGCCAGGAGGTCAAGAGTCTGAACGACTGAGCCATTAGTTGAGTTTTCACAAGGGATGATAGCATAATCTGCTTCACCCTGTTGCACTGCGGTGAAAGCATCCGTGAATGATACACAAGGTAGCAATTCAGCAGACTTTCCAAAGAATTCAACAGCAGCCTAGAATTCGGATTAATGATCTGAGATTGGTTTGGGCATAGTGTCCTGACCTGGTGTGAAAAGGATGCGGCAGGGCCCAGGAACGTTACAGTGATATGCTCCATAGCTGTTGGAATTTAAGGGACCAAAGAGAGAGTGAGGAAATTCCGCTGTACATGCTTTACTAGACATCTCCGAGCGCATGGTGTATGCGGGAAGTGTATTTGAAACAAACAAATCAAACAACATACGCAGTATTGGTTCTTGAGGTTTAGTTAGCGAGTTTCTTCAATCACATTGTAACGGCCCCATGCCATCTCTATTCCCATTGCTGCTAAAACCCAGAAGAAGCCCCTGTTATATCAGCCTGATTATCTAAATGAAGAGGAACGTCTTACTCCCACTGGGGGGGAGAAGATCGGCAATCTCATCGCGGACATACTCGTCACTCTGCGATCGTTTGCATCGCGAATTAACATCGCGGATACTCCCTTTGAACTTTGATTATCTACATACCCAGCCTTCCCATCTCCTGAGCTTGACATTAGCTGACCTTCTTCCGGGGACTCTTGTATGGCCGTGTGTTCATACGGCTCTCCCCTCAGTCACCCGTGCATTTCGTATGCCGGCTGGCCATCATTTGGCTTATTTTCCTCCGCAGGTTACGTTATCACAGTTACTACCAGATGGCACTGATGTCTTACATAGTCCCGGTGTACCTTTTGAAAGGCGTCTATGGGCCGGTGGAAGTGTCAGATTTCCTGTCACAAGAGGTCTGATTCTCAACGGAGCCCGAGCTGTCTGTATCGAAACGATTCGTGACGTGATGGTGAAAGGACGTGAAGGGGCAGAGAAAGTGATGGTTAAAATAGAGAGGCGAATGGCCGTGGTACAGGAGGAGGAAGAGGAGGGCAGTATCAGAGAGCGGATATGGAAGGATACCGAAGACGAAATTGGGCATGCTGCGGTCATTGAAAGTAGGAATCTGGCTTTTATGCGGAAAAAAACACAAGGTGAACTGCATTATGACAAGATGAATTTTGATACCTGTCAGAGAGTCATAAAACGTGCGCAAGCTCATTCAACACGCCCAGAAAGTACATGCTGACGCCTATTTTTTTTTGGGTTTATTTCAAGCACCTCCTAGCCCTGAATATCGCCTTGAAATCAAGCCGACAAGATCATTACTGTTTCGCTTCTCTGCTCTCACGTTCAATGCTCACTCTATTCACCTGGACGAGGCTTATACTCAGAATGTGGAAGGTTTCCGGAATCTTCTTGTGCATGGACCGTTGACTCTGACACTGTTGCTCACTGTCCTTGAAGCACATCTCGCCAAATCAGACCAAATCATCACAGCATTTGACTATCGAAATGTGGCTCCTCTTTATGTTGATGAGCCTCTAACCATTTGTGGCAAACCAAAGTCTGGAAAGGACGATGTATGGGATGTATGGATTGAAGGAAAGAACGGAGGCCTGGCAGTACGCGGCACTGCTTTTACAAGCCCAGTGTAAGGAATGGGCTTCGCGCCTTTGGATCACCGCTAGCACTCTGCCGATATAGAGTTTCTCGGCATAAGCTAATGTGCAGCCCATTGGGTAAGGCATTATATATTCATGTTTCCAGCAGATGTAAAACCGCGAGATGGAGCAAAGCGCTGGTATAGAACTTCGGCCGCCATGCTATGACCTTGACTTCTTCTACAATTATGCAGCTCAACCCATTTATTCATCGTCAAATTATTTATAGAAGCTACGGGAAGTCATCAATGATGCGAGAATTCATACAGTACAATGGTCAAGACTAGGTCTCAAAGACGGTCTACTCTGCGATGTGATTCTAAGAACAGAGGTTGCTTATTTGGGTAAATACAGCATACAGTACAATATCGCCTCCGGAGTCTGTTCCTTTTATCTGGCATTGTGGTCATTCTACTAATGTCCTTCATCCGGCTATACGCGTAGTAGATTAAGTTCACCGCATCAATATTACTATTATATACATACCATAATTTTATTTTATATAGCCATATTTTAGTAAAAAAAGTTGTTAGTAAGTTAGTTACTATATACATACCCATTAGAAACATCCTTATATGTAGTAATTTAGTATTTAGCTGCAGAATATGAAATATTTATATTATAGATGAGAAATAATTATGGCAGGAAGGTAGGGGGTATTATATCTAGACCAATTGAAAAGCCCGATTCTGGAAGACACACTAATATCCATACCATACTCCGTAAACCCAGAAGACTCATGTAAAGTACCGTAAATTAAAAAGGTTTCTCTGATCCATACCGGAAAATGGTACTGCCGCAAGAATTGCACTAGTGGCTAGACACCTTTTATATTTTGTCTCCCACAACATATTCCTTCTCCTTCCTTTATTTTCGAACAACCAAGGTGATCTAAGTTAGGCACTGCATGATGTTTGCAATGTGTCTTGTTTCTTAGCTGAATTTTCGATCCATCTTAACACTGAATCCTCTATACTCACATAGATGCAATGGATCGTTTTTGGTCTGCGCCGCCTGTGACAAGGTACTCAATTCACATCATTATCAAGCTGCCATATCCATAATCAAATGACTGATGTTTGAAATACCAGGAGCCTAACTGCCCTTACTTTCGTTCAGTCCGCTTTGGTTTATGGTGGTCTACTAAGTGGTAGATACGTTATATTCCGTCCGGGACTAGTCTTCAAGCAGCTTCCTGAGGCATGGAGGTTGTTCTCGTCATTCTTTATGACAGGACCTCGCCTTGACTTTATACTTGATATCTACTTCAGTATGAATCTGTGATGGCCTGGTCTAACCGCGGCACTAACATACAGTAGTGTTCAAGTATGGCAGTGCTTTGGAGACGGCATCACCACGGTTTAGTTCACCGGGTGACTTCTTCACGTACGTGTTCTTTGTAGCCACTGTTATTACGGTAAGTTATGGGACAGCTTTGTTTATTAGTGCCTTGGCAACCCTCCCTTTTCTGGCGCCAACTGCTGCCTTTTTAACCTCGCATATCTGCCCGCCCAGCCTCTATCTAGCTGAAGCGGTTCCTGGAAGTGAGGAAGATTGCCCCTGCATCTCATACAGTACCACATTCGCATTATCATTTAGGGCTGCATGCGATGCAGGCATGGTGGGACGGCCTTTGAGATAGCCTACGTGATTACATTCTGTTCACGTAGGTGGTTATGGTGCCCTACATATCAGATTCCTATTTTATGTTTTAGCAAAACAAATATGCTTATATCTGTTCACTTCGCGAGTAGCCTTTTCACCTGTGCTGACAAGTTGAAGCTCACCGCAGGTTGCCTGTTAGATGATGTAATTTTTACCCATGGTGAGGTCGCTGCAGTATCCGGCATAATTTACCTACTAACCCTCGGTAGCTTTAATCATCGCATTTGTCTACACGTTCGCCCAAGATAACCAAGGTAGAAAAGCCTCTTTCTTCGTGGTCCAACTGCCTGTTGAATTCCTACCATGGGCGATGCTCACCTGGACGCTTGTGCTTAGTGGGTGGCATGCAGCATTTAGTGAGAGCATGGGAATAGTCGCGGCACACATGTATGATTTCTTCTCACGCATATATCCAACTTTCGGAGGTGGTAGGAACTACATTATCACGCCGACTGTTGTGCGGAGAATCTTTAGCGCCCATATGCCCCCCAGTCAGCACCGGGCCTATGGAACAGCTTATCGTCCGATCCCTGAAGAACAAAATCCATCCCAGGGCTGGGGCTCTTTTCAAAGCCCCTGGAGCAGTAGAGGACCAGGCAGAAGACTGGGCGGCGGCTAAAACGGCCGTCTTGTACAATAATTTGACAATGATAGTTTCGACGCCGAGGTATAAGCTCAATAGTTCTAGTCTTTAGGGACACTATAATTAAACAAAATACCCAAATCGCCAGCGAACGTTGATTGTAACAAGGATTTCAGAGTTTTTTCGTAGTTGTGGATCGATTGCTGTTCAAGTCACGGGATGCTTATTCAATTGGTAAGGGACTTTACGCTAGCTTGTTTTGTCGTTAGACCGGCAGCCGCACTTCAAAATTTCCCATTACTGCTTTCTCGCTAGCGCCCCCAAAACTTTAGCTCGGCAAGTGCAATTTTTCCTGCGTTCTTTTCCAACCTGCGCGCACTCTTACCTGGCTACTCTGCATGCTCTGAGAAAGCCTGTTCAAAATGGCAGTCGCATTGGCTAAGGAAGAGATGGACTACACAATCAAGCCAGAGTCTGGCGCCTCCAACATCTCCACGTCTGACTGGCCGCTTTTACTGAAAAATTATGACAAACGTACGTTCGCATCCTACCGGTATTCTCGCCGAGCTCATTGGTATTGTGGCTTGGATGAGTTCATATATGCTCTATTGAGTAGCTTTAACTAATTGCACCTTACAGTCCTCGTCAGGACTGGTCATTTTACGCCAATTCCCGCCGGTTGTTCTCCGCTGAAACGTGATTTGAAGTCGTATATCAATTCTGGCGTGATCAACCTCGATAAGCCTTCTAACCCATCCAGTCATGAAGTGGTTGCTTGGATGAAGAGGATTTTGAGGTAATACCACAAAGATCAAATCAAATGGCAAGTTGCTAAAGCATTGTTTTTATACTTTATTAGGGCAGAAAAAACTGGACACAGCGGAACTCTTGACCCAAAGGTCACCGGTTGTTTAATTGTTTGCATTGACCGTGCCACTCGCCTGGTTAAATCGCAGCAGGGTGCTGGGAAAGAATACGTCTGCGTGATCCGCCTCCACGACAAGATCCCGGGTGGTGAGGCTCAGTTCAGAAGAGCCCTTGAAACGTTGACCGGTGCACTTTTCCAGAGACCGCCATTGATCTCTGCTGTCAAGCGTCAACTCCGTATCCGGACGATACACGAGAGTAAACTCTACGAATTCGACAATGATCGACATCTTGGTGTCTTTTGGGTCAGCTGCGAGGCAGGAACTTACATCCGAACTCTTTGTGTTCACTTGGGCCTCTTGCTCGGTGTTGGAGCGCATATGCAAGAGCTCAGACGTGTAAGAAGTGGAGCTATGGATGAGAATAGTGGTCTGGTGACTTTACACGACGTGCTTGACGCTCAGTGGATGTATGACAACCAGCGGGATGAGTCGTATCTGCGTAAAGTCATCAAGCCTCTTGAGACTCTCCTCACAACTTACAAGCGTATTGTCGTTAAGGACAGCGCTGTAAATGCCGTATGTTACGGTGCCAAGCTCATGATCCCCGGTCTTCTGAGATTCGGTAGGTTTTATCTCCTCTTACCCCGTTTATATGCTTTCATATGACTCCCCAAGATATTAATGATTAATGTGAAATAGAGGCTGGCATTGATGTCAACGAAGAAGTTGTACTCATGACTACCAAGGGTGAGGCCATTGCCATTGCCATTGCTCAAATGTCGACCGTGGAGCTGTCCACTTGCGACCACGGAGTTGTTGCCAAGGTTAAGCGTTGTATCATGGAACGCGATCTTTACCCACGGAGATGGGGCTTGGGCCCTGTTGCCTTGGAGAAGAAGAAGCTTAAGTCGGCTGGAAAACTAGATGTACGCTTTTCCATTTCTGCCCTTTTATATTGCTTTGTATTTTGAGTTGCCACTGACAGTCTGGTGCAGAAGTATGGTAGAGCCAATGAAGCGACGCCTTCCAAGTGGAAGAATGATTATAAGGATTATAGCGTGCCAGAGGAAGCCTCCGAGCAATTGGCAGTTGAGCCAACGCCTAAGAGCGAGGTGGCCGTTCTTACAACTGAGCAGGCCGAAGCTCCCTCGTCCCAAAATGAGATGGAGGTTGATGAGTCCAAGGACGACGAGAAAAAGAAACGTAAGCGACATGAGGGCGAGACTTCCGAGGAGCGAGCTGAACGCAAGCGCAAGAAGAAGGAGAAGAAGGAGAAGAAAGAGCGACGAAAGTCCAAGCAAGAGAAGGAGGACAGTGATGACAGCGATTAAGGCTTCCCAGGAAGCCCCTTGGTTGCTTCCGATGGCGAAGCCTTTTCGTATGGGGAGTTTAACCTCACTGCTTCACTTATCTTTAAATCGCTATCGGGGCATCACTTGGGTGTATTTCCTGTACCATACGTATTTTTCTTTTATCGGAGTCTTGGGTTGAAAAGGGAAATCAATATCAATTGTTTTGTTTTACAATGATTTGCTATTAAATAATGGTTTCACTCAGTGAGGAAAAGTGTGCCAAGGTCTTTCTTTTTCCTTGTTTAGAAAAACGAAAGAAAAAGAACATCTGGAAAAAGGTAAGGCATCATGAGAGTATAATTAACAAGCTGGTACCTATTCGTTGGTCTTGTTGGTATGTAGGATGTCTAAACGCTGATTGGTTGAATGGCTGAGACCGAGGTATCGTGACCTTGGTTCTGGGTCTCCCATGTACGTGCCACTTCTATTCCCCCTCCTACCCAGGTCCACGGTACACGTACTGTTGATTGATATCTTACCTTCTACCTCTTTTTATCCCATTACCTGTGTCAGTGAGAGATCATATACTTAAGAAATCCGCGATAATTATGGCTTCGGAGCTTACGTCAACAAAGCTAAACGCGGAGAATCATTTGCTATTGGTAATGCCTGCCCAATATCATCAGGTTTAGGTTCAAATTATATATTAACTCCTTCTCACTCATAGGACCAACCCCTCCTACGACTACCTCATGAACTTGCACGAAAGAATTTCAAATCAGTTCAGCGGATTATCGAACGGGAAAGAGAGCATATTCTCCCCTCGCTGAAGGCAACTGCCAGTGTCTCGCTGTGCAATGGTCAAACACCGGATCAAACACTCGCTGCTTTGGATGCTATGATATCCAGGATGCAAAGCCTGAAGCGGAAAATGGAGAACTTGCATCAGGAAGAGAGAAAGATCCATGGTCAGTCAAAAAAGCGTATACAGCATCTGGAAAACCTTCACCAGATACATAGTTTGGCAGATGTCAAGTATGATCAGTGGTCGAGGGTCCGTTTAGATAGACTTGTGGCAGACTATATGCTGCGATCGGGCTATACGGAAAGTGCCCGGCAATTGGCCCATGAGAAGGATATCGAGGATCTCGTAGACCTCAACGTTTTCATCCAGTGTCAACGGGTTGCTGAAAGCTTGCGTCGTGGGGAATCTAAGGACGCTCTGCAATGGTGCAGTGAAAACAAAGCAGCGTTAAAAAAGAGCCAGGTTTGTGTCCGGGTTCATATGAATTGCGAACTGAATGACTGATATTCTATTGCAGCACAATTTGGAGTTCGAACTACGTTTGCAGCAATATATCGAAATGGTGAGGACTGGGGACAAAGGGAAGCTTGTTGAAGCTATGGTACACGCAAAAAGATTCCTTAGCCCTTACATCGAGTCGCAGTCAACAGAAATTCATCGGGCGGCAGGCCTTTTAGCTTTCCCCCGGGACACGATCGCCGAGCCGTATAAGGTATTATTTCATAATTACCTAGATCAGTTTCTTCATAGACTCTAACAACGTATGAGCAGTCGATGTATGCGCCCGATCGGTGGTGTTACCTTTCTAACCTTTTTGTTCGCACTCACCATGAACTCCTGTCACTGCCATCGCGCCCCTTACTACATATTGCTCTGTCTGCTGGGCTATCAGCTCTCAAGACACCATCTTGCCATTCGGCTTATACGCCTTCAAGCTCTAATTCTATGTCCACTGCGACGTCAGTCTGTCCCATATGCTCAACTGAGTTACATGAGCTTGCGCGCAACATGCCCTACGCCCACCATACCAAAAGTTATGTTGAGAGCGACCCGATCGTTCTACCAAATGGTCGAATTTATGGCCAACAACGATTGTTAGCAATGACCAAAAAAGTTGGTTGCGTTGAAGTCGGCAAGATCAAGGACCCTACAACCGGCGAAGTTTTTGAGGAAAACGAATTAAAAAAGGTTTACATCATGTAGCTATGGACTAGAATCTCGTCCTTTCTTTCATTCGCTCTTATTTCACGACGGAATAAGAAATTGTAGTTTCTCTAGCCTCTCAGTCACTATCATCACTAGTCGATGCTCTTGATCTCTTATTCCTCGAAGTTTTATCCCTCTTGGAGGATTGCAAATCCATCGTAGGCACTATGCGCTCTTCCTTTAGCTCAAACACGTACATTCTAGCCTCCCTATCTTCCCCTCTCCAACCACCCCTTCCTCCGTTTTTTGCTTCAATTTCGCCCAAGGTCCGAGCATGGGAGTACCCTCTGTAGGATGCCCACGGAAACCTAAAGCTAGTAACAACTCTTAGACCAGCATGGCGCGCAAGATCCTTGATGTTCCAAAGGGTGTAGGGCTCTCTTTCGAATAGTGTGACTATGATCTGCCCAGGTTCGTTCCGAATTCTGTTCTCTTGCGCCATGTCATTTCGCGAGCCCCGCATATCAGCGTTATCCTCCTCATCTAAGTCAGATCCGCTTTCGGTACTGGAGTCCCACTCTTCCTCGTTTACATTGTCACTTATTTCGGGACGAGACGACAGCAGCGGTACGCAAGCTTTGAAGAAGGAAACCAGAAGTTCTTGGTTGGCACGAACTTGCCGATTTACATTAGTAGACAAGCCTCCAATATGGGGGAAGTTGAAGCAAATAATGTCCCATGGTCCTCCTCTGGTTGAGGGGAGGATTGAAATGCCGCTGCTCTCCTTGGCCTCTTGCCATGCAGGGCGTTTACGTTCCCGGCGAGGGAGTCCGACGCGTACGTCTTTCCCTCCCCCAGAAGCGTGGCCAAGTTTTCGAGCGTCGACTGAAAAGAGGACGTTGGGCCGGCGACGTTGCCTTGGTTTGTCTTGATCTAGTCCTTTCTTTTCTCCTTCCCCGTGTCTCTCATAATCATCGTCGTGAAAGTATCCCTGACTTTGACATTGGTTTTGGCTCTTTAGTTCGGTGACAATACTTGAGTCCGGACTATAGTCTTTCCTCTTGGGGGCGCCACTGAGGATTTCGCGAACATTATGTTCGGCTTGGGGATACTTGCTGTATAATACTTCCCTAGAATCATAGCTTGTAGCCAAGACGTTCTTGCAGCAATGTTGGTCAACTAAAGAGCGGGCAAAAGAGAAGTCACCTACGCAGACCATTAGTCGTGGATGTATAAACACTACATGGTTGTACGAAATGATGACAATACCACAAGGAAATCCAGGAGTGGAAGCAGGAGCATCATACCTTCTCCAACTAACAGAATTCGATCATTTCTCCTAAAGGGAATAATCGGCCGTTGATGCAAAGGGTTCTTCTTGCCGACATTTTGCTTGGGTGAAGACGACGCTGAAGGAATAGTACTCGAGAGTTTAGAGAAAGTGTGCATTTTACGAGTCTTTTTTTGGTTGCCACTTCCATGGCCAGTATGCAATCGTGCTCTCTTCGATTTCGGCATGCCGTATAGTCTGTAAGGTAAACTGAGGTAGAGAATCGTCCGGCGCGCAGGGATGGATAGTAGTCAGCTTGAGTTGCGCTGCATCAATTAGGAAAAAGCGTTTGGTTTGATCTGCTCCAATGGGACGCTAGTGAACACCGAAGCTATCTGGCCGGGTATCTTCGATTTCATGAAGGTTCTGAAACGCACCTTACAAAGCGCCGGCCCGTCCCTTCCGGTCAATAATGATCTAATACTTCGCGGGGTATGTGCGAGACAGGCAAAAACCTCGACTTCAGAGGGGCAAAAAGCAATTAACCCTCCCCAACTGGGAGTCACCCAGGTCTCCCGTGCTTGTTCTTGCATGAGATGACAAGCGGAAATCATGACCGTTAGACCATCGAGGATAGCTAGTGTATGTCTACACATAACTTAAAAGGTTCTTGTAATAAAGTAATTGTACCTATCATTGGACTGTTTCCCGGTAAAGGGCGGATATTCGGATAAATGATAATGTTGAGGGGCTCCTAGATGTCAAAGATAGTTAGGTATTGCAAGAAATCCTAATCCTCAAGCAAGACGAGAAGGCTCTGAACAAAAGGAGATCTACATGCAGTGAACGCAACCCATTCAAACTGCTTCTGCTTCCCTGGGAGGTGTGTCAACTAGATATTTTGGTATATAGAGGGTGGAAGAGTAGGGGGGCTACAGGAAATATTTGAAGGAAAGAAGAAAAATAAAAAAGGTGAGAGGGTACGAATGATTGAATAGATAAATAAGCTCATCTCTTGCCTCGTGAGAAGATAGGTACTTCACGTAACTTCAACTGGCATCTTAAGACACTGTGCGAGCATCAAGTTTTCTCATGTAATATCTAGGCTCCCTCCTACGAGGCCATTCATACCTAACCACATACTCGACCGGACTACACATCCCGCCCGTAAGGACATACGAGCCCAGACAGATGAACTCGCTATATTATGAAGTAATGTTATCCTACAAGATCTTCCGGTCGCATCGTCCCCGAAAAGCATCCCAATACTGCGCCAAAGTCAGTCAATTGCATGAGCTGGTCGTTGGAGAGAGCTTTCAGCAAAGGATACTTTCTATAACCTCATTAAAAGAAGATAAAGGTCCATATATACAAATTCTAACCCCGAAAGGAGGCAAAAAAGATAGCATTTTCTCTCACAATAACCGAGCCTCTTTGGCATCTTATTGCACCCAAGATCGCACTCAATGCCTCCCAAACCCTCCAAAAGATCTAGAACGGTCCATGCCCCAACATTATAACATGTTACGTGCAACGAAGTGCGCCGCAAGCGCATCGAGAAGAAACGATATATGAAATTATCAGCACGGACATCAAAGCAATACATAGGTCAATGGGCAGCAATGGGGTCAGACGTGTTAGAAACGAGGCATGTTAAGCAGATCGTCGATGAGAATGTACGCACACCAAGCAAACCAATAACACCGACAACCGGAATACATACACCTAGACTGGAAGGAAATACACGTATCGCATATAACGTACAAGTAATGTACTGGCTCTTGTCGTCAAGGAACCAAGACCATGTTCCGATATGATAAACGTACGGAAGGAGCTAACACTCATACTCGTAATAGAGCAGTGGTCACTTCAAGACCGCAGAGAATCCCTCATACTCTGACTGCTAGCACTGACAAGTGGATTGGAAGTCGGTAAGATACCGGTCTTTGGTTTGGCGTTTTGCTTAATCTTGGCGATCGCATATACGATCCCACTAACGAAACCCACAGTAATAGCGGAAACACTGGGAAATGTTACCGGAGCATCGAAGAAGATCAACCCTGACAGGGCAATGGGCAATTTGTTGAGGGCTCCAACCATGGAATAAGTGGTTGAGGATGTCACGCGAACACACCAGGCTGAGGTGTAAGAGATAAACACCGAAGACAAACCAGATAGGATCATTGCAAACATGATGCTGCTACGGTCGGCTGGAGGGAAGTTGCGGTTGATATTGGCGGAAGACCAGTCTTCCATCAAGCCTGTGAGAATAACAAGGACAGGGATCGACAACAAATTATTGTAGAACATGGCTAAGGGGAGAATCAGCAAAAAAACTTCCAATGACCACCGTTAATAAACACATACTATCAAAGTCCTTAAAATTGGTCAACTTGATCCTCTTGCGCATTCCTAGAACATATGACGATGTGCAGAGACAGTTTATCAACATCCATATGTATCCAGAATTGAGTGTTGAGACTTGGGCACTCGTATCTCCGCTGCTCTCAACAGCATGCTTAATGTCGGCCCATGCGGCAATGATGGAACTGAGTACCATGAGTCCAAAAGAGAACAAGGTAAGGCCGGTAACGGAACCACCAAACCAGAGGACCTCCCCGTAGGCAATAAGGATGATAGTTAGGTTCTTGAAGATGGTGTATACTGGGATAGAGAGGAACTGAAGCGCTTTGGAGCCTGTGTAAATCATTCCAATAAGAAGCAAACTGATTGGGAACCCTTATTATACGCCACCATTAATTCATTCTGTAGGTGTCACAACGGAATTTAGAGGTACTTACACTTCTTTGCTTCATCTGCACTGAAATCACGGTACGTGATAAGACCGCAGAATTTGCATGTTTGGATCGCAATAATACAAACAATGGACTGTGTTACAGAAAAGAAGGGCAGTCAGTGGAAGTCTGTATTTAAAACCAATGTTCGCGGTGGCTTCAGTTTCTTGGCATCATACCTGAACGCAGAGGAGAAAGAAGTTGAGGTTAAAGTCCAACCCAGAAAGAACATATTTGTTCATGACAGTCATCAAGATTGATGATCCACAATACGCCAATACAGGCAGGACAGGGTTGTTGGAGAGCGAACTGGATGGGGCATTTCTAGGCTGAGGCGGCGCAACAGCTTCGAAATTCTTGCTCCCCTGATCTATTTTATCCATCTCGATTGCATAATCATCGGTCTTCTTGCCTTCCACCATATTCTCATATACTGATCACCCCGAAGTAGGAGTGAATATGGTGATAACGGTAAACAGGGCGACAAGATCGGTGCTAAAATCGAGGCAAGGCTGAAATTGCGAAGTAGAGTCGTTGTTGACACGGAAGGCAGCGAGGTAAAGATAGGTTTCGAGGATTATAAGGGAGGTTATCAAGTGTACCTAGAGACTGACGGCAACGAATGTGGGGGCAGTAGGATCAAACCCAAGTCATAAAAGAGATAACGGAGAAGCAGTTCGACGGGGGGAGAGAAAGGGAGAGAAAGAGCAAGATGAAGCTGAGGAGACAGGTGAAAGAAATAATTGGAAGGACTTTTGACTGGGCCGGAAGCGGCAATTTTTAATGTAATGTATGTATCTATACATGAGAATACAACGATAGAAGTAAGTATGGAATTAATGCACACATATCTACCAGATTATGCAGGCAGCACAAACTGATGTGTTTTCTTTTTTGAGATCTCTTATTCTTTGAAAGAAGGGAAAGAACAGTTAATAAAAGCAAAAAGGGGAAGGGGCATTAGCCATTCTATTGGTTTACTTAATACAAGGGGAGTTGGTACTGTATCAGTAGAACTCAATACCAGTACACAAGAATTACAACTGCCTCCCATGAGAATTATCCTTACACTGATCTGTATCCAATCAGTACGTTGCCACTCCTGCAATGCAGTGAAGAGTGAAATCTTCATTCACCCTTTTCGAACCTCGAATATCTATAGTCGAGACTTTCACCCCGACATTGGGCTTACACCTTACCCCCGGAACGCGAGCAGCTTGCGCGACCCCTCCGTGAAAAAGCAGCTCCCGATTGTCCTCTACAGACTTAACTCGTTCTATCAAACTCTCTGGGCAGTTATCCTGCAGAAAACTTCTTCCTACAATCCCACCACGGGTTTCGCCATGAGCCGAAACATTGAGCCTAAACACTCCGTAAGAGACCAAGAGGATGAGATCGACGATGACGATTTGTTGAAGGCCTTGGAGAACGAAGATGACTCTGCATATCGAGCCCAGCGTATCGAACAACTCAACGCCGAGCTCGCATCCGCCCAGAACAACCGGTCAGTGGTCCCTGTCCCTGGCCAGACAACAATCACCCATGATAGCCTATACCCAACTCTTGAGAATGACCAGATATTGCTCAATTTCACAACGGATACCCATCGGTGTGTAATCCATTTTGCGCACCCCGATTTCGCACGCTGTGGCACCATGGACGAACATATGCGGGCTTTAGCAACACAGCATTACGACGTGCGCTTTGCCCGTGTCGATGTTAGGGACACTCCGTTCGTGGTGGAAAAGCTGAAGATACGCGTTCTCCCTTGTGTGATCGGGTTTAAAGATGGAATTGCTGTTGTGCGTGTAGTTGGCTTTGAAGGTCTTGCTTTGGGCGGGCGTGATGGGACCGACAGCTTCAGCACAGCAACTCTTGAAAAGAGGCTGTTATACGAAGGAGTTCTAGTGCAGGCGAAGATTAGAGATGATAATGATGATTCCGATATATCTGATACAGATGACGAGGATGAGGATGAGGATGATGGCAGAAGACGAACTAAAAAGAGAAGGGCCATCGGCGGCAGGGGAACGCGGTACAACAGGGACAATGATGATGACGATTGGGATTGAAAAGGGGGGTCGCAACCGTTTAACCCTTATATTCACGAGTTCTATTGCTACAATCTTCGCGGAGCTTCCAGTCTAGAACATATTGGCCCGGGATTTACTTGTTGAGACACATGGCTTCGTTGTGGCTGATCGCTGGACATACAGTTCACAGAAAAGCTGAAGATTCCAGGTTCTCTCAGCCCTTGATCACTTAGACAGCCTTCCACTAAGCATTGGAACCTGCATTCCGAATGGGGCGGATAATAAAATCACAGTAGCTGCATAGGTATGAGCTTGCTTGCTGGCAAGTACGGGAACGAACAGATTCTATGGCATTTTCATTTCCCGTCGCTGATACCAGATAGAACTAAACCTGTTGTGAACTAACGCTGTTTTTCTAAGGTGTTGAAAAATAGGGCCAAGCCTTGAACGATGACCTTAGTATCAGTGCAAGTATAATTTATCGGATCCCCCGCGTCTATATCATGGGAAAGTATGGCCCAAAAAAAAAATCTGAATGAATATCGAGCTAAATTTACAGGTAGTACGAGCGGAACGAATCGCGAGAAACCATTCCAAGCGAAGAAAAGAGTAAGGCGCTTCTATGACGTAGAAGAATGTCACAAGAACCACAGAATATTAGAGTTAGGATTTATACAAGGCTGTCAGCACGGTCTCCACTAAGGTTCATCAGTTCGACATAGGCGTTTGGCAGTTTAAACAGGACGAAAAAGGGGAATTTATTACTTATCCGAGCGACAAAAGCAAGATGTTCATAACGGGGGCGAAAGGGAGCATGAAGAGGTTAAGGGAAGGTATTGAATCAGACTTAGATAGCCACATTTTTCATTTCGCCCAAGATCTCTGCGTCCAAGGCAGTACTAGGAGATCCATGAGTCGACTCCTGATTCTGCATCATCCCATTCTCCGACTGTTTTTGCTCAGCAGCTTTGTCAAGAACACCTTCGTTCTCTTTACCCACATGTGTCGACACTTCCATCAGATCTTCGCTTTGTGTTTCCTTTGTATCACCACTTTTCACGACATTATCTGGCAGGCCGCCATCCACATTCGTGTGTATAGGACTTGGAGCCTCTTCCGTGACGCGAGCAAGGGGGCTGGATATACCAAACTGCGTCTTGGGACTTTGAGTAGACCCACGATTGGGGAAGCGGTGAGGCGATCTCCCACGTTCTTCACTAGGGGTTGGGCTTCCATAAGGAGACTCCTTTCCAGACTTACTACCGGTATTCAATCCAAGTCCGCTAGGACCCTTGCGACGGGGTGGTCTCCGGCCATACTTCTGATCTGTACGCCAGCGTAGAATTTCCATGTAAGGGGGTTCAACATTCTGGGCCTTGAATTCCAATAGCTTGAGTTCATTCGTCTCTTCATCCACAGAAACCTTGCCGCTGCAGAGGTCATCAGCTATAATTGCGAGGAAAGATGCCCAAGACCGAGCGACAACGTATTTGCAGTCATAATCCCGACCAAATATAATGACTTGGCCCCATTTCCCTGCAGATCCCGGTGCCAGATCGATTGCGATACAATTTCCACCCCAATCACGAGCCATAGGAATCCAAGCAGGATGGGCATACGCTTTCTGAACGGCACCGGAGGGCTGAGAGTCTTGTCGCTCGAGAAGATCCTGTCTCCACAACGGATTTGACCCTGTAGTAGGGGCTGGAGGGACAGCCGAAGAAGAGCCTGCCGCAGCTTTGGGAGTAGTATTGATAATGCCGGACGAGCTGAGGAATTCTTCATTGACAGTTCGCCAGTTCTTCCATTCCTGGACTATCTCTTCGCAGTCCAGAAGCATACATCCAAAAATCACACCAGTGGGTAAGCCCGGACGCTCCTGTCCGTCATGGGCCATCAAAGATTCCCGAACTTCCAGCGGTAGGCTACAGTCCAAGTCATGCTCCAGCTCATTGATATCGTTCTGAGTACAGCCTTCGCAAAGATTGTCGTAAAGCTCCTCGTAGTTATTCTCCAGCCATCGCTCGATCTTTCTCCATGAATGAGCGACTGGGGGCGGTGGCGGTGCGCCATCGTGGAAACTTTGCATTTGAATCTCTGCCGCACCATCTACTCCGGGATCCGTCGAGCGTCGCTTCTGGGAGGAGAGCGATCGCATACCGGGCGAGTAAGGACGAGTAGGGGAGCCAATACCAGTAGGGGAGCCTGACCAGCCGTTAGATGTCGTTGCGCCTTTGAGCTGATCATCCTCGTAACTCTCCGTCAGGTCAGGTCGCGACTCAATGGCGCTTGTTGCGATCGATGTAAGAGGCTCATGGCGACTCTGGCTGAGAGGCACATGTTTACCCGTTCGATAAGGAGAGTCGTGGGATGCATGTCGATCGTAAGAAGTCATTGTATGCCAAAAGGAACGCCATGCCGAAGTAATTCTGTTGTCGAGTCAGAAGCGGACATTCACTCACAACCCTCGGGGGGAAGGGGTGAGGAGGGTGGGGGTTCTCTCTGAGGGAGAGTCGAAAGATACTCACGGGTTCGCCATGATGAAAACTTAAGCAAAATGAGGGCAGACTGATCTCAAACAAGAATCTGCTCCTCCCCGAGAATTTATGAGTACCAGACACTGATCATTGGATAATTGTGGCGTTCGTGATCAGGGGTGTAAGGAAGGGGCAAGGCACGGGGGCAGGAGGAAAGGGAGACAATGTTGAATGTTTCCAGCAGATGGTACGAGGGCCGAAAGTAGGAGTAGTGTAGATAACCAGGCGGAAGGTTGGAGAGGGGGCTCAAAATGGCGTATGGGGCGCTGGTTAAAATGCCAGAGAAGTAGGTTCTTCGTCTTCTTCTTCTTTTGTTAAAAAAAAATTGAGGGAAGAGGAAAGAAGAAAAGGAAATGGGAAGAAAAAAAGAAATCCTATCCAAGGGAGGGCTTGGAGGTAAAGGGAGAGAGATGGGATTGTGATAATGGGGAATGGCCGATCTCAACTATCCTGAAGACAGAAAATCCTTGCTATTGACAGTGGTATTTCTCGTTTCGCCTGTTTCTGCTTCTGCCTCTTGTACTTATCTGTCCTTCTTTTGTTCCTCTTTTCTTTGGGAGAAGTCCTCTTGATTAGCGTTGTTAGTGGGTTGGCGCGACAATGGCATCCACGATTCGACCCCTGGGAAACCGTCCGGAACCAGGGATGGTGTGTTTCCAGTCATAACATACGGTAGTGCGGTAATTTATATCATCAAAACCAGTATCCAATGTACTCCATCCCCGACGGGCATAACTCTAGGTATGTATGTATGTATGTATGTATGTATGTATGTATGTATGTATGTATAATATATCATTATGCATCTGTATCTACTCAAGGTACATACGGGTATTGCGGTATTGTTTAAGTCTAGTACATCTTAATTTACAATGCTGATCTCGGTGCCTACTGCATACTCTAATCTGTCTGTATGTAGTAGCAGACTCTACCTCATATATACAACTCTGATGCTATTCAGTGGCTTTTTAAGCCTTCGCCTTCCTCGTAATAGTCAATAAGAGCAAGCAAATGTGCTAGAAACTATAGTACTCAGTCACGGTAGCAAGGTGTTGCCTATACACCGTGCTGTACTATAACATTCCAGTAAATGAATCTCTCGACATTCTTTTCGTTAACAGGAACAGTTCCAATTTTCCCAGTCATCAGGCAGGACAATCCAATCCATTCTTGTCAATAAATTGAGCTATATATGGTACTCGCTTTCAAGGTATGCTGTCGCTAGTTGTTATCACGGTGGCCTTGCAGAATCTAGTAGACTTTCTCATTGAGCTTACTGATTTGCCTTAGTTTCACCCACTCCCGCATATATATATTCTCTCTCCCCCTCTCTCCCAAGCGTGTGTGTATGTGTTAAATTATTTGATTTGATTTATTATAAAAGTAAAGTGTTTAATTGTTTCTATTAGCAGCGGATTATATAAATGTATACTATACACTTTACCCTTGTAGACCCAGTAATTTTCTGTAGTTCCATTCGCGATTGCTTATGAAATTCAGGGTATGCTTACTATATTTCCCATCAAGTGAAACCCACGGTTTGAAATACTATATATACTCCGTAAAGTAGTTTGAAATACTTTCCTAATATTATAGTAGACACATTGGGTTATTACTAGTAGGTCCTATTAGATCTCATGTATGGTATATATGTACTGTCTCTGGCCACGAATATCTTGAAGTGGGGTGCACTGTAAAATTGAATTGCCTATACCCTCCGCCCTCGTTGGCTATATCTAATTGGCTTAGTGATAATTATATAACATATTGTCCAATTATATATGTTTATACGGGGCGGGATGTACAACAAGGAAATCTTACAGATTGCCCCACTTCAAAATATTCGTGGTCAGAGACAGTATCTCTTAGTATAGTACTGTGCCTACTTGGTAGCGAATACACATACAGTGGTATAGTCATACGGTATTGTGTGCGTCCTATCGACGATCCACAGGAACAACCGCAAGTTACAAATTCGACGGCTCGAAAAGCCAACGGCGGGTCTACAGTGCAATGGGGATATACTACTCCGTAATAGTAGGTGTACCTGAAGTTGTGGCGCTCTAGTTAATACCAACCCACAATTCTCTCACAATACCAGGTGAGGAAGGAAAACTTACCCCTGTGGATTGACCCTGTGGCAACTTTCGCCTACAGCATGTCATTCAAGGCACAGAATGTAGTCGGGGCTCTTTATCGCCGCAGGTTACCAGTCTTCAACCCCAGGAATAAATATGTACATCATGGTATAAACCTGAGGGATCCTGTCCAAACAAGTCTCCACGAGAGTAATGGAATTCGTAGCCTTGAGGACGTAATTTGCTGTGCAGAGTGGGGACCACCAGTGGTGCCAAGTCTCCAGCGCTACTCTGCACAGTTTGAGGTTGTTGACCTTATGTTCGAGTCGTCTGGGCTGTCCCCTGTTCCTTTCCTGTATTCCAATAATCTGTGCCTGGTACATCCTTAATACACCCAATTACCGGTGGGTTCAGCGTGTACGACCATCTCCAAGCCCACATTGTAAGTGGTTTTGCAATGAATACAATGCCTTACGAGGTTAGCATAAAGCGTGTCATTTGATGATCTAAATAGTGAGATATATTAGGAGTTCGGATAGTCTCGTGGTAATGAATGCATAGGTGCTCAGAACAAGAGTAGATACGTCATATAAACATGGAGACTGAGACATAACCGCAAGATCGGGGAAACGGAAACCCAAATAATATAATGAACGAAGGCGTAAGGTGAGAAAGCCATCCCTTGACTAGACATCGTAAATGTGATAAGAGACAAGTGTGGCATCAAAAGAATCAGGAAAAAAAAAAAACAAGAGAGAGAGAGATTAAGGACGGCCAAACGAGTGACTTGGTCATATATGATGAGAGACTGCCACGGAAAACATTAGACTAGACGAAAGAAACCCAATATTCAAGGCAAGATATCATTCGGCATAGGAATGAAACTTGAAAACAGAGCATCGATTGTTATGCACAAATGTCATGCAGAATGCCAGAAAACATAAACGAGGAAAGCAAAAAAAGGAAAGTGGCATTACGCATATGAACTCTGAATACCGCTGGACGGCAGGCCTGGGTTCACATCAAGCTTCAGAATCCTACGCAAATCGTCTTCCATTTTCTTAGTGTCAAGAGCTTTGGTGGACGTGTTTGAGTCTCGCGATGTAGGTGACAGGTGAACTGGCGGATAATTTGGATCCTGCATAGGACTGATGGCGAATTTAGTCTGACTGTACACTGGAGAAGAGTACGTCTCTCCGGAGACGTTTACCGTGTTGCCTGGGATTGGTGAAAGTGCTCCTTTGTTTGAGGTCGAGGTTTGACCTTGATAGGGCTGAGGGTTGGTAATGCATGAATTGGAAAATGGAGACTGCCATCCATTCCCAACCGTTGACTGATTCTGCCCGGGCAGCACGTTGTTATAAAGAGTTACTGACGGGCCAGAGGCTGTCCTGAGTGCAGTCGCAAAATGAGGCACACTGCAAATGGGGGTAGGCTGTTCGTTGACACCGTTAATTTGACTAGAGGATGATTTTGACACATACGAGGGCCTTTGAGGACGTGGATTGAGTAATAAATCCTTCAGGGCTTCGGTTTTGGCTCTTCGTTGGTCCTCGTCAAGTTCTACCACGGACTGAGAGGGAGAACTGGCGGATCGCAAAGCATTCATGCGATCTTTGTAAGATGTAGCAAATGCGGGTCCTATCTCCGACTTATGGGGCACCGGATAGTCTACCCCCAACGGTAATAACCCTTCTGTAGAGCCATTGGGTTTGCGTAGCGGCAGCGTCTTGGAGTCCGTCTGTGGGGAGCGAATCCTGATGTTTGTCTCGGGACTACACTGAGACTGAGAATTTCTAGCTTCAACCGCAGCTTTAAAAAGAAAATCTAAGGGTGTTGACTGCGGTTCTTCGGTTTGGAACTGAGGGCGTGTCCTCAACTTCGAGGGGGTCGCCTCATATTCCGGTCCAACGTCGTATTTGTCGAGATCTGCTTCTATTGCCGGGGCAAGATCGGGGTCCGGTATCGACTTTGAGAAAAAGCTCGGGATTGGAAGGGAGGAGGGAGCTGGGGAGGCATGGAATGTCGGGCCGGCATAGTGAGGGCTATCTTTCAGCTGAGGCGTGGTGACATTGTTAGAATGCGAATATGTGTGGCGATGGCCGTTCCTCTGCGCCGGTGAAACCTTAGATAAATCTCGTGGCTTCTTGTTGGTCCGGCCACTTTTCTTCTTCGATAGGTTGGCAGAGGAATCAGTGGCTGTTCCTCCTGGGCTCATATTCCTCGGAGGGGACGAGGGAGGAGTCGTTAACAGAGTAGCCTTTTGTATAGTCGGCGTCGCATTTCGTTTCGGGTTGCGCCGGTTGTTTTGATGGCCTTTTGGTGTTGGAGGGGTCGGCGACAGGTTCGACATTGCGGCTGGTTGGCTTAAAAATAGGTAGCCTAGGCAGAGAAGCTTAGAAGAGGGAAAGAAATGATGTATCCTCGAAAGGAAAACAGGAAAAAGAAGATATGATAATAATTGACAGCGCAAATATATAGGGTCGAATAGGCTGCAGCACTGCCCAGCAGTCTGTTCTGATCACGTTAACGCCGGTTGTGGATAAGGACACTAATATCAGGCATGGAGCGCCGATAGCAATGTAGAGCCTAATCTGTCTTTAAATGATAACAAATAGGTTTAAGAGGCACGAATATGTCTATTACTGGAATCAAAGAGTAAGCAACGAAAGAAGAAAGACAAAACTCCTAGGCATGCTTGTTTCTAGACAGGCAAAGAATAGGGAGAGTGGAACAAAAGTAGAAGGGCATTATCCCAGGACGTTGATGTGATGTGAGGAGGTAGGTGAAAATGAACATTGGAGGGCGGCTGGGGCATCGAAGGCGGGGATCGGTTATGACTAACAGCTAGGCGGCGAGTGTACTGTACAACGCCTCAGCCTCTGTCCAGCTGAGGTGCAAACCAAACCAAACCAGACCAAACAAAAGCCCAACAAGGTGTTTTGTGTGGGACGAAGACTTCAAAAAACCACCTTTCACTCTTCTGCCATCTTCTTGTCTGAAACCCTATCCAGGGTGCGTATAAAAAGTGGAAAAAATTTATACCACTTAACCTGCAGAATCATTCAGTTTACATACGTCAGCTAGCCGTCCTCACCGCAACATCTGGTTATCGCAAGTTACTCCGCTACGACGTAATCAGCATACATCCGTGCCCCTCCAGGCTTTCTTGCCTTGAGTTGCTAAGCATCTACAGCAGTTTTATTGCAACAAAGAGGCCCAGTAAGCCAAGACAATCAAGCAGGCCTCAAAGATGGCGGATGTGGAGATGAAAGAAGCCTCAGCTGGTGCTTCAGCCAAGGGAAAGGGAGCATCTAAGGCTTCCGAAGGTGCGAGTGATGGCAAAAAGAAGTTCGAAGTTAAGAAATGGAATGCGGTAGCCCTATGGGCGTGGGATATCGTTGTCGACAATTGTGCCATTTGCCGTAATCATATCATGGACCTGTGTATGATCTCTGCTCTTCGCCACAGCAGAAGTAAAACTAAACATGAGTGATTTAGGTATCGAATGTCAAGCAAACCAAGGTTCATCTACGACCGAAGAGTGTACAGTCGCTTGGGGGATTTGCAACGTGAGTCCAGATGTCCCAGGCTTTTTGACAAAATTTAATATTGACCCAACTTTCTCTTCTCTAGCACGCGTTCCATTTCCACTGCATATCCCGTTGGCTGAAAACTCGCCAGGTTTGCCCCTTGGATAACCGAGATTGGGAATTTCAGAAGTACGGCCGGTGAACGCGGTTTTATAGAGGATCTTCTGATTGCTGAAGCTTCCACCTACATGGTGTCATGGATTTTTATATGCAAGAGGCGGGCAAGAAATGATCTGGATGGCGTTCGGATTTGTTTTTCGCACCTTTGCGGTGGTTACTCTGATGATAAATGCGGCTTCTTGGTTGTGCAGAGTTAAATAGTGTCCGACTCGGTATCTTCCGAGTCAATCTCCCCTGAATCATGCTTGTACTTCATGCCACTTTAGTTCCGTCTACCATGACCCGTGCGCCACCGACTCTCCCGGCTGACGAAACAAGCCATTTCTCAGGGCTCTTATTGTACACAGGCCAAGGAGGGATAACAGCCAGTCCAGTTACCAGTGTACCTGCCAAGCCGACCCAGAGTGTGAGATGTAAATCCCGATAGATATATCCGGCGAGGAAAGCAACAACCTTGACATGACCGAGCGTAAGCGAATGATGTCCATCCTATTAATGCTGACCATATTGGTCAAAGAAACATCAGGAATAGGCTAGCACTATACCCCAGATAAAATTAAAAGAGCCGTAGACAATATTTCAGCCATGTGTTGGCCATGAAAGTCCTATCCATGTAGAGTTTCCTGGTTATCACCTAATACGAACGGGGACTGGTGGTAGTGACAAACATACTATCTGGCCTTCGAAGATATCCTGGACAGATGCAAGAACATCATCCATGATAAAAGACTGTTTGGTAAATGGGTTGATATTTCTCCCCACCAAAAGAAAAAAAAAGAATCAAGAATAGAAGTAATAACTAAGATAAGGTTAAACACTAATACAAATGATAATTATGAATGCTGAAGATGACAGTTGGAATCCCTAGGTAAAGAGCTGTGAGTGAGTGCGAATTGTGGAGGCGGTGATTAACCGTCCAAGTCGGCCTTTACCGCCTTGGCTAAGGTGTCAAACTGGCATGACCAATCTGGGGCACTTCAATGGGGCAGTATGCTCTAGTGAGAGGAACCAGAAAACGGAGAGGAACTACTAAAAGTATAAAGGAAAGAATATAGTAAAATAAAAGTAAAGTTAAGTGCAAAAATCCAGAGCACCCACAACTTCACTTTATGCTTCTCTAAGAACCCTGCCTATCGGTAATTTTGTTAAAAAATAACCTGACCTTCACTCATCCCTTACCAACTCGGCCAGGGGAAGAACCACTCTGACGATATCCCATTCAAACGTAGCCATGGTTATAATAAACGGAATATTTATTCCTCGCCCCTGATCATCCCTATCTAGGGGCACATAGGATGAAAGGTATGCAATGATGTTAATAATGCACCGTAGCCCCATCCTGGGCAGGCTCAAGGAGCTTCCATTGGCAGGTTATATTATTGGAAGCAAAGTTAGCAATAATACGTTCTGCAATCTCAGTGAACCTATCCGTAGCCAAAGCTAAGATTGTTGGCCCTGCTCCCGATAGGCATATTCCAAGCAGACCTGGCTGCGTGCTCGGGTTCATAGATTGGAGTATTTCCGTTAGACCTGGGATAAGGGTCTTCCGATATGGCTGATGAACCTTGTCTTGCATGGCTAGATATATCATGTCTGGATCGGGAGGAGACGTGCCCAATGCTGCAGGGAGCAAGGCAGCACGCTGTAGGTTGAAGACCTATAGCGGATACATTAGTTCTGAGGAGCTTGTCTATTGTCCGACTGTAAGGAAAATGGGAAGAACGAGCTTACAACATCTGCTCTTGAATATGCAGTGGGTAGGACACCTCGTGCATTGGCGGTTGGCACCACAAAATCTGGGATAATTGCAATAGCCTTGATCTCCTTGGCCCACTGAAACTTCCTATAGTGGCCGATACCAATTGGAGGCTCCGGAGGCCGTATGCCAGTATCGATACCCCCCGCCGGGGCGGGTAAAACTTCACTCAGTGGAATCTCTATGCGGGCTATATCTTCGGGCTTAAGTTCATTCAAGTAAGTTCCGACGAAGCCCCCAAAAAGAGAAGCAGCGACATTGTCCGGGTGCCGCTCTGTTGAGGAGAAAGTTAATCAGTCGAGAAGCTAACGGAAATAAGACAATCTAGTTTTCTTATTGGAGGGGTCGGTTTGCAAAACAGTCACAAGGGACTGTATAGTAAGTTAAATGACAAACTTACCGATCATCAAGCAATAATCCAGTAGCCGTTCTTTGCTCAATCCGAGGCGGCCTACTTCGTTGCCCAACATCACACCGGCCACCACTGCAGTACCAGACGAACCGAGACCCCGACCCAGTGGAATAGGATTTACAATATGGACATGGGTCTCCCCAGGGAATGCTCTCTGATCATGGCATCGAAGTACATACAGAGCTACACGGGTGATCAAGTTCACTTCCGGATCCAGACTGATCTCTTCCGCGCTGTTGCTTTGATCATCATAGGTGACGACACAATTCAAAGGATGTTGTGAGGCTTTGGTGGAGTCAATAGTGACATGGAGTTCAAGGTGGAGCGACAGTGCCAGGCCGATCACATCAAATCCAGGACCGATATTGGCAGATGAACAGGGCGTTTTGATAATGAATGGGGAAGAAGCCATTGTGGGAAAAGAGAAGTGTGAAGGAGCTCTCTCTCTCTCTCTCTCTCTCCCTCCCTCAGTTGTTTTTGTTCTTTTTCTTTTCTCTTGTTCGTTCTTTCTTTCTTTTGGCTGGACGAAAGGGCTTGCACAGGAAATTCAATCAAATGCAAAAGGTTTATTCAACAAAGTGAAGAGATGATTTAACCTGTAATACCAACACAATTTGAAGCACTGCTCTTTTCTGAGTATTTAGATATGTATGTAATTTGAAAGATATCTGCCACCGGTGAGGAGTATGACTCTTTCAGTCGGTTTCTTGGCATGCCTAAAGGAAAAATATTTATTCGCCGATTTCGGGACAATAGAAGGAGGTAAGGCTGTCGGTTAGTATGCCCGTTGGGCATAAAGCCAAGCTATAAGACTATCCCCCTTCAGACTAGATCTAGATTATCCAACACAGTAGATTCCAATCAGAAGTGACCGATATTCAACACTTAACGATCCATCCCATGAGCTGCACGTCATGCAGAACAATTGTACACCAATAAACTGATATCTATACCTATTTCAAACCCCAATCAAATAATCTTCAATCGACACACATGCTGGAAATGCTCGTTTCAGTATGGGGCGAAACTTCAGCACTGGGTACGGGTGCTGCCTAAAGATGGCTCACATATCGATAAAAAAAATCTATTACAATAAATGGAGATGCTGATATCTGAATTTTCCAATTACATCTGATACTAGCTGACGGCGCCATCTTCATCAAAGAGTACTAAATACTACCTTGGATTTTATTTATAATCATACCACGAATGACCTTCATTTCAAACCTAGTACATAATTCAGGCGGAGGGTGGCCGAATAGTAACAGACTAACAGTACTCCGTACAAACTACATACGGAGTAGATACTCGTAGTGCGGTAGCTCTGGACTTTTACCCCCAAGCGGAAATTTCTACCCGCGCCCCTCTTTTTTTTTTTTTTTTTTTTTTTTTTCCTCTCCTCTTTACGCCTCAGCTTTCTTTTTAAAGACGGCAAATTCCCTTTCTGCTGTCGTCTCTTGAGACAACTCATCTCGATTCACCTCTGTAGGTGGCCAACTACCTCTTGCAGGGTTTTCATCCCCTTTTCCCTTTCCTCCTCTTTCTTCTTGTTTCTTCTCCATTGTCCGCGTGATCTGTCATCCATCGCCTAACACATTGTCGTTGGGCCTCCCGTGTATATCTTTTTTTGGGAACAACATATTATTTGCGACATCAGAGTTTGGTCTCGGTCCCCGCCACTCATCTCTGAACACATCAGCCTCTCTGCATCAAATCCCAGAACATCAGATCTTGAAATTTTCCTAGTGTCCTACCCTTTCTTTGGACTCTTTTTACGCTTCTCATTATCTTTTTATTATTAGTAGTAGTGTATAGACCCCCTCTTTCAACGCCAATAATCCCGGAGCCTTGGGGTTTGTCAAGTTTATTGATAGGAAGTCGTGCGGTGAATTGAAAGGACTCTTGCTAAGAGCTTACCCTGCCAACTCACCACTTCCCTGCCAATCTGGAGCGGCAGAGCTCCTCTTCGCACGACTCAGTCAAGTTGGCGGGCATTCACTACTATCAGTCCTCTTTCCTCCACCCTCTTCTGGGCCCTAAGTTCAGGGTCTTCTGCGGGGGCGACACCAGACCCCCATAACCGGTCTCTTCCAGCAAGTTTGAGGCTGACACACGGAAGCGCGTCGGTAATGCCAGGCCCTTGCGAGGGGTCTGGCTGATGGACGGAGGAGCAATTGCCCTTGGGACTTGTACATCCGCCTTCGCCTTATTGGAAGGCATCGATAACAGTTGAGGCATTTCGCGCGAATACGCCTTTGTTGTCTCCGCAGACTGCCGCGTTATAGATTGGTAAACCTGGTGTATATTCTGATTGACGGCCAGCGTCACAGAAAATGTCTGAATCACCCAAGTCAGAAAAGTACATGTTTTTAAGCAGATTCAGCACGCCAGTGCCTGAACTGGATGACCATCGGTTTCAATTGGGCCCACCCCGTATCGAAGCTACCCCCGATATGACCCTTAGTCGGCAGAATACCACACCGCAGAATCTGAATATGGAGATGCCACAGCGTTCAGATCTGCTTCAAATTCAGGATGCTCTTCGAGAAGCGGGGCCATTTTCTCGGGACTTTGAGCAAGCAATATCAGACGATGATCGATCAGTTAAGGACGTTAATGGGTTGGGACGACGCTTCTCCCTTGATCCAGCCGGAAATATTCGTCAGGCTCGTACCTTTAGCCGTACGCATCAGGATATTGCAAATCTGTCGAGGGATTCATCGGTTTCAGCTAGATCAACATCTCCGCCTAATTCAGTCGAAGCTTTTGCAGACCCACGGCGCCGGGAGCGTGCCAACACTCTGGAGAGCCATGCAGCGCCAGACTTGGAAGCTATCCTACAGCGTACGGTGTCTGGTGGCACACATCCTCGCCGCCCAACCTTCAGTAATGCAAGTGCCATTAGACCTCAACCAGGTGATATCCAATTAGATTCGCCTGAGGATACATGCGTCCCCTCCTTTGAACAACTGGGCAGAATTCCGGTGATTGACTATGAAGAGTTGGAGGAGTTTGTGGCTCTTAATCAGAAAATAAAACCTGTTACAATGCGGCGCAAGTACAGCCTTGGCTCTCAGAGCAAGAAGTCTCGTGTTTTCTACGATCTTCGCCCGAATGCTCAGAAGTCCGAAATCCATGACGCAAAGCGCTCATCAGATGACTTTGCCGGACACGAATTGAAGGACAGCGAGGAAGTCTTTGCGGATGCTGTCAACGAAAAAGAATTAGTCGAGAATCTCAAGAATGAGAATGAGCCGACTCGGTTCGGCTTCTTCTCGTCCGAGTCACAGAGCACTGTACACGCTGCAGAGCTGGGCGACTTAGTTCTCCCTGGGGACACCTTTCGAGACCTCTTCCAACTTGGCCCGGAAGGAGGTGTTTGGTGGCTCGATGTTTTGAATCCCACTGAAGCCGAAGTTGGTGCTCTTTCGAGAGCCTTTTCAATCCATCCACTGACGACAGAAGATATTTTAACCCAGGAGGCTCGAGAAAAAGTTGAGTTATTCAAGCAATACTATTTTGTGTGCTTCCGGACGTTCTACCAGATGGACAAGACAAGCGAGCGCTTCATGGAGCCGGTCAACTTTTACATGGTTGTCTTCCGCGACGGTGTGCTATCGTTTTCTTTTACCGAGAATCCCCATGCTTCGAATGTCCGGAGGAGAATCGGAAAGCTTCGTGACTATGTATCACTTAGTAGTGACTGGATTTGCTATGCCATGATGTAAGCACACTCCTACTCCGCCTTTCCTTCCTTCTAAGCCCATGCATGTTACCTTACCGCCATCTAGCTGCCTGTATGTGAAATTCTAATTTATGGCGCAGTGACGACATTGTGGATAGCTTTGGTCCTGTCATCCGCGAAATTGAGGTCGAGTCTGAGGCGATTGAAGACCTTGTCTTCATCGCACGCATGGACGATTTCGAGTCATTCTTGCCACGAATTGGTGGCTTGCGCAAAAAGGTCATGAGCTTGATGCGCCTCTTGGGTGGTAAGGCGGATGTTATTCGAGGTTTCTCTAAACGCTGCAACGAGCAATACTCAGTAACACCGCGTGGTGACATTGGCCTTTACCTGGGAGATATCCAGGATCACGTAGTGACCATGATGTCTAACTTGGCCCACTTTGAGAAGATGCTCAGCAGATCACACACCAACTACCTTGCGCAGCTGAACGTCACAAACCTAGTGTTGGGAAACCACGTCAACAAGATCCTCAGCAAGGTGACCCTCATTGCCACCATGTTAGTTCCTATGAACCTTATCTGTGGTCTTTTCGGCATGAACGTCACAGTTCCTGGTCAGGGCCAGGAAGGCCTTGCGTGGTTTTTTGGCATTGTCGGTGTGATCGCGGCAGTAGTCCTTATCAGCGGCATTGCTGCTCGCTGCTATAAACTTGTATAAGATCAAAATTGACCTTGCCTGTTCGAAATCTTATGGGCTGTCAAAAATAGTGTTCATGCGTATATAAATATCTAGATTCAATTTTGGGAATAAACCAGGTCTCCTAAGCTTTCCGGAACCCCGAAGGTGGCTGTTGTGGCTGACTGGCTGATGTGGCGCAGTCCAACTACTCGGAGCGCACAGGCAGAAAAGAAGGTCACTGTGAACATGCTGAAAGCCAGAATGAGCCCAACACTGCCAAGCGAAATATTTTGTACATAACATTTAGCTTCCGAATGAGCTTGAATTAGTTCGTGGATGACGTTTGCTCCTGCCGCCTTTCCCAACTTTCGCTTACGACTCGGCAGACCTCGGCAGTGAGAGGAAGTCGTCGCCTCGTCTTCACGACGCCTCCTCTTGCTCTTCTTCCTTTAATTTTACACAACCCAGAACCAAACATTTACTGAATTGTCCATGCGACCAAAGCTCGCACCTTGGTTGTGCTGTTTTGCTCCACGCATCAGCGCAATTGTTTATCATATAGTCTGTCTGGCTCTTTGGACCACAGGTTTAGGCCATGCCGCAGATCTTACCTCTCTGGTTCCTGAAATCCATAGTAACTTGACCTTTAATGACGGTGACTCCCATTTCCCCTTCCCCTTAGGGTCTTACAATGGTCTAGTGGTTGAAGACGATGTGGACGACGCTGGAGATTTGCGAGGTCTAGATATTGTCCGCAGGGCTCCTACTGGGGTCTCATCCCTAGACAATAATCAATACCAAAAGGGCGAAGTTAAATTAGGCGAAACCCAGTGGTGGTACTTCCCAAAGAATTCTGTAAATGGCAAGAATACCAATAAGACATCCGAGGGACCAACTAGCGACAAATCGACGCGTATGGAAACCGTCTTCATATCTCTGACAGCATGCTCGAAGCCTAGCTCCAATAAAGCCGGTTCTGACAGTGCTCGAGACCTGCCGCATCTAGAGGTCTACGTCTCTGCATCTGAATCGCTTCAGAAGCCTGGCTCTGGGCAAGAGAGCTCGAATCAAACTAAGTACATGGTCGAAGAGGGTTATATGGGCGCTGCCGTGGAAGTAGTAGGAAATGTTTATATCGGTGTTACTGCACATAACAGCACAGAACATTCTGGGTCCTACAGCTATGAACTGGCGGCTTCAGTTGACGCTTTTTTCCACAGCCTTGCGGACGATTCGACTTTCCTGTACTTCGTGGATTCGGACACGCGCAGTGCGCTCTTCACCACGGGCAACCTAACGGAGGCAGAACAGGGCTCTCAGAGCTACAACAATTGGATGGACATTGCACCGCCATACACAATGTTTGCGAATAACATTAACGACACAGCCATCTCTGGCTTACACCATTCCTCCTGTGCGCTCGATCGACTCGCTCAAATAGGCAAAGGCGATAGTAACATCAAAGCAAGCATGACGAGCAGAGGACCCGGCAATAAACCCAAGGAGCAGTTATATATCACGGGGCTCAACCAAAGTTCGACATATGAAGGGATTTTAGTACTGGATGGCAATTCTACTGTTTCTAGAAACGGCGTCATTGGCGGCGGTGGGAAACTATGGAAACCAATCACCTTCTCAACCAAAGCAGGTAATTAATTTCCTTTCGGCGTAATCGGGGGTGTTAAGGTTACTGACAAAAAAAGATGGCAATTGTGCGCTCCTCTACAACCTGTCATTTTGCAATGAAGTGGCGTATGCAGTGCCTTCGAATCCGACTTTCAACTTAGATGACCTCCGTTCAATATATGATGACAATGCCGCCGCACTGTATAAGAACTTTTCTTACTCTCTGGAGCAGATCCAATGTAACGCTACAAATGAGACTCGGTTTTCTCTAGCGGTGGGATGTGATGATTGTGCTAGAGCATACAAACAGTGGTTATGCGCCGTAACCATCCCTCGGTGCGAAGACTTTTCAAGCACTGGCACATTTCTCCAGGTCAGAAACGCTGGACAGGAGTTCATCAATGGAACCTCGCTCAGTGACCACACACTGCGGTTGGATGCCTCGACGAATCGGTCCCGAAATTCGCTGATTGACAAAGAGATCCGACCAGGACCCTACAAGGAGATTCTTCCCTGCGAGGACACCTGCTATAACCTAGTCAAGAGCTGTCCAGCTGCTCTGGATTTTAGCTGCCCACAGGGCAGATGGCTCATTTCCACGTACGGCAAACGCGGTCCCGACGACTTTGTCACCTGCAGTTGGGTAGGCGCAGCGTACTTCATGGGCGGCGGAGATAAAACAAATCCTTTGCGGCCGGTTTTATTTGCACTTGTAACTGTCTGGCTTTCATATTGGGCTTTTGGCGGTTCGTGAACTAGTACCATGCTTGTATAGCGTGGGGCATTAACCCTTTCTCAATGGGCATCTCGTCATTTCGGTCAACTTCTGTCTGTTACTCGTGAGTGATCGTGTCGTATGTTCATGTAACCAGATAGCCTTGGTCAATATAAAATTTTCTGTTTACAGTTGTTTCCCTCGGTATGGCCACTGTCTATATTCAACTAGACATTGTATCTTCAGGTCAGGAAAGAGAGTGGATAACTCTAATGGGAAGCGTTTATAGATAGGGCACGACGACAGCTTTTTTAGGTTATGGCTATCTAAGCATCATTAATTAGAATATCTTCTCACAACCTAAGCGGTATACGAGCAGGAAACAACACCGGTCACCATGGTATCTATTGAAGCGCCATTAGTCAAGAGATCATATGTAACTACTTTTCAACAGGCAATTCGTATCTATTTGGCTCTCCGTGGAGTCGGAGTCCACATATTCTTCAGGTTCGATGAAGACGACTCCGTCGGCCGAGGAGTGTTCCCCATACGATATAATAGTTGTTGTGCCGCTGGAGTCAACAACTTGCTTGATCCACCTCCTCCCACTGTTGCTCTGCCAGGTATGCGTAATCCAAAGTCTAGCCGGGGGTTACTGGCGAACCGCGGTGTCATGGTAACCGGGGGTTTAGTCTCTTGCGTAACTTTCTCCGCTCGCTTCTTTCTGGCAACACGGTCTACTATACGATGGTGTAGATCTTCGCGCCTTCGGTTCTCCTTGATTTGAAACGGATTTGGGGATTTATCAGTTGTACCCAATAATCGAAGGCCCTTGGAAAAGTCCGTATGACTGTCTTTCGACACGATATTTGTTGGGTAATCTGGTTCATCTTCATCCACGAAGGCGTACCCATTCACTCGTGGCGTCTCACTCCCGCTATAGCCCGCCTCTGAATTAGTAGGGTGGGGATGTCCGGCAATAGCATCCTTAATAGCAGAAATCGAAGGCGAGGGCGGAAGCGCGCCTCCATCTTGGGCAGCTTGAAACCCCTCATCTGGTAACCGGGTATTATGGTACACTACCCGCTTGGGCCCTGCCCGTGAGGACGCTTCTGCTTTCTCCTGGAGCGTCTTAAGAGTGTCCTCAACAGACGAGGGCATAAACATGAGAGAATTCTCCGGTCTGGCCTTCCATGAGTCCGGTTTCGCTGGCCGAAAGTCAAGGTCCTTCTTAGTGAATATTTGCTTGTCCTGATAGGGATTAAGACCCCGTTCCTCAACCCGTTTTGCTTCCCGTTGATGATGGGCAATCTGTCGCGCGGACGGGATCTTGTTGCCGCTCCAGATCCATGCATATTTTTCTCGACGTTTCGTATTTTGCTTATCTAGCAGCTTGTTGAAGGACTCGTTATCTTCACTGGTGTACTTCGCTTGGAACTCGAGCAGCCCGAGATTGGACAGGCCCGGAGTATTATTATCTTTCAAATGCTGAGCCGTTGATGAAGAGGCCATGGACAAAATTGACAATGGCGTATCCCCACCCCAACCCGTAGGAGTATCCTCTGCATGCCTTACTTCTGTAGGGCTGTCTGTTATTATGGGGTTCGATGATCCAGGACGCTTCCGAGCTCTTTCTGGAGTCAACATCAAGTCGCTAAGTCTTTTCTTAGACGTAGAAATCCATTCTTCGTTTCTCGAGTCGAGTGCTTCGAGGTACTCTTGCTTCACTTGTACCTCCAGAAGCCCCGGGAAGTAGTCTCGCGCAATGATGTCAGATAAGGTATTTGTATAGACGTCTTCATCGAGGACAGTGGCAGGTCGTTTGATGCGTTTCAGTGGGGGAGGGGGCATTAGACTGGTTTCGATGTGGCGCTTAGCCAGAGCTTGCGACGAGGAAGACATTTACAGCGAAGGGCAATCGAGGGCCTAGAAAAATCAACGCAAAGAAATATGATCTTGGTCAGCTGAAAAACCCGTGAAGAACATGATACTAGATGGGGGATGGATGGATGATGTATGAGTGAACTATTGAATGTAGAACAGAGAAAGAGCGGCAGAACTGAGGGTGAGGCGGTGAGCATTGATAAGTGACGACATTTTATGATTCTGGTTTCTGTTTATAGTTCGCTGGGATACGCTCAGGGTCCAATTATCTGGTCAACTTTTGGATATGACATAAAGTGTCCTATTGAATCAGGTACACGAAGTTCTTGAAACACACAATGGCTTGGTAGATGACGCCTTCGCTTTTTCACTGTCCACTAAAATCTGGACAGAAAACACCCAGACCAATAAACCGCCCTTCTCTATATAACAGGACCATATCCGTATTTATCAAAAGATGAACTTGCCAAGCAACAAGGAAATGCAGTAAAAGAATGATGCCTGAAAAGACCCAGATACAAAGCGAAGAAATTTCGAGCGAATGCTATGCAACCAAAACCCATTCGGAGCCTTTTCCCAATTCTTCATACCAGAAAAACACCCAACAGAAATTTTCGTCCCTGTGGAAAAAGTAGCCGCTCAAAATGCAAAACGAAAGTCTGGAATAAATCGCAGATGAGAAAAGAACGAGTATGGAACGGCTAACAATTGCAGAAAGACATATTGGAAGGAATAACAATGAAGAAGGGAAATTTGCAGAAAGAAAAAGTGAAAAGTCATCATGTCGTTGAGATCTATAGGTGATTGGTATGAAAGTGTGGAAGAGCAAGATAAAGGAAAAGAACATGATATCCAAGTTACGCTTCAGGACTGGGGATGCTGCAACTACAGCACGTTAGTGGACGTTGCGGGAGATGGAAAGAGCGAGTACGATGCTCTGCCCTTTCGCCGATGTGTTCCTTTGATAGGGACTTCAGCCTTGGTCGTCTCTACTTCAGATGAGGATTTTGCGCGATCCTGAATAGCAGGGCCCGGATTTGGTATGAACCCAGCAGATTCAAAGATCAAACTGCCGTCAGCGCGAAAGGCAACCTGGGTCTCGATATCTTTTGCCAGGCTTTTCGCTTGATGATGGTAAGAAGACGACTCTGGTTGTCCAGGCCCGGAGGGCAGAGAGTGATCGCCTAAGGTGGCTTGATCCATCGTGGAGAACTCTCGGCTATTTGCCAAGCTGTGCACAAGCTCCGGAACACTAGTAGTCGAGACGGAAGAGCGGTGCTTGCGGACAATTGATGCCGCACGGGATAAGATTAGGCTTTCTTCAGAGTTGCATTTGCTGATCGGAGAGAAACTACTGCGGGGAGAGACAGGCTGCTCCATGGGTTGGATCACCCCTTGGGAGCAGAAGGAGAAGTGCCGATCTGATTCAGCATCGCCTGCCAGGTACTCCTCATATAGGGTATCATGGGTCAAATGTTTTCCCAGGGTCGATGGAAACATTGAAGAACTGACTGGCTGGAAATAATCGCTGTTCCGCTGAGAGACGTTTCCCTCAATTTCGTAACTTGTGGTTGACGGAGTTAAGGAAACTTGCGCGCTAGGAAACGAAGGAGGCGGACTAGGCTCTAGATCCAATCCAGGAACTGTGGACGTGCTCAAATGCGCGGCTGGGAGCAGGTGAATTTTGTCGGCCTCATTCACCGGATCGACCTGGGAGCTCGTGATGGGGACGTCAATTGGGTCCTGCTGTGGTTCATCGAACGAATTACGAGCCCAGTCGAAGTTACAATTTGACTCTGCTGCATGCTCATAACAGTAGTCAATGTCAGCATCCCAAGACTCATAGATGGTCTCATATGTTGCTCTTCGACGAACAGACGCTGTTCGCTTCACCATTCCGTTCAGTCTTTGGTCGTGCGGCAGTGCCCCGTGCTGACGATATTGAGGGAGCGTAGGAGAGCCGAGAGCTTCGGCAACCTTCTTCGACAATTCTTCAGTCACGTATACGGATAGATTAGACTTAGGCCTGACTACAGAGGTGCTCTGCAGCTCAGTTGGAGGTGAGCTTAGCCGAGACTGGGAACGCGAGTTTGTTTCCTCTACCCTAGAGGCCAAAGTTTCCCTTGAATGGGTAGCCTCCTCTTCTTCTGGAAGGACATCAAGATCGGAGGACATGTTGGTGAACGACATAGACGAAGTTCTGAAATCAATTGTGTCTTTTTGAACGTTGGGAATGATGTCCTGTTCAATGGTCGGTAGGAAGATGCTTTCAACGTTCATATGGAGTAAACGACATTCTTGGGATTCGTCGTCGTTTGAGTAGACATGTTCCGGGTACGTGGCTGGGGACGACAGACCCAGTATCTCGTCAATGGCACGAGGAGCTGGTTCAGATATTTCCGGGGATGCTGCCAACCCAGGCGGCGTAGTTGCGCCAACTCTGGGATATGGCCGAGAAAAGTTCTCACAGACTCGTGATTCCCTCCTTAGCCTATCGTCTTGCTGCTTGGGGCTCGCTGCTGACGACGATGTTCCTGGCGACCCAGGAGGGCTAATCGAAGCGGGAACAGCGTGGTCCCTTGCAATACTTGTCCCGCAATTGGCGAGGTTCTCGGATGAGAAGTCACGAAAATGAAGATCTTCCGCGCGGATACCCTTAAGTCCCGTGACAGGTCTTTGAGAGGCACGGATGGCGGAGAATTCAGTGACCAGGTCATTTTCCCGGGCCCTGTCCATTGCCTGGAAATGGGATGGACTCGTATGAGTTAGGTGGTGGAAGTCAAAGGGATCCGAAATAAGATTTTTCAATTGTTCATCTGCAACAGATCAGTTATGAGTACCAGAATATGCCATTCGCGTAAAGGTGCGCTTACGAGCATCGCTCTGTCGCGACCTGTGGTGACGGCTGAAGAGGTCTGAGACCTCAAACCGGGATTTCTCGCGCTCTAATTCATCCTCTTCATCCAGCGTGGCAACGATATTGAATTTACTTCCCTGGCGACGGAGGATACGGCTTCCGCGCGAGAAAAGTGATTTGGTCATACTCTCCTGCCGCTCCGAGCGGACACCGGCCGGATTAGTTCGTTCATCTTGAGATGAGGGCAGCGAGGCAGCATCCATAGATGTCATGGAGGAAGCGGGAGAGCGGCGTGATGATGTGGTGGAAGTAGTTGTATTGCTCCGGGAACGACCGCTGAAGACAGACAGACGTTTGGGGCTCTGGGTGTGGACAGTTGATCGAGAGCGGATATGAATTGAATGATCAGGAGCGTCATTGTTGGATATTCTGTTATTGAGTTGCTCTGAATTCGCCATGGTTCGTGGGGCAGAGCTGGAGGCTTGCATAGTAGACTGTTATCGCAGTTTAATTGGCGAGATCGAAGGGGGAAAATACAAGCTGATAGTCAAGCATGTAATTGCAATATGCCGGTCCTGGCTAGGACCATGGTAGAAGATAATAAGAGTGAATTGAATGATGAGATAGGTAAAGCTGGCTAGGGATCAGGAGCAACAGGACATGACACCTCCAAGTGGAAGGGTTTCTGAAGTGTTTTAGATTTAGATTTAGATTTTAGAGGCAAGGCCACTCGGCGAGGAAAGACTGAATCATAAATTTGGAAGTTGGAAAATATGAAACGAAGCAACAATCATCACAGCAGAAGAGAAGATGCATGAAATAATGGGGAAGTGGCTCTAGCGAGTAAAAGGATCGTGATCGTGAATACTCCGTACAGAGGGGAATAAAGGTATATAGGAGAGAAGTTGAGTGAGGGACAGTAAAAGAAAGATGGTGGAGGTTTAGAATCAAGAGATAAAGAACGAAGCGGATCGATAAATGGTTAGTCAATGGATGTTCTGGGGAGGAGGAGAATGGCAAAGACAATAATAAGAAGAAATAAGGGAGGGAACTAACAATTATTAGTATAGTTCGACGGTTAGAAAGGATGGAGAAAAAGTATCCAAAACACAAAAATAAAACAAATTAAAATGGGGGGACGGACGTTAGCTTTCCTTTCCTTTCCCTTTTTTTTTGTTGGTTCGTGCTGCTCAATATTTTGGTGTAATTTTGTATTTGCTTTAGCTCCGGAGATTCCACGTTCTGACGGTTCGAAAAGGCACAGGCTGTACGGAGTAATTTATTTTATTTTCTGTTTTGTTTTTCTTCCCCGAGCCCGTTTTTTTTTTTTATTTATTTTGCCCCTTACGAAGCCGACAGTCAATTATGTACAGAGTATGACATGGTCTAACTTTATAAATATGCTAAAAGCAGAGGAAAAAGGAGAGGAAGAGAAGAGATAGTAGAAAAGAAATTACTCTACGATTACGCACCGAACTTAAGGGCATTAACAAAACGCATATTTTATGTCTGTCTACCTACTCCGTACTTTTTTTATGATCCCAGTAGCGTTCTTCAATCCATTAACATCCCACAACAGAGGAAGAAGAAACTCTCGAAGAACAGGAAGACGAAGAAGAAAAGGGGAAAAAGACAAGAGAAAACACCAAGCACCGCTCACCAAGCTGCATACCGTGGAGACGATCAAATCAGGAGATTCTGGTCTATTGAGACTAAAAGTTGTTCGCACAGACACCCAGGAACCCAGGGATCCAGACACGCAGGATGCAGGTACACAAAACCGCGAACTCAGGTCGTAAAATCACAAACCCATGGATCAATTTTTCCCGTGTTGCTGATCGATCGGAATTGGTGCTTACAGGCGAGGGACCTAGAAGTCAATTCCTTCCCTCCTCCCCCCAAAAGGATTTTGACCGGATTGGAAATTAGCGCTAGCCAGGCAGTTCTGACAAGGAATAATACTCTAACCTCGGTAGCTATTACGTTCCCTTGTCATGGGTTATCCTGAAAGGACTGCAGATGGAGACCCAGTCTAGTATATTCTGTCAGCTCCTTGTAGGCAAGTGATCGTGAGACTGGCAACGGAAAAGAATTATGCCAGTCAGCCACGAGCGATTCCACACGGTGCTTCCCGTTGGGTAAGTATCGACGGTAGATAATTGAGGCTTGTTAGATTAAACATAGGCAACTAGTGACGATAGATAGAGATGATAGAAATAGGAATGGATCCTACCTCCTCCTCCTCCTCCTCCTCCTCCTCCTCCTCCTCCTCCTCCTCCTACTACTACTACTACTACTACTACTACTACTACATCATGGAGATCATAAAGGATAGGCACAATGATCTATCTAGCATCTAGATATGAGCCAAGAAATACATATCTAATAAAGCCATACAATTAATTGTACGCCAAACACTTAGAACAACCTGCGGAGGATATGCTGACTTTCTCTTCCCTTTTCCTCCACAGAGGTCTCCAACACCCTTCAAACTTTCAACTTCTTACTGGCTGCGTGTACGGAGTATGTGTTTGCAAGAATAACAATTCAAACACCTGTCATACAGTATACTAGTATTACTGCATAAGCCACTTTCCAGGTACTCGTCTTACTGAGAAGTTCCGAGGAAAGGAAGAAGTACCCAGCAATACAGTCGGACTGTCAGGCACCGGATCATCATTCGCTTAAAGACGCGGACCCATTCCAACGTCTCTCCACTGGGTCTAGTCAGGACGCTAGACAATGACATTAATGGGCCAACTTCCCTGCTGGTTGAACTCTGTACCTGTCCGAGCGGATCCAAGTGCGTTAGCAAGTTACGGAGTAGTAGTACCGGTAAGAGTTAGTAATGCTGTTTTTGTTTCTAATACGGTCGTACAGGGAATTGGGATATTATCATTATTATTATTAGTTTTATTATTCCCTTTTCTTTTTTCCCCGAGAAAAGTAAAAATCAAGACCCTCTTCCCCAAATTATCTACTTATTTGCCTGCTATGTCCTTAACTTGTCTGCATACTAGTGTGTTTGACCGAAACCCCAATCTGTAGTGCATCTGTCCATGGAATGAATAGGATGGCCGTGGTCAGGTCTATTGCGATGGCTAGCGCCAGTAGTGTCATATCCAGAAGGGTGGTAAACACGCCTTACAGTGGACTGTTGTACGTAGTACTACCCTGGGATAGCCGTATAGGATACGTATAGCCTAAATTACACGAGGTTAGTTTGCCCTAGTCGGCTCGGGAGTGGTTGGTCAATAATATGCAGATGCGATGAACCAGTATGTTGGTTGGGTCGGGGGAGGGACTTAGACGGAACTGCTTTAGGGCTTGAGCCTCGAGGGTTTGATCCCACAGCATCAATTATAAGCAGGCATGCCTCGGGTCAAAGGTGGCATGTGCTCTCGCAGTTTAATATCGATCCATACGTATTTTATTTCATCATGGTACAGAGTAGAGAGTACAATATCAAAGCCCTCTGGATTTCTTTGTGGTAATTCTACTACAGAGCACTAATTCCTCTTGTCCACATTTGTATCTGGTATGAGGTGTGTATTTACCTATACCGATACCTTGTACGATTGCCTCCTATCTTGTCTAAATTTACACTATACATATCCACGTCATATCTGCTTGCTGATCACACCGCCAGGCAGCGTTCCTGTGCCTGTATGCCTGCGTGCATTAACTCTGCGGGATGGCAAGCTTTTCTTTCTATCTACAACTAGTAATGATATTTGCTATTCTTTTTGCTTGATCAGCTACCGTCACTTGTTTTTTTCTTGACTTGAGCTCCCACTCCTCGTATCTCATACATGAATTCCGAGCATCCTTAATTAGGTTATATTCACAAAAGCACCAAATCTGAAATCTCGTGTCAACTACTACTACTCTTTTATATGTATGTACAGAGTACATACCTCCGTATCTATCCTGTACCCGATCTGAAAAAAGAAAAGTGCCACACTACTGTCTCAGACACGAACCTTACAGGCAACCCGTCTCTTCCCAGCCTTAATTATTATTAGTTTATTTTATTTTTTATTTCCCCCCCCCTCTCTCCCTCCCTTCCTCTGTCCTGGCTGGCTCTATAGACCATCTTCTATTTAGCGTGTCTCACATGTTCTCCATCGTTCGGCCTCCTGACGATCGCTTGTGTCTAGACTTCGCTCTAGTGATGCTGACGAGGCAATTTTATTAATTACTAGGCTAGTTACTCTGAAGGACAGGGAGCAAAGGCCCTTGGCTTCTCCAAGAGGTTATACTTGCTTGCTTTTGTTCGAATTATAAATCATAATACCCCCGTACATCAATCTCGAATACCCATGTGCCTTGAGATTAGGTAGCCTGGTTGTACTATACGTTGAAAATCAATAGAGCCTCAATCTCCTGATATTCTGTAATTAATAGGGAGGAAATCAGATTGTTCATTCCAATACTGCTTATAAACATGTCCCAGGTTTGCCTTCAATTCTCCCAACGCCTGGATCCTCTTGATACAGAATAAAGTAAAAGCGTAGCAGAAGACATACACTACAAAGTAACGGAGGAGCAGAATGCTGCCTTAGCATATCTTCACTCTTCCATCGAAGCATCATTAACGCCCGCGTTGTCGCTGAACAAATCATCTGCACCATCGTCCCCATTCTCTGATACTGTCATCGTTCTGGGCTGGTTCTTTTCTTCTTCCTCCTCCTCCTCCTCCTCCTCTTCTTCGTCGTCAGCAATCCGACGATTCGCTTTCGCTCGGCGCCGTTGAATTACGTTTTCCCCATCTTCATCTGCACCGGTATCAACCATCTCCTGGTCGTGATCTGATTCCGCCGCCGGTGTCGTGGCGGCTTCGGCCCCGTCCTCCTCATCGGAATCCACCACCAGTTCACTGCTCTTATACTTGCTCTGCGTTTTTCCGCCCGACCGACGTTCCAGTCGCCGCCGTTTCTTGGGGGCCGCTTCACCCTCGCTTTCTGGGTCTGAGCTTCCAGCCCTGGTCGGTGATTCGCCGTCACTGATGAAGTCGTCCTCTGCCCGCTTCTTCTTGCGTTTCGTCGAAGATGATTTCTTCTTACGTTTCACCTTAGCGCCTGTATCCGATTCCGTTGTTAACTCCGCTTCCTCTCGCGCGCGTTCCTCCTCCGCCCGCTGCTCCGCTAATCGCTGTGCTTCCTCCACCATTCGCTGCCGTTCCTCTGCAATTCGCTGTTTGCGCTCGCGCTCTGCCTCTTGCGCCTTGCGAACTTCCTCCTCGCGCCGGCGGATCTCGGCTTCACGAGCCTCGCGAGCCTGCTGAAGTTTAGCCGCATTCTTTTCTTCGTACTCCTTCTGACTCTGGAGGGCTCGTTCGAGCTGTTTGATGATTGTCTTGCCCATGTTAGCTCGCTGTTCCAAGGCCCCCGCTGGGTAAGGAGGGTTCTTCGCCTGTGAAATGCGTCCGAAAGATTCGACCGCCTCACGAAGACCATCAGAGGCATCCTGCACATCTTGCACAGTCTTCTGCGTCTCCGGTAGACTGTATGCCAGAGAGGCGATCTGATTTTGTACAAACGCCACATTAAATTCTAGATGCACCTGGGATGGCGCGACAGAATGCGCTCGTCGTGCATAATCCAGGGCAGTCTTCATAGCCGACAAGCTCATCTCTTGCTTCCCTTTCAACAGCCATACTCGGCCTAAGCATGCTAGAATTTGCGCATCACGAGCACGGTCTTTCGATAGCGCGGCCTCGTAATGTTCGATAGATCGCGCATGCTGCCGTAGTTCCGCGTATACATGCCCAAGGTTTAGGTAGACACTAGAGTCTCTCAAGGTGTCCCGAATCTTGGAAAATATGTGCACTGCAGTGCTGTAGTCCTTCTTAGCATCTACCAGAGCAATGGCAATACCCTGAGCCGCATAAGCATTCTGAGGATCTAGCTGAAGAGCTTTGTCGAAGAATTCCACTGCCCGCTCGTACATCTTACGGCGCTTCTCTTTCTCCTGATCGGTCTCACGGCGCATATCGCGTGCTGTCATGAGGTGGACATTACCCATCCCAGTCAACGAGTAGCGGTCGTGTTTGTCGAAGTATTGCAGGGTATGCTTGTAATGACGTTGCTCCTGGTCCTCGGCCAGATTTGCAACACGTTTCTTAGACTTGCTGAGGTACCAGCCGAACAGAGCACGGACCTCAAGATTCGTCGAATCTGCTTCGTACAGCTTGGCCATCCTTTTGGGGCCTTCATCCGTGGGGCTCTGCCGTAGGGCAATATATGTCAACCTAGCGCTGGCTTCCGTATAATCACAGTGGCGTTCCAGGAGACCTTCATACACCTTCTTTGCTTCTTCCGACATGTCGGAGGCCTCGTATGTTCGTCCGAGATTATAACTGATGGTCGTGACCAGGGCATCCGTGTCATGCTCGCTTTCTTTCTCCTGTGACCGTACGCAGGCATTCAACGCCGTTTCAAACATAGTTCGCGCTTGGTCTACCTTCTCAGCCTGGTACAAAAAGCAACCCATATTGCTGAGAAGCTGAGGCGGTAGGTTTACCCGAAGAGTAGCTTTGGCCTGCTCCCGATTTTCAAGGCCTTCTGGATATTCATCCTCAATAATCGCTGCCAGCTGCAATTCCTCGAGCTGAGACAGGCACAGCATGCTCTTCTCAGGGGCTGTACGCTCATACAAGCGGGCCAAATACACCAGAACTGACTCATCCGGTGGGAGTTTCTTGCCTTCATCCTTCCAGAGGGCGCGAACCGATTCTAGAAGACTGATTGCCTTTTTGGCTTCGGCTGACTTGTCTTCTCTGCTACCAATTTTCTCGGTCGCAAAGACCTCCTCTGCATAAAGCGCACCGAGCAGTATCATGCATTCTGGGTTCTTGGTTTGCTGTATAATCTTCTCCAGTCGAAATTTGGCACCATCGTAATCTTTATTAAAAACTTGCATCTGTACCGTGCCGAACCTGGCAGGCAAATACCCCTTATCACCGCCACCACGAGCTTGATCAGAGCGATTATAGAATTCTGCAGCACGAGGAAGGTCGCCCTCGTAATGCGCCTTACGACCGAGCAGAAACCAACCATCGCTAGCTATTTGCATCACGTCCGTGTGCTCGATCGCTTTGCGGGCTAAGGTTTCGACAGTAGAGTAAGACTTCCTCAAAAGAAAATAACCCCCAAACAAGGCGCCAGTCATGGGGTATTCTTTATCCAACTTGAAAGCTTTTTGTGTGTACTGGGTCATGGCCACCTTATACAAGGAGCCAAACGCAGGATCTGTCGTGGCGTGTCGGGAACTATCATAGAGGTAGTAGACGGCGAGTAGAATATTGGCAACTTTGGAGTCAGGGTTCTATAGAGCACGTACACGATCAGCATGTGGTGTAAAAGGATAGTATTGCAGGATCCACGTACCAATGCCAAAGCTCGTTCCCACGCAGCTTTCGCCTGGTCTTTAAAGCCCAGGTGCCACAGGCAGCACCCAATACCAATGCGAGGATCAGGGTCTGTTAAACTAGGCATCTTCATTAAAACTCTCTGGTAACCCTCCAGTGCCTCTGCATATCTTCCAAGCATGTACTGTGCCCTTGCGCGACCAAGAATTGCCATCACATTTCTACCCCCGAAGGCTTTTGACGACTCCTCGAAGCATTTAAGAGCCTGTCTAAGAGACTCAACTCGCTCGGACGTGTCAACTGTACCAGGACGAGCTGGCCTCGGGGGATGCAACGATGCGCGCAAAAGGGACAACACTCCGCGGGCTAGAAATAGGGGTGGGAAAGCTGGGTTCAGGCGAGATGCCTCATTTAATGTCGACGTCGCCAGCTGTAGGTAATGGTCCTTTGTTTTAGCTTCAGCATACAATTCTCCTTCGGGTGCAACTCGGGGCGCTTGTCGGCTCTTCAACATAAGCAACCAGCATACCCAGCCCAGCAAGCCGAGCTTCTCTTTCGTCGCTCCATGAGCGACCGATGCCAACCCTTTGTTGAGGATGTCGATAGCATGGTCGATTTGCTTCTGTTTGGCATAAGCGAGCGCGATAATAACCCAGAAATTTTTTGCGGCTTTTTCATTCTCTAATAGAGTGCAAAGCTCCGTAGGATCGTCCGGAAGACCTTCCAGACTGACCTCGACCTCGCTGTCCAGGGTAGATGCAGGAATATCAATGGCAGAAGGAATGTCCGAAAAACGAAAGTTCGCCAATGATTTAACAGTGGAATGTGTTTCGCCATTTATGCCATTGGTGTGATCACTTCGTAGGGACGCCATGGCGCATGAAAGGTGTTCCTTTGGAAGTCGATGAGACACGGAAGGTGTGGTGGATGTCTAGAGTAGGGATTGTTGCAAGGTTCAGCTCATGATCGTACTATATGAAACGATTGCCAGTGAAAATGAGAAACACGTCCTCCTGCTGAGACCCCGAGCAGGAAGAGCGTTCTTGAATTAGCAGCAACTCGAGACGACAAAACCGGCAGTGTTGCCCTCGACTTGGTGCGGGTAGATTGACAGGGTCGGAACCTGAGGCTGGAGCCCGTGCTGAGGCTGGAGTTCCACCGCCACATGTGGCTGCGATATCTTAACTCTACCAAGTAGTCAACATTTTCAATCAATGATTAGTTTATGATTCCTGCAATCAAATGAATGAAAGAAAACGGGTAAACTTGGATTATTAACATACATCATACGTCAGAGCAGATTGGGGGAGGGAAAGTGAATCTCTTTTCGAATACTATCATCCACTAAACGCATCTCTCATAATCGTAGTAAGAATAGCTAATTTTAAGAACTATAAAAGGTAAACTCTTGCTTGTCAAAAACCCAAGAGTTTTGGTACTTTGCACAGAAGAGCAGCGCCAATTAATACCATAAATATACGCCCGACTTCACTCCAATGTCTCAGTCTAACAAATACTTCCACGTATCCAGCAGCGGCGGCAGCTTTTAGACTTTCGGAAACGCCCACGTTGTGAACAAAGCCCCCTAAATCAGATGGAAATCTTCCCGTCTCGAAGTATTCATCAAGCAGCTGGTCCTTTTCCGTCCACCGGGCCCTGAGCCAGGCATCGAATTCCTTCTGGTCATCTAATGGTATGTCTGATACAGAAAATCGTCGCCAGTACATATTAACGGATGTCGGGGGTCTTCCCTGAAGATATGTTGATCGGAGCGTGAAGTATTTATCGGGATAGCTTCCTTTTCTACCTCAGAAGTTAGTCGTGGAATTTTTTTTTTTGCTCCCCCTTCCCCTCCCGCTTCCCACCCAAAAGACAATTTGACATTCATAGGGACTTACGGAGGTCCTTCGTAGGCTACGGTGCAGTCGTACACCCAATCAACCGTGCCCCTCAATTGTTGTAGGCAAAAAAAGAGGCCGGTCGACCGCGGGAGAACCTCGTGCCTTAGAGGTGGAAACCCTTGCTTTTGGCCATACTCATCACTACGCCTCTTGGTATTAATTGACAAATTCGTCCCTTCAGGAAAGATTAACAGCCACATGGGGTCATATTCAGACGATTCTGACTTGGAGCCTGAATGCCGGGTTTTCAACTTCTCCAAACGATGCTGTAGCCGGGGTTTGTCGGATAGCCATTTGCGAGCCATGAAAATAAAGCCGTAAAATGTCATACCTTGACCGACAATCGGGATGTACTTGAGAGACTCTTTGAGGATGATGAAAATGCGGCCATGCATAATGTTCGTATACGCGACCCACCACAAGTAAATCCAATCGGTATAAACCTGGTGATTAGCAATCAAAACCAAGCGCTCCGGAAATTCAGTTTTCAACCGGCCATCTTCTGTCAGGTGAATTTGGCCTTGCACACTCTTATCGCCACTAACTCTAACAAATGTCGGACAGCCCCATTGTGTAAGAGCTGTGATGACCAGCCCGAAGGACTGCTTCGTGTATGCCATGTATGCATAATAATAATCCTTGCTTATTAGATAGAGAGGAGCACCGAGCACCTGAGTCACTAGAATGGCGACACAACAGCAGTTGAACCATGTTGCAAGCAAGAGGGATCGAAGCACTTGCATTGGGATCCCATGTTTAAGCCGTGGTTCCATGTCATTGTGAGTTCGAGAGGTTTGATCTATGCTTCCTATACGTTGCCAGGTTGAATTCTCTTTTCGCTGGTGAGGCTCAGGGCAAGGGTCACCCGTCATGTTGGATTGCTAGTGGCCAAAAGAGTACCGGATTCTGTTGAGTTGGTAGATGAGACGCTTTGTTACGGTGTAAATTTATTCTTAACCTGAGGATCACGCAACCGGAAATTAGTCGAGCGGTTGCATATAAGGAAAGGCAGTCTCGTACTCGAGCGAAAGATCAACTTGAAGAATCCCAAGGAAATTTTTCAGTTTGATGTCTATCAGTTCAGGCCATGCCCAGGGCCGCGAAGCAAAACAGAAAGACCAGAGGATATCCTATATATAAGGTATATAGGATGAAGTGAATGGATGGTATGTAGGAGCTAAGGTGCTAGGTACGGGATAACGCCTGACCGCAATGATTGGGATCTTGCCAACCCGAGAGCCAAGACGTCCGATACTAGTACTACTAGTAGTACTAGTAGGCAAGGCACCTGCCGATTTAATGACGTCCTCATACGTCAAGCTCTCAGGGCGGTCAGGCTCTTAAGTTAGGGATTATCCTTCGCCCCATCAAAGATCTGGAGCGACAGTTGTTGATTTACAGGGTCTTTCTTCCCTTCTACCTTTACGGGATCGGCAAGAAAAATTCAAGGTTTAATAAATATATGTCTTCCGGGAATGATTCCATGCTTTAGATCAGGGTTGTCCTACAGGAGTTGAGCTCGGAAGATGAAAGGAGAAGTACAGGTGAGCTTATATCCGAACAATGAAAATAGCCGCCGTTTACAGCGCTAATCTCTACATCAAGTCTTAGTTTAAAAAGCTGTTCATTCTTTACTCAATATGCAAGCGACTATTCTTCGGGTGCAACCATTTCGGTCCAAGATTAGCATAACAAAGTACACACCATGGAAGCGACCCTTTTCGTCTTCTCTTCGCCGCTGTGAAATCAGAGATATAGAGACACTACCTCAGCGTCTATTACCTAAATACGAAGGTGTGCGTCTCTACAAATTTGTAGAACTGCTTCTCCCTCACTAGATAATGAGAAATAATGCGACATCAGACTATGTCTTACTGATTCTTTGTCCCAGAATCTTGGGAGGGCGATCTCCTTGCTCTTCAATGGCCAGCGCCCCCTCGAAATGTCTTTGTTGTGAAAAAGGACTGCGTGCCAACAGTAACGGAATCACTGGTTGAATTTGCGAAGTACGGTAGCCGTCTTAACACCTTGGAGAAGCTAACTGACAGTTTTTGTCTAGTCATGTAACATCTACATATCCATCTATCGCCCTGATCCTAGAGCCGAAGACTGCCGAAGAAATTCATTCAAGCTTTCCTTTTCCTATCTACTCAGCTCCATTGGACAGGCTAGCCTCGGCGCTACATAGTAAGGCGGACCTTACGGTTACTCTTGGTGGGGATGGAACTATTTTGCATGCCTCTTCCTTATTCGCTACATGTTACAATGTACCCCCCGTGCTTTCATTCAGCATGGGTACGCTGGGGTTTTTAAGCGAGTGGAAGTTCGAGGAGTACAAACGCGCATTTCGTGAGGTATACATGTCCGGCGCGGGAGTAGGGGATCGAGCTCCTATGTTAGAAGCGTCGAGGTGTACTGCAACGGATTATCAAGCGGATTTTGAGACAGGCCCTACGGGATGGTCGTCGGTTCGTGGGAAATCAATGGGCTCGAGTCGCGGAGCTCGCATCTTGATGCGGAACCGCTTAAAAGTGGGCCTTTTCACCGCTGATGGGAGACCTGTTCAGCAAGACCGAAGGTCAACTTCTATGCAGAGTAGATTGAGCAGCCAGGGAGTGTATGTATTGAACGAAGTGCTCCTCCATCGTGGCAAGGAACCGCATCTTGCGGTGGTGAATGTTTATGTCGGAGGGCGATTCCTTACAGAGGCAGTAGCGGATGGGATCATCATCTCGACGCCCACGGGTAGTACCGCATACAGCTTGAGTAGTGGTGGAAGTATTGTTCATCCCCTGGTACCTTCGGTTCTACTAACCCCAATCTGCGCCCGGAGTCTGAGTTTCCGGCCTGTGGTTCTACCATCCAGCACGCCGATTACGCTGAAATTGAGTGAGAAGAATCGGGGTCGTGAATTAGAGATGAGTATTGACGGGGTCAACATGGGTCAGGGAATGGCAGTCGGTATGGAGGTCCGGGTATGGAATGAAGAGATGCGGCATGGCAAGAACGAATGGCAAGGAGGAGTGCCATGTGTAATGAGGAGAATTATGGGTGGTGAGGCGCATGATGGATGGGTTGGCGGTCTGAATGGGCTGCTTAAATTTAACTACCCCTTCGGTGAAGAACCATGATGAACCGACAGAGGATCATCCATATTTTCGATCTATTATTATGAAAACTTATCCTGAGAGTTTATTTACTTTACCATCTACTGCCAGGAAACGACTTCTCCGGGAGGTCCCACTTGGAGCAAAACCATCTCAATGTTGCCTGGTGGACAGTCTATATGGCCTTATCGCTGCTATAGTGCGGAATGTGTCATGCGTATGGCTGATTACTCTTTAGTTGGTGGTATTCTATAAATTATAGTTTACGAAAGAGAGAAAGGCGGAGGTTGCTTGTATCAGTCGAGTGGACCGCCCAAGTTCTTGGATCTATGGAACGACAACCCGTGGGTCGACATTATCTCTTTTGGACAAGACCAGGTGTGATTGATTTGAGGGCGAGCGATTGGATACATCCAACAGTGGCAGGATATTTGAACAAACATAGATGCTCTATGGGCCCAACTCGGGTTATCTTCCGTGCACGATTGTTCATGAAAGTGCTTCAATGCCTACTAATTGCTTGAGTTAGGGGGCAAGCCCCGTGAGATTGCTGCATGCTCCAACCAGTCACATTTTAGTTTACATGGTAGTCATCTTTTTCATCAGGGAAATTGGTAGTTTTCTGGTCCAAACTCGTTATTTATGTGATTTACTCTGTCAGTCCACCTATAGCGCATTATTTGGGTAGCAATAACTCTGCGCCACTTACCGCAGCCTACTCTATCTTTTTGTCAGAGAAAAACACTTAATTCTCCTCCTGGTACAACCTTTTCTCACTTAATACAAAGGTCAAAGTTTTGAACGTGGCCGTTCCACCTTCGATCCGAACCCTCTATATCATCTTCCTCATGGATACCTGAAACCTCTAAGAAACTAACCTTTGGTTGTTAATTAAGGGGCGCTGGATATGATGTGAACTCCGGTAGAAATAAAGTACTAGTGTTACAAATGTATTCTTTCAATTATGAGGAGCCCCTGTATCATGTTCAATATCCAGCTAAAGCAAGAATGCAAAGGAGAGTAAATGAACATATCAAAGTAGAACCATTTTAATAGTAATAGCTTACTAGATCCTAGAGCGCTCTTTGCAACCGTGACCGCTCTCGAAGTCTGAGCGCTTTTCCTGTGACAAGTGCCGCGCCCCTTGACTTGCGATGGGTTCCCGCTGTTAGTTGAAACCTCAGTTACAATTTCCCTTTCCTTCCTCCCCCCCTCCCTGTTCTCCTTGGATTCCCGTCCCTCCCCTGGTACTTCGTTTTCTCTCTATTCCTCGCCTTTCTCTTCTTTCCTATGCATTGTTAATATTGCAAATTCTTGTTCTTTTTACTATTTTCCTGCAGGACAGTCCCTTGTCTCAGTGAGCATAGGTCCTTTATTATTGTCACTGTTGCATTGGTGAGTCTTCTCACCGCGTTCTGAAGGGTCAAGGTACCCCGAGACCTTTGCGCTCAGTCATACTCGCTGGTGCGAGGAGACCTTTCTGTTTTCAAAAGCCAAAAGGTATTGTCAGGTAAGGTCTCTCTTATTCGAACTATCAATAAAAATAAAGAAGAAAAAATACTGGCAATGCTCCTCCCATCTCGACTGAGGTCTACCCTACTGTTTTGTTGGCGGATCGACTCATTGCTGCTGTAGGATTCGCGGATTCTGCACACCAGACCTTTTAGGTTTGGGACTCATGGGGCTTGAAGCGCCAGCCTTGTTTGAAGTTGGGCTCCATTCAGTTCTGACAATATACAGTAACTAACGAAATAACCGAACCATAAACGGATACCCCTCGTACCCGCTGTGAAGTAAGAAGTTATCTACCTGGAGCCCGTGCGCTTCTCGTCTCAACTTATGGAAAGTAAGTCGGTGTTGCTTTCTCTATCACTACTGCCCAGCAGCCATTTGTGAATCTGCTACGGAATACACTGATGGCATTTGTCCTATTTTTTTTTATAATCCAAGAGACATTGGGACCTTTGAACGGTGACTGACGGTGACACTCAGGATGTACTCTCCCGATCAGTTCATGAATCCTGGGCCAGCACCGCGACCACTAGCTGAGCGTCCGAAGCTAAATTTGCCTGCTAACTCCTCAAATACGGTCGCCTCCTTCAGCCAAATGAGCCTAGACTCCCCCAGTACACCAGGGTCAGCCAACTTGTCATTATTCCCGAATACTAGCACCACGTCTCTTACACAAACAAAAACCAACCAGTCGGGACAAGGAGGGGTAGCCGTCATCAAAGAAGGGTATGTTCGTTGCAAGGAAGACAAATTTCTGGCTACCTGGAACCAGCGATATTTGATGCTTCGAGAGTCCCGATTAGACTTTTTGAAGAATGAGACGGGTAGGGTAGTCTTATCTATCCCGCTTCAGACCGTCACCGCTGTCTCCCGTTCCGAAGACACTCGGATGGCCTTCGAAGTTATTCGTCTGGCCAATCAGAAAGATGCCACCTCTAAGGCTGCTCTGATTACACGCGACGTGCCAACCAAGAGCATTACCTGTGAGGTTAAGAGTGATGACGAGATCTATGACTGGATTGACAAGATCTACGAGCGCTGCCCGGGAATGGGAGGCGTAAGCAATCCGACCAATTTCAGTCACCGTGTTCACGTCGGTTTCGACCCGAGGACAGGCGCCTTTGTGGGATTGCCGCCTGAATGGGAGAAGCTGCTAACTGCATCGGCTATTACCAAAGAAGACTATAAGAAGAACCCCCAGGCCGTCATCGAAGTTCTCCAGTTTTACTCCGATATAAAGATGCGCGAACAAAACCCACAGTATTCCGCCGGATTAGCCTCTCCCCTGTCAAACCAGCAACCAAAACCTTACAACAGCAATACGGTTGGCAGTTCTATTGCTCCCCCAAGACCGCCACCACCAGCCCCATCCCAACGCCTAGACAGCGGCCACTCCAATCGCTCCCCTGGTTCATCACCCTCGCAGGCGCACAGCAAGTCAGAATCAGATCGTGCTTTGGAACAGCAGCAACAGCTGGAGAGGATGAAGGAGATGGCGGACCAGGAGCGTCGACGCATGGAGGAAGAAGCTCGCCGTGCTCGTCAACGCGAAGAAGAGCAAAATAGGCTCGATCAAGAAGCGTATAACTCCTCACTTCCAAAGACTCGCGTCCCTCTGGCTAAACAGGAGCTTGGCGGCTATGGCGCTGATCCGTCGATGAACGAGCGCTATAAACCAAGCCGTCCCGCCCCGCAGGCTCCTAGCTCAGCTCGACAAGACTCTGCACGCCAGCTCACTGCTCAGCGTCCAGCACCAGCTCCTCCGACTAGCTCCAACCAGGGCCAACGGCCGGGGGAGTACGGATCGGCTAACGGCCCCGGAATTGCGCGCGCTCCAGGGTCAGACCAATCTTCTCCCAGTTCGCGTTACCCTGCGCATGATCCGCGAGCACAGTCCTCTGCGGCGCGCGCTCAGAACAATGGTACCAAACAGCAGGCTCAGGGCCCACCACCCAGCAAACTTCCTGCTCCCGTGCAGCCAGTGAAGCCTCTGAATATTGCGAACAAGCAGGCAACTAATAAGAACGTTCCCGATGGTGTCCGTCAAGCTGAAGCTGCCCTAACTAAGAAAGCTGAGCCCCGACAGAGGGAAGTTCGCATGTCAGCAATGTCTGAGAACGAAGTCATGGATCGACTTAGGTCCGTCGTCTCTAAAGACAATCCCAACGAATCTTACAGTAAGCAACGCAAGATTGGACAAGGTGCTTCTGGATCTGTGTATGTCGCGCGTGTTAAAGAACATGCTGTTTCTCCAGTTGCACGCGAACTGTACCGCCAATATGGACCTCGAACTCAGGTTGCAATCAAACAAATGGATCTGCGTAGTCAGCCACGAAAGGAGCTTATTGTCAACGAGATCATTGTGATGAAAGACAGTCAGCATGCCAATATTGTCAACTTTCTCGACTCATTCTTGCAAGAGCAAAGCAATGAGCTTTGGGTTGTTATGGAATTCATGGAGGGCGGTGCTCTCACAGATGTCATTGACAACAACCCTGTAATCCAGGAAGATCAGATCGCTACCATTTGTTCAGAGGTATGTTGATACTACTAAGCACGTTAAGACATTAAAATACACGTGGATTATACTAATCATCTCCATAGACTTGCAAAGGACTGGCACACCTACATAGCCAAAACATCATCCACCGGGATATCAAGAGTGATAATGTCCTTCTTGACCGCGCTGGTCATGTAAAGATTAGTAAGTAACCCCCATGTATCGAACAATCCAATATCACGCTAACAAAGAATTGTAGCTGACTTTGGATTCTGTGCTAAACTTACTGAATCAAAGAGCAAGCGTGCAACGATGGTTGGGACGCCGTACTGGATGGCCCCAGAAGTTGTCAAACAGAAGGAATATGGACCTAAAGTCGACTGCTGGTCACTAGGAATTATGGCTATCGAGATGATTGAGTCAGAGCCCCCCTACCTGAACGAGGAACCGCTTAAAGCTCTATATCTTATTGCTACCAATGGCACTCCCCGCCTAAAGAAACCCGAAAAGTTGAGCAAGGAACTTAAATCCTTCCTCAGCCAGTGTCTGTGTGTCGACGTTCGCAGTCGCGCCACTGCAGAAGAACTGCTAGCTCACGAATTCCTGAAGTCTGGCTGTAGTCTCCCTAGTCTTGCGGAGTTACTCCGTTGGAAGAAGAACAACGGACAGTGATGTGCCGGAGATCGCATGCTGTGGTGATAACACAAAACTGAGACGAGCTTTACCCCCATTACATGTTTTACCTTTTACGATTTACATTAGATCTTGTCTCACGCACATATGGCTCCCATTTACGCGCCTCCGGATGATATCTGTTCGCTTATGACTTGCATTACAATCATCTTTTTTTCTTGTGTGATATCCAAATTATAAAGCTATGTCTTTCGGACTTGGCATGGATAATACGGCGTTATGTTTGGTGTTTGAATCCTCGTTTACCACAGCTTCTACTGCCGTGAATAATCTATTCTATATCTGTTGTGTTGTTCTGACTGAGCCACATTGGCTTGTGCACACCTTCCGGCGAGATAGACCAAGCAATCTCTGACGATAATTATGGTCCTTCGAGGTTGAGGGCCCAGGGAGTACTAAAGATATTTAAACCTCTACTCTGTAAGTTCCTCGGAGGTTGAAATGGCTAAAACTTGGTTCATAACGATAAAGCAATAAGCCGCTACATATTAACAATTGGCTGGGTTCATCATCGAGAGTTTTACTATCAATGAATGTATTGGATAACATACGGGACTTCATGTTTGGTGGACATACGAAAATCTGGCGTCCAAAGTATAATTAATATCTGCACACAATATCTCCGACAAAGCCCGTTGAATGTCTCTTTTATTTTATCTATCCCTAACTCCGACCAACACAGGATGTAATTGGCATTAAAGCTATCATAGCTGGAACTTTGTCCTTTGTTTCTCCATTCCAGCCTTCCATTCCCATTCCTGCCCACTCGCCCTTTGGATGCCCTTGTCGATTCTTCGTAATTTCAGGGTAAACCGAGGGCTGTTCAACCATTTATTAGTATATATTAAAAGAAAAATAAGAATAACAGGATTACCCACCCTAATTCTTGAAGGCCTGCCCTTATTCCTTCGGCCCCTTTCATCTCTTTGCCGTCTACGTCAACTACGCTCTTTTCTGTCTCTCGTTTCTCTCGAAAGATATACCGATGCCTGCGGAGATAGTCAAAATCCCAACATGCTCTAAGCCTAAAACAGAGTGACGAGAGCAACTTACCTGCGGACGAAGATATAGTCACGCTGGTTGTGTAATGTCACGACCTGGCGCCCCTCGATGTCAGGCTGCGGTGGGAATAATGAGCGGAAAATAGCACCCGTTAAAATTCCAAGAGGCGTGCGAAAGTTATTCAAAATCAATTCAGGCCAATGCTCAGTGCCCACGCCATGCCCAGGGATCCTTTTGCCATCTACCCAGTTGCTAATAGTAAAATGGAACATAGGACCCTTGGGTAAGTGGATCACATCGAGGCCGGACGGTCGTTTTGAATCTTCCTGGAGGACTAGTACAGTAGTGTAATTGCGATTTGCCGCGAATGTTGCTATTTCTTTCAATGAAAACTTGTGGGAATACCGGTGCGCCGTACGACGGATATACTGGCTATTAGGGAAAAGGTCTGTAAGAGCTTTGGCTTCGTTGTGAAGGGTTGAGTTCTGTCTATGATTAACATGGATACTCAGTAGACACCATTACAACACTCGCGCATGCTCAACGGAGTGTTGCACCTGGGTTGTAACAGCGAATACATGAACCTACCAGGGAGGTCGTGATGAGAATTTTAGGTGTCGGTGGTGTTTCAGATGGGAACAACGATGGGAACTTGGCTGCCAGGGCCTCCGGAGCCAGGCTAAGGTTTGTGCTCTTGGTCGATTGAGTCGGGCTTGTTGCACGCTCTGTGGAACACGGGAGAGATGATCTCTTGGACTTCCGAGACCTCTCGGTGTTATCATCGTCGTCGTCATCGCCGTCGTCGTCGCTGCTGGCTAGCATGCTGTCAACCTCATCTTGATCATCGGAATCATCTTGCGATTCATCGGAATGCTCTAATGACTTATTCCATTCCTCTTGCTCTTCTTGCTTTTGTTTGTTGATGCGCTCGACGTCGACACTCAATCCCAGACCGTCTTCGACATCGCTATTGGCATCATCCCAGACCCGCTTGCGATCGATAGTAAGCGGAATATTTCGCTTTAAGCGCTCCTGCTTGAGCTTTGGGTTCTTAGCCTCTTCTTTCTTAATCCTATACCGTTCTGCTCGGCGGGTGGAGTCTTTGAGCCGCTTCCGCTTGATATGGAGGAGTTGACGCCTGAGTTTATTGGCGGGTTTCACATCTAAATTAGCGCTTGGAGGAGGCTTCGCCTGTGATTTTCTGGAAACCATCTTGGAACAGGGATAAACCGGGAATCCCAGAGGCGCTCTTCAGAAAATGGACATGAGAACTTAGAGGTAGTTTTGGAGATAAAATTTGGCGGAGAAATGTTTCGCCGGCGGTAGGGGATCGACTCGAAGGAGATTAGGGAAATAATTAATAACTTTTGATGACTGGTTTGAAAGGGGAAAGGGAAAAATAATTTCAATTCCAATCCTTTAGCTTGTTTATTATCATTATTTTTTTTTCCTCGCAACGATCTTTCACTCTCTTTGTTCGTTTTTACCTTCCTATATCTTTATACTCTGCTTCAGTTTCTACTCAACCGTGTGGCGTTCCACTGCGACCGGTGCGGCTCACGTGGATGACTCAATTGGCTTCGTTCATTCGACTCTTTCCTCTTCCCCGCCGCCAATTCCAATTTCCTCGTTGGAACCCCGCCATAGGCACACGATCCTTTTCCCTCTCCCCCGTCACCTTTCGAGCCGCCTCAGTGTCTAAAAAGAAAAGCACCTCCATGGCAACTGTTAATACCAAGACCGGTCAGGTCGTTGACCGCACGGTCTTGGAGTCGATGCTCCGCCGTCGTCTTTTTTACACCCCCTCCTTCGAGATCTACGGAGGGGTATCCGGTTTATATGACTACGGCCCTCCTGGTTGCGCTCTCATAAATAATATTGTCGATTTGTGGCGGAAGCATTTCGTGCTCGAAGAGGACATGCTGGAGGTCGACTGCACCATGCTGACCCCGCACGAGATTCTCAAGACTAGCGGACACGTTGAGAAATTTGCGGACTGGATGTGCAAAGACCCCAAAACCGGCGAGATCTTCCGTGCAGATCACCTGGTAGAAGAAGTTCTTGAGGCTCGTTTGAAAGGCGACAAGGAAGCGCGTGGCCAGAAGGTTGTCGTGGACGAAGAGAAGGAGGCCAAGAGGAAGAAGAAGGCTAAGGAGACCAAGGCCGTCCGGTTAGATGATGCTGTTGTCAAGGAGTATGAGGAGATTTTAGCGCAAATTGACAACTACGACGGCCCGGAGCTGGAACAAATCATCACCAAGTACGACATCAGAAACCCGACGACCGATGGCAACCTTCTTCCCCCCGTTGCGTTCAACTTGATGTTCCAGACTTCAATTGGTCCCAGCAGCAATATGCCTGGCTACCTCCGTCCTGAAACCGCTCAGGGACAGTTCCTGAATTTCCAGAAGCTGTTGGACTTCAACCAGCAGTCGATGCCCTTCGCGTCGGCCTCTATTGGCAAGTCGTTCCGGAACGAGATCTCGCCCCGTGCCGGCCTGCTGCGAGTGCGCGAGTTCCTCATGGCTGAGATTGAACACTACGTAGACCCGGAGGGCGGCAAAAAACATTCTCGCTTTGGAGAAATGAAAGATATCGAACTTTCCTTGCTTAGCCGTGATGTGCAGCTGTCTGGAAGCACACAAACCACGAAGATGACCGTCGGCAAAGCCGTTGAATCCGGTCTGGTTGACAACGAAACCCTTGGATACTTCCTTGCCCGCATTCAACTCTTCCTTCTCAAGTTGGGTGTGGACCCAGCGAAGCTCCGATTCCGTCAACACATGGCTAATGAAATGGCTCACTACGCTGCTGACTGCTGGGATGCTGAGCTGCAGACCAGCTATGGCTGGATTGAATGTGTTGGTTGTGCCGACCGCAGTGCTTATGACTTGACTGTGCACAAGAACAAGACCGGAGCGCCTCTTGTTGTCCGTGAGCCTCGAGTCGAACCACTCAAAATTGAAGAATGGCAGGTCGACTTGGACAAGAAGAAGTTCGGCCCTCGCTTCAAGAAGGATGGCAAGGCTGTTGCAGCCGCTGTCGAGGCTCTCTCCCAGGAACTCCGTGAGAAGTTGGCTCTCGATCTGGAGCAGCAAGGCAAGATTGAGGTGGATGTGGAAGGTGTCAGCTCAGGCAAAGTTGAGTTGGATAAGGAATTGATCAAGATCGAGAAGCGGACACGGGTAGAGAATGTCCGTGAATACACCCCCAACGTCATTGAGCCATCATTTGGCATTGGTCGCATCCTGTACAGTACCCTCGAACACGTGTACTGGTCCCGAGAGGGAGACGAAGCGCGTGGTGTAAGTACTTGTCCTTCACAATATCACGTTAAATTAGCCCCCACTAACATCTGTGTTTTAGGTCTTGTCCTTTCCTCCAGCAGTTGCTCCTACCAAGGTTCTCATTGTCCCTCTTTCGAACCATGCCTCTTTCCGTCCTCTATCACATCGTCTGATGATGAAGATGCGGCGCATGGGCATCTCCAACCGGGTTGACGATTCCTCGGCTAGCATTGGAAAGCGTTACGCACGCAATGACGAACTTGGCACGCCGTTTGGTATTACGGTTGACTTTCAGTCGGTGAAGGACAGCACTTTCACCCTGCGTGATCGTGACTCGACTAAGCAGGTCCGTGCTAGCGAGGATGAGATTCTACAGGCTCTCAAGTCATTGGTGGAAGGCGATGAGACATGGGAAGACATTCGCAAGCGACTGCCTGAGTTCACTGGACAAGAAGTTGATTAGATTATAACTGCATTAGAAACGAGGTGAAGAGTGTTCGAGATCTTATTTCTCCTTCGCTTCTCGATCTTATTCCAGAATAAAAATCATTGTCTTAACCATTGATTGTAGATCTTACATGGGTGGAGTCCTTCTCTGCCAAGAGGGATGGGTTGAATTAAATTAACTCCGGGGCGGAACGCGAACAACCGCCGATGTCATCGGAAGCTTACTTGGCCTGTAACTTCGATTCCCTCCCTTGCTACTGAATACACACTCAAACTCTTCCCTTGTCCTGGACGAGTAGTTGTCTTAATCATGGCGCCCCTCGTCCCTTCGGCCAAATTGACCCTATCCTGTCCTCTCTTCGCCGCTGATTTCGATCCGCGCAATCATGGCTTTCTTCTTGTCGCAGGCGGAGGCGGCGAAGGGCGTAGCGGCGTTGGGAACAAAATCGCAAGTGCCACCCTATCCCTTCTGAAACAATGATTCGAAATCGCTCCGTCACTATATCTTAAATCCCATGTCTTTTGATTCTTGTCAGTGCGCTAATACTCGAGGCACAATAACAGGCACTCTTGGACACATCCAAACGCAACGAGATCTCCGAGGTAGTCGATATCGAACTATCACGCGATGAAGACTCCGTCACCTCGTTGGCAACGGCGCGTGCGAGCGATGATTCTATTATCGCCCTTGCCGGTATCAATAGCTCCGTAGCTGAGCAAAAGCTTGGCAACAACCAGCATCTAAGATCTTTCGAGATTGATTACCCCCCACGAAAAAGATCCTTGACGGATAACTCGGCCGAAGAAGTCGCAAATCGAGAAGCAGATGAAGAAATGCACTGCCTTATTCCCCAGAAGACCACCGCATTATCTCGTACATCTTTATTCCGAACCAAAGGAACAGAGAAGGCCGGCGGCCCGGACACATATCAAAGGGTGTTGCGACTCTCGCCGTGGAAAGACGTCGAGTCTCCGCGTATAGCGGCGGTTGCCACTGGGTTGGCTCCATCAGGCGAGATCGTCCTTTTTCATGTTACTCCTACACCCAGCACATCGGATATCATGGGAAGGATCCAATTGGGTGGTGATGAGGAAGCTGAGGATGTAGATATTACGGATTTGAACGATGGCAAATTCCAGGTTGCCTATACCAATGGCACTGACGTGTTCATCTGTCGTATCTCATCTTCAACGAGATCTAATGCATCACCTGACGTACATTGCGTATATAGCACGCCTTTGTCTGAAGCAACAACCAAAACCAGGCCCAAGTTTCGAGCCCTACGCTTCCTATCCCCCACAATGTTGCTACTGCTTCGGAATATTCCAGACCGTAAAGGCTGCGAGCTCGTGCTTCTTAATATATCGCAAGGGCTATCACCGAAATCAAAGTCATCTGCAACCATCATTCGGCGTAAGAAACTCCGCAAAGCAATCAAGATTGGACTTGGTCTGGACGTGTGCAATCTGGGTTCAAACCTAAAAAATCAGGAACAAACCATCATTGCCGTTTCGGGAAGTGACCAGTCTATTGAGGTCCTAACGCTCGAGTACAATCCTAGGAGAGGAGGTTACGGAAAGCTACGACCCTACATTACCCTCAACGATGTCCATCCATTCTCCATGACAAAGATATGCTTCTCCTCTTTCATTCCTCCGAACCCAGTTAGGCCTGAGACGCCACCACAATATGTCAAGCTTGCCTCTGTTAGTATGGGCAATACCGTCGTCGTACACACGCTCCCCCTGGCCCCATCGCCACCCTCTAGTCGCTCACCGCGCTACGTGCTAGTCATGCCGGGAGATTCGGATGCTTGGGCTAACTTCACCAGTGGGCTGACTGCTTTGTTATCTATCTTCATTGTCTGCTTCCTCCTCCAGGCTTTCACCGAGATCAGGGGTGTTATGCCTCCGTATTTGGGGGCCACCGAATGGCTCCCCCCCGATATTCGTACCGCCGTCGCCCGTCCATATCACCAACCTGCATTACATCCTTTAGCAGTTCCATCAGTCACTACGCCGATGCGCTCAGCACCCTCGTCGCCAGTTCCTACCTTAAATCACCGCTCCCTACGTGATCTTCTTCATGCCCGTCAAGCAGCGGACGCGATCGATTCAATCCTCGATAACGATCTTGCAGCGGACGACCCATTCCCCTCCGCTGCCTCTCTATCACATACCTCCATTGTTATCCGTCGCAACCGTGATACGGACGAGATCCTCATAGAGTCTACAAACAGGGCAGATCATAACGCACCTGGCGGGGCCCTCCGCCGGTGGGAGGACCTCACCGAGAGAGATCAGATTATGTGGAAACAACAGTTGACAGATGCAGGCCACTGGCGTCAAGACGAAGGTGAAGCAGTTCTTCAAGGTGTTTTTTTCGATGACCGTTCAATCTAAAACGTTGCTTTTGGCTTTTATTTTTGTCGGTTCACAGTAGCTACTGTCAAGATTGGGTATGTAGCCTGGAATTTCTACGAAACGGAAGTACGGAACCGACCAAAGGAGAGGGGAAAAAGAGAGGAGAGGAGAAGAGAAAATGCCATCTGAGTCTACAGGTAATGATTTTGATGTGACATTTCATCTACGATTGTACGATTTGTCTGTGGCCAACTAGCCATCTATGTTAACACATTAGCAAGGAAGAAGACAAAAAAATAAATATGTGTTGCTACTATTCCACTCGATGGGCCCCTTCATAAATCAAAGTCTTCTAATCATCAAGAGCTTCTCAAGGTATAATATTTCAGCTCCTCCCAAGGCAGCGATCAGGACCATTTCGCCTAACGTCTTTTGACGAGGATCTTTGGGCCACAAGGCCGATTAGTGTCGTGCGTTCCAGGAGAAAGATATCCATAAACCCTGCCGTGCGAAAGCACACCGAGCTGCAGTGGTTCAGATCATGCAGGTATCCAGTGTAAAGCGGACGAAAAATTCCGACAGGCGTATCAGAATTAGGTTATATCACAAAGCTGCCCGCAGGATCTGTATCTGCGGTTGAACCCCTTAGTGCAAGTTGCTTGAATGCTTGTACATGAATGAATACCCTAGTCCTCGGGTCCGATCGCGAAATGAAGGATCTTTGGCGTTTCCTTGGCCAAGACGGAGGTCAGATTCGGTCACCATTTGCTCTATAGCTATATCCCATACTGACAGAGGCACCCTTGGCAGTTCATTCTCATTCTTGACTTCTAGTATCGCAATGCTGGTGGGGGGGGGTAGCTGTCCCATTTAATGACATGACGAAGCTGGATTTTGGACACGGGGTGCAGGGATGTAGATCAGTATCTGTAGGCGCTTGTAGTTCATACACGTTCAAGCAAGCAACACTAGCAGCCAAGAGACATGACAATGCCCTGGCAGTATCAAGGCACGAGGTTCAACGTTGTGACCCGGTCTAAAGGAGACCGGATTTGGAAGCGACTGGCCGGTGTTATGCGTAAATGCTGAGGCAGTTGGGTTTCGATTCTAGGTCGGCGATTGCCGTTCCAGACCGGAGATTGGTTCTTGCAAATTACCAATGCTGACACGTACCATGCTCATGTTTAGAGGTAGACAGCCAGGACCGTATCACGTAGAAAGATATGCTTCATCTCCTTTGAGTTATAGATGGGTTGATAAACGATCTGGCTTTCAGGTACAGATGAGCCATTCCCAAATTGATAAACACTGCAGCATTCGGACGCGCCGCACTAAGCCTGCAGTGGTGTGAATGTTGATAATAGTAGGTCCAGGAGAGCGTAGGCCTCATGAGCGTGACGACATGGCCCTGGAGCGGGAGCACCCTCCTTGTGCAGTACTGATGATGCCTGGACAGATGGTCATCCTAGTCATCATTCCAACCAGAATATGTTGGCTCGGAGTTGGATCTCTTGGAGATCAATTCCTGTTTCTGTATGTAGTCAAGAAAATTAAACCACATCTTACAGAGCGACCAATAGATACGATACCCAGAAACTGTTTTGTATCCTTTTTCAATACATGGATTGGTGACGGTAAAATAGGGAGTGTAATTAATTACCTTCTATGGACGATCTCCCGCTGTGACGAGAACACTTTTTTGCCCAATTTTTTACCTATCAAACACCCAATGGAAATCCCAGGTACGCCTTTCCTATTCCAATTGGTACATGTCTACATTCTTTGGTGGTGTACTGATTCTGTCCTCCTAACAGATTCATGACACAACATTTAGCCCTTTCATACTAAAAAGACACCACATTTTTAAACGTAAGACGAGAAGGGATCCATATCTTATCACAGTTCCAACAAAACATACCATCGTCGATGGCAACCCACATATCTCTAGTGAAAACTCCGCGCCGATTTCTCTTCATCGCGTCAATTGGAAATCCCCGTCCTTACCGCCAAACTCGTCACAGCGCCGGACATATCCTCCTCGATGCCTTAATACCTCTTTTACCCAATAGGTTTCCCTTGGTATCTACCAAACACCAGCCATCCGCAGGGCCCCTGTTCTATCGAACGTGGTATAGCCCATCATATATGAATGAGTCGGGTCCGAAGCTTGTCCGACAACTGAGGAACTGGATATCAACGACACAGACCGAGGTATTGGGAAAGGTGATCATGCAGGGAAATGTGGCGCTCCCTAAGACAATCGAGGTCGCAGACTCCGAAACCCCCGAATGGCAGCATCGTGGCATTGACCCTCAGTCACTGGGATTTTTAGCTCCCACCTTGGTGATCCTCCACGATGAACTGGAGGCGCCTTTGGGGAAAGTCAGAGTAAAACGGGGCGGGCCTGAAAAGGCCAGTTTGCGTGGCCACCGAGGTTTGACCAGCATCATGGAGAGTCTGCGGGGAAAAGGCTTGCACCCACCGCGTACAAGTCCTGGCGAAACTCGTCCGCATGAAGACCTTTCCGTATTGCGAATAGGTGTCGGGATTGGTCGTCCATCCACCCGAAATCGAGGCGATGTTGCAGACTATGTTCTCACGGAAATGAATGCCACTGAGTTGGCTGCAGTACGCGCGGCAGCTGGACCGGTGATGGACATTTTAGCAGATGAAATATATCGTGATGGTAGCTCGTTGTGATATTCGTGAATAATTGGTGAGCTGTATGCAGTTATCGCTGATGCTAAAATATTGTACAGATAAATAGAATCGTATAGACAGATACCCAAGACTAGCACCTTAAGACACAAATTGCACCAGCTATGTCTGAAAATTCAGTGAAGAGGTTCTTTTGAATGTCCATATGCCGCACCATTCCATAATTCGGAACCATTACCATCAGGACTTGGGCGTATCTGCTTTTGGCTACTATACACACTCTCCCTCTCTTATTCTACTGGACAAGTAGAATTTGTTATTAGATGTGATGGCTCCCAGGCCTAGAGACCCTTGGAGAAGCAAGATAGTAGACCCCAAAGCAAACCTCGATAGCATCAGTTCTGCAGAGCAAATGGCAAACTGGCCAACAATGATACTAATAATTCAAAGATCAAACCGTTCCCGCTATGCTCAAATCACGAATCTCCTGCAATACTTCTTCTACCCTGTTATCCAAATCGCCCCGAGCATACTGATCTCTTGTTTCCGCGTCAAGGTATTGTTGCACTTGTGCCATTCGAGAGTATGCCTCCGCGCAGAAACGCAGTTGAATCTTGACCAAAGCCTCAAAGCTCGGATCCAGATATGGCACACGCAGGTCAATAAGTTGCGGGAGTTCGGTAAAAAGTTGTTCATTCAACTGTTCGTATGCTTGCTTAGCAATTTCAGTTTCGCGCTCCGCTCTGGGAAGTTTGGTAGCGTCCTTGTCTGGCTTCTCGACCAACTTCTTCACCTTGGCTCGCATAGAATCGTAGTCCAGTAACTTGTGATTGCGTTTCTTGATGCACTCATTGATGTCGGGAAAGTAAGCGCAAAAGCGCGAAATCGGTTCAAGAACGGTAGTTCTAATGAATTAGTTGACGACAGCCATGGAATTTCCAATTTCAGAATGTCACACACCTGTATGGCCCATCCAAGGCTTTTATCGTCTCCGCATCAAGATCTTCCACTGCCTGTTTATAGCTCCTGCTCACGCCATCGCGCGTTCCGGCATCACCGTAGAAAGCATCGATTGTCTCCGCAATACGCATCTGCGAGGCAGTCATTGCTGTCACAACCAAGGACTTAGCATTTCGCTCCATTTACTCCGCTCAAACGAGAGAAAATCCTACCTCGTAATGAGTCTAGATAGCCTTTAGCTTCTTTTTGTAGACGGTTGGCGGCGGCCTCCATGGTCCGGTATCGCCTATGGATCCCATCAGTGACTGGCTTAGCTTGTGCCAGATCTCTCGAAGCCATTACCGTTCTTCGATTTCATAGTCACGATCGTTTGTCCTCTCCACATGACCTGTACAGGTTATACTATATTAGCAACTGGTCACCGCTCGCAACAACAGTTACTTGGCCGTCTCGAGCCGCGGGGATACAAAATAATGTACATACCCGTCTTCATCATGACTTGGGTGGTGGCACGGTTGACATTTTTCTTGAACCCTAAGATTAATAGACTGCATATCAGCACCTAACTTGAAAATATGTAGAGATAAGGGACCAAGGAGCTTTGCGCACCTGCCCAGGACATGATGACGGCTAAGCAAGGCAGAACCGACTAAGTACTACTATAGGCAATGAAGCAAGTGGTGATGGTGAGAACTTTGATAGGATAATGTGCAGGTAGTATTGGCAAGAAGAGAATGCCTGGATTGTCTGGCGGGATATTAGTTGACGATAGTTGAATGTTCGAAAAGACAGTGGTGACCGTCACAGGCTGGATCAGGTTCCAATGCGGGACTTCGGGGGAGATTCCTCCAATGTGGCTATGTGTGGCTGTGTAAGTTGTATATACCGAGTACGGAGTACGTACATTCATACACGTTTTCTCCAGCCCTACGGAAGTGCAGTATTGTATAGATAATTACACGCGGTCACATACAGTACGGTACTAAATTCTTATCAACTGTCTCCCTCTTACGTCATGCATCCGGCTTGGACCCAGCACGGAATACATGAGGATGGTGAGTTAATTCGATCTCTCGATGGAGCACTCATTTTACGTTCGATATCAAGACTGACATCTGCTTGATTCCTGGATCTAATACACCACTCTACCGAGTGATGACTAGGAAGACGGAGTACTATAAGCCCTCCATGTTAAATAATGACCAAGGATCACACTTTCCTCAGAGAAATTTCTCTTTCTTAGAATATACCGTTACGCAAAAGACACTCGGTGTGAACCTAGGATTTACTTGTGATATATTGAGTAGAAGTATAATTGTATCTATCCTTCAAGATTTATCTTGATTGGTTCGACTTTATAAAGGGAGTCCAGCATATAGCAACCAAATAGAACCGCAATGGATGAGGATGACAGAATATAATTGAGAATCATACACTAAGCAAAGCATATACGACTACTGCGTTCAATGAGCATTACCCATGCCACCATGTAAATGTGACTTTAACCAAGCCCTAAATGAGCGGTTCAGCCTTGGTTTTTCGGACCCAACGAGTTATAGAGGAATGAGTCTCGCCTTGCATCGCTGACTCCATCAAATACTACTGGTATTTGGTTCCCACATGCAACCATTCCACATTCTGACCACGCCCTTCCTATGTGGATCCTAGGTTCCCGGAGAATCATGCTGCCTATTACCACCACACGACCATAACCCTTCTCGATGTCCATATATGCATTAGGGCATGATGCCAAGGAATTTCAATGCAAGGAAAAAGCAAAAAGGACTAGGCGCCAAGAAAGACCATTTCATTCAACCATTATCATGTATGGTACATTCTTGTTAAGTAATCTCTCGCACTTTTGAGGTCTGCACGAAGTGCCAAGTAAGCTTGGCATAGGATCGTCGTCGATTGCAAATGTCTAGACGCTGATAACCTTGCACGAATTAGGTCAGGGTACTAGGCAGAAACTACAATGGCGGTTTGTGAAACGGAGGTATGAGGGCTCTTGCTCTTAGGAATATATTCGGACTGGGTACTCCAATTTATAGTCAGTAAATTGTTAGTGCTGTAATTTGTAGGGGGTATAGGGGCGGATAACCGTAACTACAATTGCAGAATTAGCTATAGAAGTCATGTTTAGGACGTTTGAATTCAGTGGCTTATAATACAGCCAAGGAGGGGGGTAATTAGATGAATAGACGGATATATTAACGCTAAAATATGTTGTAAATTGTCACTCACCACAGAGGGGAGGTTGGGGGGGGGGAGGGGCAGATTGACGCCAAAAAGCAGAAAAGAAAACGTGTCAAAATAGATCCAAAGTGATATGTAATTGTGTCTCACATGTAGATGAAGCTAGCCCAGGGAAGACATAATTTCGCTGTCAAGGCATGTCCATACATCATGAAAACCAAAACAAAAGACAAGAGATATTACCTGACGCTAGGAAGAACAACAGTGCAGGTGGTGATTTACTGAAAGAGCATAGCCGTGAAGCTCACCAAACCAAATCAAGAATAGTAAATGTTGGGTAACAAGAATCCATGTTGATACCAGACATATAAGTAGATCGAAAGGTATGTTATGTTCACTAGGCCGAGGTCATTTAAACTTTTCGATTCTGGCCACAGAATAGCAACTGAATTAGCACTCCAGTTGACAGTGGTGCTTTGACAAATACTAGACGTCCCTATACCCTGTCCTGCAGTCTATGGCAAGAAGATACAACACATCACACGATGGCAGGGACGGACGACACATGCATTAGTCCTACAGGCAAGTAGGGCTGCCCTATTGAAAGCCCATGCTCTCCCCATCACTCCCTTGAACACTCCTAGAATCATAGCAGTGTCCTTTATAATTTATGTAACTAAAAGGAGAGGGAGGGGGAGGGGGAGAGAAAGAGAGAAGCTGGCCTTATTTATGGCCAGCAAAGAAGACACATCAGGTTGTAGAGTTTCTGATAAGAATAGCATTGAAACGAACAGTGTCAAAGGGTATCCGAATAATAAGTGCCCAAACCCCGAGTACATAATGAAAGACAGTCCCACAGATATGCAGATCGCTATAACTGACAATCATGAAACGCCCTTTGATAAACAATTCGGTTGATGAATCTCAGTATCAGCGTAACCCAGCGGGGAAACTAAATGTGCTCTCCACAGTGACCTACTCGAATGAGTTAGTAGGTCAGTAACGTCAACTTATCAGCCAGCCAAGAGCCCAGAAATAGAAGATGAAAGACTGTCGTTAACTCTGCATGCTGGATAGGTAGAATGATGGAAATACAAAATATATAATTAGTAAATGCAAAGAGAAACACGAAGGAAAAGAGAAAAGAGAAGAAACTCAGGGTCATGACTCTTCGTTGCATTAGCGTGAAAACATAAGACAAACTAAGCCCTTCAGCTAGCAGGCAGGGAAGACAAAGGCAAGACATGCGTCGGTATAGAAAGCAAAAGGACCTCCTTTTTATGGAACAGGTGAAGAAGGTCTAACCCCCCCCAAAAAACGGGATAAACAAATGAGCCACCTGGTTTATCACAAAACTAGGCATACAGATGCAGACTGTCACGAGAGAGACAGAGTCCGGGCTAATGATTAAAATCCGCCCAGGCTCTGCCCCCTAGGGATACACTATCTGCGAAAATCAAAGCCTCGAGGGCAAGACACACTGACTAGATCAAAATCCCTCCTCGCCAGCCTTGCACAGTTTGATCTCGCGAACCCATTCGGATTTGAGGACCTGCGAGGCGTTGATACGACGAGAAGGATTTGGATCAAGGATGGAATAAATCACATTTCGACAACGAGCCTGCGAGCCATCCGTAAGCTTAGACGCACCAAATAGACGGTTATCGGCGCTTACCCGATGTAGAGTCTCAATCGGAGCGTAACCATCTTCATGCTTCCGACCCTCCAAGTATCGCTGATAAAATTCATCTTCGTCTTTGCGGGCTACCCTCCATAAATGACGCCCTGTCCTCATTGCCATATAGATTACACCAGTAGCCCACAGATCGACTGCCCTCGGGTCAAATTCCCTTTCGATATATTCTTCGGGAGCTATATAAGGAGCGGAGCCGCAAAGTCCTGCTGTCATGTGTGCTTCCTTTTCCCAGGCCATGCGGAAACACTCCCCATTTCCAAAATCCGTAATTTTGAGCGCACCATGAGTTGTCAACAGCAAATTTTCCGGCTTAAGATCACGATGAGCCACACCCATTTCGTGCATGTATTCTACACCACGCATGAGCTGCTTGAAGAAGCAATCGGCCTCGGCAACTTCCAGTTTTCCTGCGGCCAGCACAAGGGTGTAGAGATCGCCACCGGCACAATATTCCATGACTTCGCAATAATCGCCCTTAGCATCCTGCAAGAGGTCAAGGGTGTGGATGACATTCGGATGGCGAAGGGACGACGAGATACAGAATTCGGAGGTCAGACGTTTCTGATATTTCTTGGTGGTTTCTTGGGGACGACGGCGAAATTCTTTGACAGCATACAGTTGTTCGACCCTGGAATCTTTGGGATCGACTTTGTGTGAGATTCGAACAATGCCAAATGCGCCCCGCCCGACGATCTCCTGGCATTTACCATATTTATCGACTAATGAAGCTGTGGCGTTAGGACCGCCCTTTTTATCGGCAGCTAACTTATCACGTTCATTCTTGAACTGGTCAATCCATGTTGACATGAGGGATAGCTGCTGATCATCGACATGGTCGTCTTTCTTCCTACCACCACCAAGCATATCCCGGAGAAGGTCTGTCAATTTCTCCTGCCGCCGTGTACTCTTAAGATGGTGGCAGTGAGCGTGGTCTGGCAATGTTTCGAACCGCTTGTGTGCTGCAGCAGATGAGTCTTTTTGATCCTTTCCACTACTAGGCTTTGGCTTTCTATCGTTGTCCTCCTTGGTAGAAGTCTGTCGCGATGGAGCTCTGGAAGAAGGCCTAGATGTAGGCTTAGACTGCCTCCCGCTGCCATTACTAGGTGGCTTTACGCTGTCAGTGCTGCTGTCTGAAAAGTCACGATGCGTATCCGACTCCTTCGAGGTTGTCTTCCCTGTGTTGGAAAACATACGAGAGATACGATTCGCCATAGTCGGCCTGGTAGTTTTCGCAGGCGGAGGGGGTGTGGGGAGAACATCCCCGTTCGCTGCGGACAGATTCATGCCCGCAAGAGCGCGTGTTACCGGGGGCTCTCCATCTCGAGGATCGTACGATATCTGTGACGCTGCGGCGGAGGAGACTGCGGAAGGTACAGGTGAAGCAGATTGTGGAGTCATGTGCGGTAACTAATTGTAATGTACACGGAGGACGAGAGTGACAAAGGTTGCCCCCGTGACAAGGTAGGAGAATAAGCGCCTACAGCACGAAGCTGAAGAGGCTCCAAAAGATTGTTATTGAAGAGGTTTAGAGGTTGGAAGGGAATTGAGAGAGGAAGAGGGGTGAGGAAGAGGGCGAAAAAAAAAAAGAGGTGTGGTGGCCCCCGGTGACCGGTGGTGGCCTGAGGCGACGGTCTCTCTGAAAAGTGACGAAAGTGGGAGGGCGGAAGAAAGAAAAGAAAAGAGAGGGGGAAAATAGGAAGGAAAA